GAGCCTTACTCGGTTGTCTTGTTGTAGGATCTGAGACGTAAATGCAGGTTACCCAATACAGGTATGCTTAGGGGTTTGGGGTTTGTACCCTGTGACTCGAACCGCGCACAATACACTGACCCTGCACAACCCAGACCTTTCAAGATCCCGTAGTTGAATATACTGAGAAACCCTAAACCCTAAAGGCCACTGAAAAAATAACTAAAGGCCCAAAACTTAAACCCCTGAGCCCTTTAGCAGACACACCTAGACCTAGGCTCCTCAACACCTGTAAACTCCGCTAGAACCGACATCCCGGCAGAAGGGGAGTTGTGCAGACAGCGTGGGTATCGGTGCATTTTGTTGAAATGCGAGGTCCCATCTATGATCACGGGCGCCTATACCCTCGGATCAACGCTAAACCCTACAATGCCGTACAACCCTGAAGTAGAAACCTCCAACCTGAAAGCCCTAAAACCTAAGCAGAGCCGCCGCCAAACTCCCAAGTGGGGGCTTCCGAAAACAGGGGACGCTAATCTAGGACCCTAAATAGTAGGATCCTGATTATACCCAAAGCCCACATAAATCCTCTATCGAACCCTTAAAGGAATCCTTAGAGGAACCCTAGGACCCCAAAATAAGGTACTTCCAATTTTTCGGTAACTCTCAAGTCACGATGAATGCGGGAAGGATCCATACGAGCGTCTGTCGGCGGCCGAAGCCGCGCAACACGCCTGGCTCAAGATGGACCCCGGAGTTCTTACTATAGCCCTAATGGTCCTATGTACTGGTATGGGGGGATACTTCCCTGAGTCATAATAGTACTTCCTAATATGGAATACTTCCCCGAGTTCTTACAATAGTATACTACAGGGGCGATTGCAATTACCAATACTAATATGGGCGGTCTTTTGTGCAATTGTAGTACAATGGGCCCCGAAATGCTATTCTATGTAGTATTAACTGATTGAGGCTGTTCGGGGTTCTATACAGTTCTGATGTCTGCAACATTTTGTAGGGCTTTGGAGTTCAGAGGTTTCATGACTTTTGGGGGTTTTGGGCTAGCTGCTTTTAGGGGGCCCTACAGTAGATGCTCCACGGCCTTCAAGGCTTAAAGTTGAGAGGTATCGGGCTTATACTCATCTTGAACTACTACCTACACTCTCCGAGTGTTTACAGAACGAGAATGCTTTCAGAACCCCCCATAGAGTCTGCTACCGGCGGAAACATCATTAATCACAGGCGCAAAATCCATGAAGAGAGTGCCTCCCAGGGAACATGATTCCAGTCTGCTACATGCGCTGCTGCACCATTGCAATCAGTCAGTGCTTCAGGTCAGCCATGTGCTAGACAGGTTATTAATTAAGTGGCTGCATACTGGAAGCATGATGACTCCCCCAACCCCGTCACTGAGCCGGTTTGGGATTTAGGGTTTAGGGATGCAAGTTTTTTCGGCAGATCACCCAAAGCAAATTCCAAACTCTGAACCTCAAAGCCTTGCAGCTCCAGCTAAAGGCGCAAGCACTCATTTCCTCGACTTGTGCCCATGAACCCAGCGGCGAGCACCCTCACAAGCCATAAACACACAACCCTTCATCCCTGCAAGCCGGATGCAGGCAAAACTCACGACTACAACCATTCAGTTGACAGCCCTAAGACTTGCTAAGAAGAAATCCGAAAGGTGCCGAGTAAGCAATTAACCCTTGAGCCTTAAGCCGTATTGGTTTTCTATCCTAAGGACTCATAGTAGTAGGCTTTCGGGCCTAAGTTACCATACTATGTAGCTGTTTCGAGGCTGAGGATATAATGCCACCATGGGAGGGCCTCTATGAAAGACCCCCGCCCCCTTTTCAGGACCAGGTATCCAAGGCCAGCTGGCCACAGGCCCCCCCATTGATTTTGCATTTTGGGGCGGGTCTTAGGGTTCAGGGTTTGGGATTTAGGGGCATAGGCGGCAGGGTTTAGGGAGTTGAATGCAATGATTTGGGCTTTTTCGGGCTTGGGGTTTAGGGTTTAGGCGGTTTGGTGCATTGATTTGGGGTTTTGGGGGGTTTATAGGGTCTGGGGCTTGCCAGCACCCCCTCCAAGTACCCTGTAATACAGACCTTATGGTCCCTAATACTTAGTGGGTACCTAGGTCTTCAACGAGTGCGAGTAGAGCCTTAGGTTTAAGGTTTGGGGTGTTCAGGGTTTGTGTTGTTTTTACTGGAACCTGGGGGAGGGTCAGGATTCTTGATAGTATGGGGTTGGGGCGTAGCGATTTGGGGTGGGTATCAGGTTTAGGGTTTAGGGTGTTACAGGTTTAGTGCATATAGCATATAGGGCTTGAGTAAACTCTGAGTAGAGTCCTGCAATCTATAAAGGTTCTACCGAGCTCACTATAAAGGTTCTACCGAGCTCAACGAGTCTAGACAGACTGTTGAGCTGATGTCGTGTATCTATCAATTTCGGTTTGGAGGTCTGGCGGTTTTGGCGTTGAGGGTTTACTAGAAGGATCTTTGCCAAGGCTTGCGGGGTTTGTTGGGTGTCGTAGGGCGCTGCAGGGCCAATTTCATAGGGTTTGGGTTCAGGTTTGGTGCCGTTTGGTTGAGGTTTACGGGTTCAGGACGTCATGTCGGTTTGGGCTTCGGGCTCACGGGCTTCGCGTTGCTTTGGAAGCCAGAGCCGTCGTTGCTTTTGAAAGTCCCAATACTGGGACTTTCCGAAAATTAGGGGAACCTTACTTTGGGGGTCCTGATAATAAGGATCCTACTATTTAGGGTACCATATTAAGGTCCCCTATTTTCCATATTGAGGCGAGCTTGGTAAGGCACCATGAACCGCCCCGCTTCAAAGCTCAAAGTCTGCTTTCGTCTACACGGAGCTCAATTAAGCTCTTGATCAGGTCAGAGTGTATCTGTAATGTTGGATTGATATTAATAACCCCCCCCCTGAGGTTGTTTTGCGCAGGGGTCTCTTGGGGCAGGGTCTGGGGTCAGGGTCGCAATAGTAAACCTCTGGCCTGCTCCGGGCCTAGTATACTAGTAGTAATAGTAGTAGTAATAGTAGTAATAGTAGTAATAGTAGTAATAGTAGTAATAGTAGTCATAGTAGTCATAGTAGTCATAGTAGTAATAGTAGTAATAGTAGTAATTAGTACGTGAAGTCTCAACCTCTGGCATTCGCAGCACTCTGGCTTCTGTGCAAAGGGTTACCCTTGCCGGCTTTGTGAAATGGCTCCGTTTATATAGAATTGGAATAAGGAACCGACCTCAAGTTTAGCTGCTGCAGTTCCTGGAATCCGGAGTCCCTGGCTTCTTGCCAAAGCCTGCAGCTCTCGAATACCAAAGCCTCTGGCTTCTTGTCCAAAGCCACTGGCTTCATAGCTTTCCCAAAAGCAAGGCTTCCCATCGGGAGCCCCTCCCCCGGATGAGTTTATTATTGCCACCCCGTTTATAATTTCCAGAAGAAGGGCTGCAAAGGGTTACCCTTGCCGGCTTTGTGAAATGGCTCCGTTTATATAGAATTGAAATAAGGAACCGACCTCAAGTTTAGCTGCTGCAGTTCCTGGAATCCGGAGTCCCTGGCTTCTTGCCAAAGCCTGCAGCTTTCGAATACCAAAGCCTCTGGCTTCTTGTTTAAAGCCACTGGCTTCATAGCTTGCCCAAAAGCAAGGCTTCCCATCGGGAGCCCCTCCCCCGGAGGAGTTTATTATTGCCACCCCGTTTATAATTGCCTGAAGAAGGGCTGCAAAGGGTTTCCTTGCCGGCTTTGTGAAATGGCTCCGTTTATATAGAATTGGAATAAGGAACCGACCTCAAGTTTAGCTGCTGCAGTTCCTGGAATCCGGAGTCCCTGGCTTCTTGCCAAAGCCTGCAGCTCTCGAATACCAAAGCCTCTGGCTTCTTGTCCAAAGCCACTGGCTTCATAGCTTTCCCAAAAGCAAGGCTTCCCAGGAGTGAAACAGTCTGGAACTGCACTCTGCGAGCTAGTAGCTCAGTGTCGTCTGTGCCGATCTGCACTCTGCTGGCTGGGTTTATGGTCCTCTTTGTTTGAGTCTCTGGTAAATACGTAGCCTCGTCTGTAGAATTTTGTGGATTTCGGACCCCGAATATTTTAATTATCACCCCGTTTATTATTGTTTATTATTGCGACTGAAAATTATGATCAGTTGTTTGGCCAAATCTGCCCTCGCCTTTAAACTCCTCTTGCGCCCGGAAATTCTGGCCCAGGAAATATTTTAATTGTCACCCGGTTTAATAAATTCAATTCAACATTAGACTGCGTGTAACCGGTAACCCTCCCACTAGTCATAGTTTCGATATTGGGACGTACGAGGAGCTTTTGATGTCGGATCGGGAGCTTGAATGTCTAGAGTTCTTCGAGCTTCGGAAGGAAGCGGCAAACCCACCTCCGTCTCCACAAGGCCTGTTGCCCTTCTCAGATCTCAACCCTGGAGATGCTTCAAGGCCAGGTAGTTGGCTTACGGGACGACCACCGGCAGAAGCTGCGTTTGATAGACGCCTGCTAGCAGAGCCTGCCGGTGAATGCTCGGGACTTCGTTGGATATCATTCAACTCCGGCTGACACAGCCTCCTGACAGTCAAGCCATCAGCACGTCCTCCGACATCTGCCTTCTGAGATTGTGCAGGGCAGCGCAATATACCAGCAAGTACCCTTGCATACAGTTTGTTCAGAATAGTATTGGTCCTTAGTTGCAGGTTAGTGTTACATGCGGAGTACATGACAACCTTGCACTTGGATTCGTAGCGGAAAGCATATACGTATGATCTTAACAGCAGCTTCTATGACTTAGGGAGTATTCCCCAAATTAAGCTTCAAAGCGTCTGGCGACAGGGCCCTAAACACTAAACCACTAAGCCCTAAACCCCTATAAACCCCATAAAGCTTTTTTGCTGCCAGAAGAGCACCCCTAAACCCTCAACCCATAAACCACCAAAGCCTCTGATTCAACCCCAAACCCGAAAATCCCCAAGCCCTTAAACCCGAATCCCTAGACACTAGATTCTTCGTTTAGCCAGGGGACACCGGATGCTGAGCTGGAGTTGCCCATCAACCGCTGCGTCGTGCGGGACATGTGGAAATTCGCTCAGGACGGGGGTTTCAGGGCTTGGGCGTTGGCTTTGGGCTACAGATGGTTTTAGGCTAGGGTTTTGGGGCTTGGTCTTTAGGCCACAGGGGTTTAGGGTGAAGGGGTTTAGGGGTTTAGGCTTGAGGCCATAAACCCTAAACCCTAAACCCTAAACCCTAAACCCATAACAGAGGTTTGGGGTTTAGTGGGTTGGGCTTCAGGCCGCAGGGGTTTAGGGTCTGTCGCCCCCGAGGGTTTGGCGGCTTTTGGGGTTCAAGGTCTAGGCTTCAGAATGTTTCGAAGCAGGGTGCTCTTGAGAATAAAGCTGACCCTGATTCATGGACCTTATCAATAGGTGCGTCGCTTTTACTGAGGACTTCAACTGTCCAGGCTTGTTAATCGGGAGGGCTAAGGGTTTAACGAGCTAGGTTGGTTCGCATTTTCTGTATGCATCCAGTCGGTGTTCGGACAAATACTTGGGGGGGGGGGGTATGGTCAGCCCCAAACCCTACACCTAAAACCAGACACATGAAGAGCACACTCACGACAGACAGAGCGCTGAGGCTCCGACGAGTATTCTTGCTAAAGGTTTTAGATGCGAAAGGAAGCCTTTGATTGGGAGCCTTCACATCCCGGTCTGTGCCGTAAGCCTGCTAGGGTTTCGGGTGCAGGGTTGGGTGTATCATGTGCAGATGCCTGGCAGGGATGCCACCAAGTCCTTCCAAGCCCTGCTCGAAATGTTAATCAGCCTTAAGGGACAAGCAGCCCGTGATTTCGAGTAGTAGGATTCAGCATTGGCGATCGGGTTTATGGGCTCAGTGTTTAGGTTCGAGGGTTGGCAAAATTAATACATGCGACAAGCCCTCAGTGCGAAAGTGCAGAACCTCACCTGATGCTCAAAATATAGCCCATCAAACACTTCCTTGTTGAGGACAACACCATAAACCATTATAGAACCTCGTAGAACCCTTAGCGCGGACCTGTTACAGTGCCACCTTTTGACGTGCCGCTTTGAACTCCCTGTCAGAACAACACGAGAACCCCCAAAAAACAATGTTCAACCCTAAACTCAACCCCCAAACCTAATTCCCTGTCAGAACATCGCCATCACCCTAAAGCCTAAACCTAAAACCCTCAACCCTTAAACCCCAAAACCTTAAACCCTAAGCCTTAAAACCTCTACACCATTAAACACCCAAAACCCCCCAAACCCTAAAACTAAACCCTAAACCCTATATACCCTAAGCCTTAACCTCCCCTTGTCAGAACAACTTGAGTGGGGACTAGGGTTCCCATAATAGGATTCATATACGGAATCCCTACCCCAAGAATCTTAAACCCCCCTTTTGGCCTCCCCTTGTCAGAACAACCATGTACCCTTATAGTATATACTTAGGCCTTAAAGTACCTATATAGGGACCTCTTTAAGGCTTAAGTATCTGCTATAATGGAGCCTTTGGGCTGTCAGAACAACCCTAAACCCTAAACCCAAAACCCCCCAAACCCTAAAACCCTACACCCTAAACCTTAACCTCCCCTTGTCAGAACAATGCCATCACCCGGGCCGCCCTGGGCATCTTCGGAAAGCTGCAGAGCTCTTCGGCCTTTGGAGGGCGCGAGGAGGAGCCTTGAGAAGGGTTCCTTTGAGGGGTTCCCTTGAAAGTTAGGGTTTAATTATGGTTTGTGGTTAGGGGGTTAGGGTTTATAGGGATTTAGGGTTTAGGGTTTAGGGGTTTGTGGTTTAGGGGTGTAGGGTTTACGGCTTTTAAAGGTTTTACTGTGGGGGTTAGGGTGTCTTTCAAGCATTCCTTTAAGAGTTTCTATAGGGGGTTCTTAGGGGGAGGAGTCCTCGGAGGGGTCGGTGCCTTGAGGTTCCTTTTTGGGGGATTCTTCTTTAAGGGTTCCTTTTAGGGCTCCTAAGCGAGATCCTTTAGGAGATACCAGGTCCTTTAGAGGTCGGTGCCTTGGGTTTCGGGGTTTAGGGTCGTAGGGGGTTTGGGGTTTAGGGGTGTAGGGTTTGAGGGTTTATGGTTTAGGGGTTTAGGGTTTAGGGGCTTAGTTAGGGGTTGTAGGGTCTCAGGGTTTAGGAGTTTAGGGTTCGGGGTTTCGGGGCTTTGCGGTTAAGGGGTCAGGATTTTAGGCCTTAGGGTCTCAAGGTTTAAAGCTTCGTTGAAGGGATCTAAGAGGTATCTACAAGAGTTCGGCTAAGGGTTCTATAAAGGGATCCACAAGGGATCTTACCCCTAAACCCTAAACCCTAAACCCTAAACCCTAAAGCAGACAAGTGTACAGGGCTTATGTGCTTTGGGTGTTCTATAAGAGATCGACTGAGGTTGAGGAGCTTTGGTGGTCTCGGTACCTTTATTTAAGTGGGGGTTGGTTCCCCTTTTAAGGTTGCAGCTTGTTCTGCAGAGGTTCTTCAGAGTTTCGCAAAGGATCTACTAGATTTGAGGGCTTCGGTAGTGTTTGGGATCAGTTCGGGGGTCCTTAGAGTGCTTACGGTTTTAGGCTTGAGCGATGCAGGTCAGTTCGGGTGGTCTTGGGGTCCTAGGGTTGTTTTGTACCTTAACCTACCAAAACCTATTTTTTTTGTAGGGTCCCTATAAATTCTATATTAGGGTTTATAGTAGGAACCTACAAAAAAGTAGGGTTTGGTAGTTGAAGGTATGATAACCGTGGCAAAAGGCTGGCACATCTGTGCTTCTTGTGACTCAGCGCAGCTCCCTTAATGTGCTGGAGTGCGCCGGCTCGGCCTGGGAAGGTTCTAACCACGCGGCAAGCTGAGGAGCTTGTTCACTTCACGCCTTTCCGCGACCACAACGAGCCTTTGTTGATTCGAACACTACCACTGTCTGTCCCTATCCCTCCAGGGACCTCATAGTTAGGGCCCTAGACCCCAGGACCCCATAATAAGGTCCCTGGAGGCATAGGGTGTGCGGAGTCGACAGGAGCTGCTCAGGATTACTTCTTCCAGGGGTTCTTTGGCTTGGGTCGGCCAGGCGCTTTCGGAGCCAGGATTAAAGGACGCGGGTGCCAGCGACTCCCCCAGGAAACGCATCTGAGAATCAAGCTTCAGGGCGCCGTTTCCCTGGCATGTTTCGATCGCAAGTGTGCTTGGTGGCTCAGTTTTGCTTGGTAGCTCAGTTTGATTGGTGCTCAGTGTCACTTGGCAGCTCGTGTGTTGTAGGATGTCGAGTTGAGCATGGTGTGCATTGCTGATGTTTGTGGGATTTGACCCTACATAAACCCGAATGGGCTAAGGGTGCTTCCGTGCTTATGTTTCAGAGGCGAGGGCTTGTAGCCTTTGGTACAAGCTTACGAACCCAGCGGCCTAAGACCTATAGATCCGTAATGCCACTACCCTTATAGAACCTTCTTTGGAACCCCAAACCCTATGAACAACGTATTAAACCCAGTTAAGTTTTGGTTGAGCGCAGGTCCCTTGGGAGCTCTTTTGTTCACGAACATCTTGATGCAGCCGAGTGGTTGTCAGTCAGTCTGTCTGTCTGTCAGAAAACCTGAACCGAATTTGCAATAACCCTCAAAACTGGCACCAACAAAAACCCATGAGGTAGAGCCTTTGGCCCCAAAGCAACATGCCGTGACGCGCGAAATGGCTTAGACCCCAAGCCCTGAACCCGAAACCCTCGAAGCCCTTACATAAGTCAGGAGGACATCCTAAACCCTAAACCCTAACATTCAAATATGAACCATACAATAAAAGCCTTGCTTGAGCCTAAACACCTTTAAACAAGTGCAGAGGACATCCTATACAACAAACTCCTAAACCTTAGCCGTTCTTTACGATCTGCATGAGCCCTAAAACCCTTAAAAGCTCTGAAACACCCCAAGGCTCCATGTACCCTTATAGTATATACATAGGCCTTAGAGTACCTATATAGGGACCCCTTTAAGGCTTAAGTATATACTATAACGATACATGGAACCTTTCAAACAAGTGCGGAGGACATCACCCTCGTGACATCCTAAACCCTACACCTTAACCGTACTTTACAACCCTCAAAAGCTCTGAAACACCCTAAGGCTGCATGTACCCTTATAGTATATACTTAGGCGTTAAATCACCTTTATATAGGGACTTGTATGAGCCTAAACACCTTGAAAAAATGCAGAGGACATCCTATACCCTAAACTCCTAAACCTTTAACCGTTCTTTACGGTCTGTATGAGCCTTAAATAAAGCCCGTAAAAGCTCTGAAACACCTTAAGGTTCCATGTACCCTTACAGTATATACTTAGGCCTTAAAGTACCTTTATATTGGGACTTGTATGAGCCTAAACACCTTTCAAACAAGTGCAGAGGACATCCTATACAACAAGTCCTAAACCTTAGCCTATACTTAGGCCGTAAAGTACCTATATAGGGACCTAACACCTTAAAGAAAGTGCAGAGGACATCACCCTCCTGGAGCAGCGGTTCCGCAGCTTCGACGAGCACAGCAGCGGGAAGATCTCGGCGGAGACCTTCATTAAGGTGCCCTTACGGAGGAGTTCCTTTAAGGTGCCCTTAGGGAGGAGTTCCTTTAAGGGATCTTTTAAGGGATCCTTTAAGGTGCCCTTAGGGAGGAGTTCCTTTAAAGGTTCCTTTAAGAGATCCCTTAAGGGATCCTTCAAGGTGCCCTTAGGGAGGAGTTCCTCTAAAGGTTCCGTTATTTAGGGTTTAAGGTTTAGGTTTTAGGCTTTAAATTCAGCCATCAGGGAGGAGGCCGTTCCTTTACTGAGGGACGAAATGAACTCTAAAAGGGCTTGAGGCTCATATACCTCATTGGAATTCTTACTATCCGAGTATAGGGCCCCGAAGTCCCGAAGGGGGTTCCTTTAACGCTTCCTTCCAGTTCCAGGGATCTGTAATGGTTCAGGGTTTGGGGTTTAAGGTGCCTTTAACATGGGCGTTCTAAAGGTGCCCGTTTCGGTGTTCCGTTGTGGGTGGCCCTTTTGCGAGGAGGGTGTTGGGTTTGGGTTTTGGGGTTCCTTGAAGGATTCCTTTAAGTTCTCTAAGCTAGGGATCCATAGGGCTTAGGGTTTGGGGCCGGTTTCAGCTCAGGATTAAAAGGGCATGCATCTGAACTGAAGATTGAATAAGGGGCTCAGCGAGATGGGGTTTGACGACACGGACATGCAGTTGATCAGGGTGGGCGATGAGAACAATGATGAAGAAGCATCAAGACTCAGAGCGCTTCTGACCGTTAAGTTGCTGCTTGGCCTTCAGCAGATTGCAGCCCTAACTACTACTAGTACTACCACAACTAGGAATCCTCAAAAAAGTGCTCTAGAATAGCCAAGATTTGAGGCCTGTTTTTGTTCTAAAGGCCTTGCAGGATTTGTCGTACTAAAACAGGTGGGCACGAGTAGCACTAGTATGACCACTCTCGAACCCTACACCCAAAACCTTGTCTCAAGGCCCCTATCCCTAATATTCTAGAACCCTTATAGACCCCCAATGGAGTCCTTTCTGAAGGGACCCTTTAAAGGAACCCTATTCTAAGTATTAGAGCCTCGCCTGCGCTTGACACCCTACTGCCAGGTTCTCAAGACCCTACACCCCCTAATAATAGATTTAGGGTCTATAAAGGGTTTAGAAGGAGCCCTTCAAGGATTCGAAGTCCCATCATTTAGGGTTTAGGGTTTAGGGTTTGGGGTTTAGGGTTTAGGGTTTGGGGTTTAGGGTTTAGGGTTTGGGTGCCAGGTTCTCAAGGAGTCCTTGCAAGTGCAGATCTCCAGCAGCGAGGAAACGGAGTCGGGGCCGCGGCGCATTCGACACAGAGTGGGGTTTGGGGGTTCAGGGTTCCTGTAAAGGAATCCATACGGTTACTACTAAGGGTATCATGGGGGTTCAGGGGGTTCCTTTAAAGGGATCCATACGGTTACTATAAGGGTATCATAGGGTTTAGGGGCTTAGTGTTTAGGGGTTCAAGGGGCTTAGAGTTTACTGTAAGGTTTAAGGGTTCTGAGGGTTCTATGAAGGATCAAACCTTCCCCTAAGGCTTGAAGGGCCATCGTAGTAAGCTGCAGGGTTTTGTAAGGGATCTATAACGGTTTCGGGTTAACCCAAACGCTCTAAGCAATTACATGCTTGGGGGCTACTGGGTCCAAAGACCCCACTACATGAGGCTTTTGTCTGCAGAATCCCATAGAAATTCCAAAGCACTAAACCCGAATTCCCTAAACCCAAGCCCAAACCAAAGCCCTATAACTCTTATTAGCATAGAAAGACTCTGCGTCCTGAGGACTCGCAACCCGGAGTGTTGAACCCTCACCACAGCCCGAGACCCTTGCCGCACCAGTCAAACTCCTACGACCCAGACGTGTTTGAGTTGGGATGATTCGTGTTGATTGTGCCCATAGCCCCATAGTGTTGATTGTAGTTCCTTTGCTGGCTCAGCAGTTATATTGTGGGATCCTAAGCGTATCCGGGTTACCCAAAAAACTGAACTACAATGAAAGACTCTTGGTACAGGTATGAGGGCATTCGGCCGGGGTACCCTCGACTTTGCCAGGGTTTCAATTCAAGCTATGTTCCCGCCCAAAGCGCTTACCTCAGGCAGACCACGAATCTGCAGGATATCCTTACTTGAACCTTAAATGACCTGAAGATTTTCCCAGTGTTCCTTATCATGGCTGTCTGCATAATAGTCCTGAAAAAGGTAGGTTTTATCGGGCTGAGGGAGAGTCCATGCCAGGTTCTTCGATCGCATCGCCGATGTGAGCCTCCCTGCCGACGAGGAGTCTCGTTCAGCGTAAGGGCTTTAGGCGAAGCTCAAGCCCTTCCAACTAACGAGGGTGCTGCCTTCCTTTGCATTCCCACAGCGGGATGCTAGGCTGTACCCTGCACCCACTGTGATCCCTACGGGGTTTATACTTCCTCCCGTCTGAGGATTGTATATAGTATAAAAGCTTGTTCGTCGGAGTGTTAGGGTTCCCTGGATACTCCACTTCTGAAAATGCTTTAGATCTCCAAGCCCCTAATTTAAAGCCTTGTAGACCTACCACAAGCCCTTCTGAAACCCAAACCTCCCTCAGTAAACCCCGGACCCTCAGCCCGCAGTAGACCCTAAACCCAAAAACCCTCAGTCAATCCAAAAACGCCCAAGCAAGGTTTGTAGAACCCTTAAAGAACCCTGGAGCCTTATAGATCCCCTTGCATAAGAAAATCCTTCAAAGGAGTCCTATAGGATCTCTCAATGGAACCCTCTGTCAGGAGGAGGTTCAGGCTGAGGATATCTCCAAGCATTGCGACCGATGGACGCGAGAAGTGAACTACAAGGAGTTCATCCTCATAACCAAGGCCAGCCCCTCATTGCTTCCGGTGCAATGTTCAGGGGTTCCTTTTCGGTTACTATAAAGGTATCATACCGTAGGGTTTAGGGCTTAAGGGGTTCAGGGGCCCCTATTAACCCTTAAACCCTAAACCCTTAAGTATGATACTTATCGTAACCGTATGGATCCCCTTCAAGGAACCCCTATACCCTATGATACCCTCAGTAGTAACCGTATGGATCCCTTTAAAGGATCCCCCAAACCCCCAAACCCCACTCTAGGCGTTTAGGGGTTTTAGGGCTATAGGGGACTGCAAGGGGTTCCTCCTCACAACCAAGGCCTGGATTTGGGTGTTTGTTAGGGGTTTTAGTGGATTTTGAGTGGGTTTTTAGTGGTTTGGGGGTTTTGGGTGGTTTTTAGGGGTTTAGGGGTGTTTTTAGGGGTTTTAGGGGTTTAGGGGTTTTGAGGGGTTGTTAGGGGTTTAGGGGTGTTGTTTATGGGTTTTGGTGGTTTTGGGCGAGTTTTATGTAGGGTTTTTAGTGGTTTTAGGGTTTTAGGGTTCAGGGTTTACAGTATATAGAAGCCCCAAATAGTCTCAACCCTTAACAGTAATGTATAGGGCATAGGCTTAACCCGGTTTCCAACTTTACAGGGTTTACTGTAGGGGTTCAGGGGCTCTGGGTTTAGGGTTCAGGTTCCAGGTTCAGGTTGTAGTATCCTTAAGGGAGGGGGGTCCAAGGGGGGTATATAGCCTAGTGATCCCTAATCCTCCGTAGTTCTCCCTAAGGTCCCCTTACAGTCCCCTAAGGATTCCTTATACCCTCCCCCCTTGAACCACCCTCCCTTAAGGATCCTATAATCAGGGATCTATCGTCTATAGGGTCTCTGTAATGAAGCCAAGATCCCCCCCAAGCCAGGCGCAGCGACGGAACATCACAACGGCGGCTATCCGAGAAGTCTTTAGGGCTTTCGACGAGAACGGCGACGGGTGCTCTGCAGAGTTTTTGAATATATTTGGGGTTCAGTTTTTTGTTTTTTTGGTTTAAGGTTTGGAGAGTTTTTGAATTAAGGGGTTTAGGGTTTAGGTTTAAGGTTCAGGGTGATATACAGATTTAATGGGATTTTCGCAGTATGTGTTTAAAGAGCCTGGGTTTTGCGGAGGTGCGGGTGTACGCGGTGCAGGGGTTCCTTTTGGGTTTTGGTGCTTGTGGTTTAGGGTTCAGTACACCTCCATCCACCTCACAATGATTCAGAGGACACCGAGAAACCAGACCTTGTCGATACATGCGCCACTTCAAGCTTGCTTAGAAGTAGGTCGCCCATAATATTGGGGCCAGAGCGTTTTATGATATGAACTGGGAAGATTCGCTTATAATGTGACAGCCTTCATAATAAACTCGGAACCTTCCATTGGACTATGCAGCCCTTAAAAGATGCACCAAGGAATCCTAGAGATGTGGCGATGCACTAAGCCCTAAGCAAGGGTTGCGCCCTCTCAGAATGTCGAAAGGGTCGCCTCCAAAATGGGGTGCTTCCCCAACGATACCGCCGGTCGCCGCAGCACGCCAGCCCCAGCCTCATCTTCGTCCTCACAACATGCCACAGATGGTCCTGCCGGTCATAACGGTGACGGAGGAAACGCCGGGCACAAAGGCAGAAAAGGCGAACCTGCCGGTCGTGGCAAAGGTGATGGCGGTTTTCGCCCCTGGCCATGGGAAAAGCGCGCACCGTGCAACATTCAGGCCGACGCTGCCCACGAAAGTCGGTCCTTCCCACCGCTGCCGCCGGAAGGCTCGGATTCTGACAAACCGAACTCCGGAATGCTACTTTTAACCCTGCGGCTTGCTCTACAGTAGAAGCTCAAAAGTTGGAAACCCCATGCATAGCCTCAATCCTGAACAGTAATGTAAAGGGAATCCCAGCACTATTTGGCCTTATTTCGGTTTCCAACTTTCTAGGGTTTGCTGTACAAGGTTTACCTTAACCCTGAATAACATACCTTTTTAGGGTTCCCTATTATGATTTCCTCATATAAGTCCTTAAAAAGGTAGGTTCTTCAGGGTTAAGGTAGGGGCTAGGATTCAGGACCTTTGAGGGTTCTTTAACATTGAGGGTTCCACGGGGAAGCTGGGGTGTAGGGACCTAGACATCGATTGTAGCCCTTGTTAGCAGAACCGAAACTATGCTTAGGACCATCTATGATGGGAGGAACCAAAATCCTAACCCTTCAATCACTGAGCCCTTAAGCGGAGGTATATCAAGGAAGACGATGCCCACAGCTTGCTGGGTCAGGAGTTCAAAGACACTATCAGCAGTTATGCCGGAGGCACAGTTGAAGTGGAGCTTGCGGACATTGGAGTGTACTGTAGGGGGCCTAAATAACTACCTATACTGTCTTTTGGGGGGGGTCCGTATCATACTTAGAGTCTAGTGGGCCCTAAAACCCAGGTTCTGGTTGTTGAGGCCCCTACCTTAAGGTTTGGAGCACTCCTCTGAACACACATGCAAATCGCCTTCCAGCTTAGCCCCCGATCCGCCTCACCATACCACTCCAAGTGCCATTAACCAGGCTGTTCAGTGGTACACTTTTTACTTTCAGGTTTCAGGGTTCCTATGATAGAAAAAGAAGCCAAACAAAGTATCTACTTTTTCCGAGTGGGCTACTGAACAACAGCCTAGTTAAGAAGTTTTTCTGAGGTTTAGCATGCGAGTGACTTTGCTGCTCAAGCTATCGGTGATAACAACACATTTATTATACGGTTTACTTTGGCAACCAATAAACCCTAAACCCCTTAACCCTAAACCCTCTTCTGATAATTAAACCTGTCAATCTCTGCTAATAGCTCTTGTACTCTAGGGCTGGGAGTTTACTTTCACCGACCAAAACCTAGGTTGTTTGTAGGGTCCCTTTAAAACCCATGTTACGGTATATTTAGAGCCTATAGCAAAGTTGGTTCTGGTAGTTTCAGGTAAGGATTACATACGGTGACTAGGGTTGCTAGAGCTTGGGGTTTGAGCAGCGCTGAAAAGGTCGGCTGTTTCGGGCTTGGCGACTCCACTACTGCAGACTTCTGATCAATAAATCCTCTTTCTTTAAGGGCCTTGTTCTTAGGATGCCTTAATTCCTGTAGAGGGGGAGGGTTTATTCATCGGGGTCTTGGTTCCCTCAAAAACTTCATGCAGTCATATAGCGCATATTCAGGCTTAAGTTTGGTCTTTATCTAGGTACTTTCGGGCCCAAATATGTGCTATTTGGGTACATGGGCCCTTGAGGGATTTTTGTGGTGAAACACATCCCAAATCCTGCTCGAGTGATTGAGGCCCCTATGATACCGTTGTGGCACATCTCCTGACCCTCCATGTACTTGTTGGCGGAATCTGCAAAATGAGCCAAACGCCCCAAAAAAGACTTTAAACCTAAAGCCCTTACACAGGCCTTAAAGGAACCTTTTGCTAATCATTAAGACCCCTTTCTTAGGCCCTTATAGGAACCTCAATTGTACATCCCTTCGAAGGAACCCTTACACGGTCCCTCACTCAGGTCAACAAGCTGGGTAAGGATGTGATCGACTATCGCGACTTTTCCAAGCTCGTCTCCTTGGAGATCTCCAAGGCAGAGGCGAGGCAACGTTGTGGTAGTTTACTCTCAGGGCCCATGTACCCAAATAGTATGCACTTTGGGACCAATGTAACTATATAGGGAGTACTTTGCGGCCAATGTATATACTGTCTGGGCACATGGACCCTTAGAGTAACCTAGACCTTGAGTAAAGGTATGGCCATTCTTAATGGATTTGGAGTCTCCCCACGTTAGGGCTCAGGCTTTAGCATATGTAGAAGTTTCGGGTGTAAGTGCGCAGGTGGTTCTTGCAGAACAGACAACACCCACAATATGACATAAGAACACTAACCAGCACAGATATCACCACACAAAGAAAAGGAACCACGGCCTTTACACCCGAAAACTCTGCTGGATGCAACGATGACAGGCAGGTATAGCAGCGACACATGTTGCTTGTGTAAGCAGCAGCGACTTGTGCATGTCTGTTGCTGCTTGTCTCCCATGGGTCTATAGACCCTAGATCGTGTTACCTGTTTCTGATTACTAGCGCATGTTGTTATATATGTGGTTCTTGTGAAAAAGACACGATCCCAACCACAAACCAGGTTGCCCAAAAGCAAGCGCTACAGTTCAGAGCGCGCTGGTAAACCCGAAGTACCCTACCAATCGGCTGAGAGAAGGTAGTGTGCGCTGAATCTTTGGACTTCACCATCAAACTAGCTACTGACTGCCTGTACGGGAAGAGACAGGTTTACAACCCTCTAGAAAGCCTTCAAGCCCCCTTGTCACCGAGAGCTCTCTATTACGGCTGCATGTATGGTTGCAATAAAGCACCTAAACTCTCTCCGGAAGAGCCCTGAACCATAAACCCTAAACTCTCAACCCGAAACTCGTGAACCCCTGATAACCCCTTAAACCCTATACCCAAACCCCTACACGAAAGCTGCTCCGAAAGGACCAGAATCACAGTGAGGAAGCCAAGGCGGACGTTCAGATCGTGTCGGCCCCGGCGGGTTGGAGTCTTCGGAGTTTAGGTTCTTCTTAGAGGCCCATGGGGACGTAGGGTTTAGGGGTTTAGGGTTCAGGGTAAGGGTTTAGGGAAAGTTTAGGGTTTAGGGTCTACTTGGAGGCCCAGGGGACTTAGCAAGTTGGTTATAAGTAGATTATATCTTTGGTAACTCCATCTAGCGTGCTTATAACTCCACTTCTAACCTACTTACGAAGCCCCCTGTAGGGTTTGGAATTAACCACCCAACCCCTAAACCCTCGAATATCCCTTTCAGGGCCCCTCAGCTGAACTCTGCTAAGGAGCCCTTTAAAGCATTACAGCCTAAACCCAAAACCCGAAACCCTAAACCTTAGCCTTCATAGACCCCTCATCCTGTCATCCTGTCATGGGAATCCTTTTTAATGGATGTCTGAGCGTTCGTTTATGGATTCCTTCAAAATTTCCTTTTTCAGAGACTTATATAAGGAAGTTACATTAATTAAGGAACCCGAAAAAGATAGGTTCTTTAGGGTCCAGGTAAGCCTGAAATAAACCTCCCTGAACCCCTAAACCCCTGAACCCTAAGCCCTAAACGCCTAAACCCCTAAACCCTAAAACCCCTAAACCCAAAACCCCTAAACCCCTGAACCCTAAACCCTAAATCCCTAAACCCCGAGACCCCTAAATAAACCTCCCTAAACCCTAAACCCCTGAACCCTAAACCCTAAATGCCTAAACCCCTAAAGCCTTAAATAAACCTCACAATCAAAAACTAAAAAAAAAAAAAAATATATATATATATATATATATATTAGGTCAATCCAGTTATTATGAAAAATGAAAACCATTGCGGGCCTGCTTAGGTCGAAGATCCAGAGGCCGATCCGGGTGAGGCGCCCTCACACGGCGTGGGTCTCGGGGGCCGAAGGACCTCTACACGGATTTACGGGTTTAGGGTCTAGGGGTTGACGGGTTTAGGGGTTGACGGGCTTAGGTTTTTAGGGGTTCAGGGGTTTAGGGTTTAGGGGTTGAGGTTTTAGGGTTTAGGGGTTGAGGGGTTCGGGTTTAGGGGTTCAGGGGTTGTTTAGGGTTTATGGGTTTAGGGGTTAAGCGTTTAGGGTTCTAGGGTCTATGGTTGAGGGGTTTAGGGGTTATAGGGGTTTAGGGTCATCACGACCCTCCAAGCGCCCTTCAATAGAGCGCTTATGGTCCTTTAGCTTTATAGTAGGCATTCAGGGTATCGCAGAATGACCCTTACGAGCAGAGGCCCTATATCCGTTTTCTTTGAATGTCTCTGACTCCCTGTCTGGCATACCTGCAGGGGCACTCAGGGCGCTAGGGGGAGTAAGGGCTCGCTGTTTCAGGGTCTAGTCTTTTAGGGTTTAGGGTGTTGGGCTTGATACCCTAAACCCTAAACCCTAAACCCTAAACCCTTAAACCCTAAACCCTAAACCCTTAAACCCTAAACCCTAAACCCTAAACCGTCTTCAAGGGTTGTGGGTTTCTGGGTTTGGGTTTTGGGTTTTAGGGTCCACAAACTCAGAAACCTTCGGCCCCGTCTGAGGCCTCCTCCACCACCCCCTCCTCGAAGGCAATACGTAGATGCCCCTGGGGACTGAGGAAGTCGGTTATAGGTAGGGTTTTAACTTCGGGAACTCCGTTTAGGGTTTCTATATCTCCACTACTCATAGTTACCTACTTACTAAGTCCCCTGAGCCGCTAAGTATCATGAAGTATCATTGGGGCCTTAATAATTCGCGGCCTCAGATGCAACGTGCAGCAAAAGCTACCTATACTGTTTTGGGGTTCCGTAATATAATTGTAGTATAATGGGCCCCAAACCATATTCTAACTATTAAGGCGCCTTCAGTATACCAAACCCTACAAGTCTTAAGCCCTGGAGGTCCCTGTAAAACTTGAACAGTCGATTCGAAAAGCAGCTCCCCTAAGGAACATACTCCCTATCTAGGTCTAGGTACTTCAGAGCCGAAGCATAAACTAGACGATACATGGACCCTTTGGGTTCTGACAGTGTTGAAACTACAAACGTCTTGGCTTTAGGTGCTGTGAACTTGTTTGCAGCAGTTGGCATGAAGCCTGATATAGGGGCCTTACAAATTTGAATAGGGTATGCGGGCCCATTATATTATAGTTGTAACAAGGAACCCCCAAAAATAGTATAGGTAATTGTTCAGGCCCATAGTGGAGTCGAGGGTTTATCGTTTGAGGCGTTGGGGTTTCAGGGCGGACCTGCTGTGGTCTTCAATCACGCGTCATTACGGAACCACCAGAAGCACCGCCTCATAAGATATCCTGCCGTTCTAAATGGGTTTTGCTGGTGCTCGAATTCTGTTGCCATAAGTACACCGCAACGGCCCGAAACCGAAGCTGAAACGCAGAGCTTCCGGGTCTGGGGGCCCTCACCCCAAGACCTTCTGTAGGGGCCTAAATAAGTAGAATGGGGTTTGGGGGTCTATACTATAGCTATAGTAAGGAACCCAAAACCGTGTTCTACTTTCTTACAGGCCCTGGCACTACATCCTTATAAAAAGCCCTGATAACTGATATAGTCCTTAAAGCCTTAAAGGACACCTTTAAACTGCCAATCATGTAGGCCTCTACGTTACAACGCAGAAGACAACCGTCCTCAGGTTTGGCAGAGGTCCCTTCCACCTGCCCTCCGTTGGCACGCGAAGTGCCTGCCCCTCGTGAAAGGGCCTAGGGTTCGCAGAATGCCTCAATGTAACCCTATGCCTCCAAGGACCCTATACTCAGGGCACTAGACCATTTACGGACCCAATAATAAGGTCCCTGGACGCCTAGGGGTAGGAAAGGGCTTGAATAATTATAATACAGTTCTTGCGTAAGTTGTACCATGTCAATGTTAGGACCTGTAAGCAAGTACAATTTGAATTTTCACACCCCTATATACGACGGTAGACGGATGCCTGATGGGAGAACCCCATTTTGCGAGGCTCTTGCAATAGTGGGATGCGTGTAGTATGTAAATATTTCCCTGAGAGTGCAAGTACCTAATAATCCTCTACTCTCCAAAGTAGTAACCTACATAACTATACCTATTATCCTAAACCCAAACACCTAATTGTTGGATCCTTTGGACCCCTGCGGCATTAGTAAGGGGAGGGAGTCTGGCATCCAGGTCCGATGATTACTTGGACTCTGTGTTTTGTACCCAGCAATTAAGTATGAGATATAGGTCAGCAAAACAAAACTAGTGTAGAAATTCCTAGGCTCCGTGCTTTAAGTAATATTGCCCCCAAGGCCCTTTTCTGATTCTTATCGTAATAACCCTTATAGAACCGTCAAAGGAACCTTTTGAAGGAACCCTCGAGTGATTAGTAAGGCGCTTCCCACAGGTGGGATGAGGGTAGGTAGGACTAAGGATCCCCCTAAACCCTAAACCCTAAACCGGTGCATAAGGACTCTTCTTGGGCATTCTCCCACCGTCCCCACCTAGCTTCATCCCACCCGTGGAGGCCTGGGATTATTTCAGGGGGCAGGGGGACTCCTTGAATTCTACAGCTCGTTTGCTCGCGGTTTGGGGATCATGGCTGACAAGGTTTAGGGTCCTGTGTTGACGGTTGTCTTTTCACTAGGAAGAATTTGCTCAATCATCACTTGTTCCAAGCACCTTTGCAACTCCGAAAGGCTGTTCGGCAGTGACTTTTCCAAGCTATATGGAAAACATATGCCATGGGCGTAGGGTTTGGGAAGGTCAGTGTCCCGGGTAAGTATTCGGGAAAGATTTCATGACATGGCTGTAGGGTTTAGGGTTTTGGGACGACGGCACGCAAATAACAAGTGCACGCCATTCCTGTTAGGTATCTTATCTAACCCGTCATCCCTTCTGTATGCTGATATTCGGGCTTTGCGTTTTGGCAAACTCTTTAAGGCTGAGGACATTGTGCTTGCTGCACCCAGGTCGCCAACAACGGTGGTGACGAAGAGGACAGCAGCAGTCAATCAAGCATCGGCTACAGACATAAAACCCTAAAGGCTACTTGTAAACCCAATATCCTTCTCTTTCAAGGCTCCAGATCATGATGTCCGAAGACATTCCGTTTACAAGGTGCATTACATAGTGGTCTGCAGAATGAGTACAAATAACCCGCGGCAATCATTAGTTCGTAGGGTTAGGAGTCGTGCAGATTGGCACGCCAACATTTCCGATGCAACAAAAGTCCAGCAATAAAGACGCTTGCACGTCTACATAATGCCACTATCCTTTATAATTCCTTACGATTAACATTTCCATACCGCAGTGTTCCCTGGGGCTTGTTGTATTTATAAAGGCTCGTACACGATATCCTAAACCCTAAACCCTTCTAGACCTCCTTCAATGCAATCCGATTACAGCCTCTGTATTACTACCTTCTGCTCAAGCTCTCAACATTAATCCTGGTATTGCACGTTATCTCACAAGCCCCAGTGTCAACACAAACATTCAGGCCTGAGACAGGTATTCGGACAATTCTCAAAACCTAGTCATTACATAGACTAGGACCTAGAGCAGGCCCTTATTCCTTTTTTAGGCGTCAGATTCCCTTATAAGCCCCTTTAAACCAAAACTGGCCCCCTTTGTATTCCTAGGCTACTCTTGGGTCTAGTATAGAAGATTGCCGGAGTCGGGCGATCAGGGTTTCCGTAATCTCTAAACTCTAAAGCCCTTAAACCCCTAAGCCCGGAAGCCCCTACCTGTATAGAGGCTCATACCCTGCCCCTGTTTTAGGTGACCTACTTTTCTATATAGCAGATCCAAACTAGAGAACTAGGTAGCCTAAAAAAGAGGTAGGGTATGAGGCTATAGGTAAAGCCTAAACCCCTAAACCCTAAACCGGGTTTGTTTCGACAGGGTCGAAGACTAAGACCTTCCATGTAGGGTTAGGGGCTTTGGAGCCGGGAGTTCCGGGCAGAGACGGTTTAGGGTTTAGGATGTAAAGGGTGGTTGTCAAAATTAAGGTCCCTTTTTGGGTCCCTAATATAGTACGGCACCTAATATTTAGGCTACCCAAAAAGGGACCCTAATTTTGACAGCCACCCATATAGGGTTTAGGGTGTAGTCATCTGTGCTTCGGGGGGGCGGGGGTAGTTGGATTTGGAGCTTCGAGTTTGGACAAAACCCTAAACCTTAATCCCTGACTCACTCAACCTAGGTTCAGCCCACCGAAATGCCAGACACTACGGGAGCCGTTCAACTACAGACACTATTCCTCAAGGGTCCCTGAACGTGTGTCCCCTTTAGGGTTTAGGAGTTAGGGTTATGTACGAAGATCCGCAAAAGTATTCAGACTTGATTCTACACAATGCTTGAGAGCCGTTTGTTAGCCCCCTGTTTAAACTGCCCTCACAAAATCCGTATTCTCTACGGCCCATGCACTCAAAGATGATATACTCTGGTCTTCAAAGTAGTCCTTGCATATCGTTACCTTAGGGCCCAAGTAATTATTTACGTTTTGGGCCATGGACCTTCGGGGACTACCCCTAAACCTTAAACGCTAAACCCCGGACTCTACAATCCGAGCTTTCGAGGATAGAGCCAGATGTGAGGGAGGCTGGTTTGGTCCTCTTGAGGGTTTAATAATAATCGCCTATACTACGTTTGTTTTTGGAGGTTTGACTTTTAACTATAGTCCCCAAACCCTTTTCTAATGATTAAGGCCCCTACATTACCCTACTTGGAGGGTCGGGGGAGTTTGTATGTAGTTGTATCCTAGAGTTATGAGTACCACTTAGAGGCCCAGGCGAATTAGTACGTCGGTTGTAAGTAGGGTTATAGTTGGGTCACTCCAATTCGGGTACTTCCAACTCGGCCTCTAACCTACTTACTAAGTCCCCTGGGCGTCTAATCATAACCCCTGTTAGGATCCCTTTTTCAGACTACTTATAACTCTACTTACTACCTACTTACTAAGTCCCCCGAACCTCCATGTATGTGTCCAGTGGACCCAATAACAAGGTTCGAAGTCTACAAGGGTCCCGAATCTGTAGGGTTACAAGGGGCCGAAGGACCCATTGATTAGGCCTTGGGTTTGGGATAGTAGTTGTGTAGGTTATTTTTTTGGAGAGTACATGATCATTAGGCACTTGGACGCTTCGAGTCAGGGCTGGGGTTCTGATGCAGCGGGTTCGCTTGAAAACGCATCTTTCCGGGTTTTTGGGGTTCGGGGTGTTGGCTAGACCGTAGGAATTTGGGCAGTACAGTTTTGGGCATTGGGGTTCAGAGTGTTTAGTTGCAGGTTTGGGATACACGGGGTTCAGGTTTGTTAAATCCTCTGACTCTGACCTGCCAGTGGGAGTTCGGAGTCTAAGGCTTTATGTTTATGAGGTTTTCATGTTTCAGCTGACTTCGGAAATCTCAGCGACAACCTTAGAGAACATACCAACCCTAAACCCTAACATACCCCTTGAGCGCTAAATTCACAACAAGCTTCTCACTCCGTCCTGTTGGTCGTCCCCTGAACCCTGAACCCTAAAGCATCTAAAACTAGGATCCAGAGTAGTCCCTTATTCCCTTTTTTTAGGCTTCAGGTTCGCTTGTAAGCCCCTTTAAACCCAAAAGGGCACCCTTTTTATTCCTAGGTTACTCTTGGGTCTAGAAAAGCACTCAACCCTACTCCAAACCCCAGAAAGGTTTTAAGTTTCAGAGCCCTAAACCCCAATCCTTGACACCGTCTTCCACGAGAGCACCTGGGAAGCTGCTGGGTGACCTGCTCCCTGAATCCTGAACCTTGACCTAACCCTGCTAAGGATCCAAAGGACCCAGTACTTGGGTACTTGGATTTGGGAAATAATTAGTAGTTATATATTTGGGAGAGTAAACTATGAGTATTACACCTAAACTGCACCTTCGGCTGGTCAGCATGCGTTTTGGTCCAATGCCTCGGCCCCTCAATACTCTAAGCCTTGCAGTTGTCCGATGGTTTCAGGGTTTAGGTCGGGGTCCCGGCAATTGAAGCTACTTGGAGGATCATGGGACTTAGTAAGTAAGGTTATAAGTACCTTAACTGGGGTTACAAGTAGTTATAAGTATAGTTACCCCAATAATAACCCTAGTTACTAAGTCCCATGATCCTTTAAGTAGACAACACTCTTGGAGAGCCCTTGGTGGCCCCCGCACGGCCCGCCTGCGCCTACGCCGGTCAATGAGCCGCTTGGGGAGCGCCTTCACCGGGAAGCTACCGAGGCGTTCAACCGCTTGGTCTCGCAGGAGGTGTTTTGCGCAGTGGCTGATGCTCTGGCGCGACGGGGCATCCCAATGCACTTGGCGCTGACTCGAGTGGAGCCTGATGCCATATCTCAGGGTACAATGGCGATCTATGTCCGCCCTTGAACCGCTCCTGCAGCCTGGACCTCGGAGTTTGTAGCTTTTTTTGCGGTGGACGTCTCACGGGCCCAGGCCGGCAATGCCCACCCTTCGCGGCACGTTCTCAGCCGAGACCGAGGAGGGCAGAGAACTTGGCCGAGCTGATCGGCTGGATCAGCTCGGCCAACTGACTCTACAAGAGCTGGCCAGCGCCTGAATCCCGACAACGAAAGATCTGCTGTTGTGTGCGCCGCTTTGTTCGAGCAGGCCACACAAAGGCTGACCCACTCATGCGACATCTGCCTCAGCCCTTTGCTTCGAGCCAGTCGGGAGCGACACTGGCGAAAAGTGTCGGCAGGTAATCTGTTACCACAGACAAAGAGGTATATTATACCATGATTGTAATAAGGAGCCCCAGGAATAATAGGATTCTCAGTCTTTCAAGCTGCTGTATTAAGCTTGGGGTTTTTCTTCAGGGGAATTTGGGGTTTAACGAATATTTCAGGCTAGTCACCGAAGGCAGTCCGTGCCCTGTCTCCGTGTGCCGGATCGGCTACACTCTGATCGCTTTCGAGCTGCATGGTTTCCAGAGAACTCCGCAGGAGACTCGATGAAATAAGCTGGGTGAGGAAAAAGCTGTCAACGAAAACACTGTCCCCAAAAGAACCCTGTTCCAAAGTCTAAAGTTCTTCTTCAAAAGAGAGGCCCCAAAGCCCTTTTAACCCATACTCCCTAAACTCAAGCAAAAACCTAGACTAACCCTTCAACGACCCCTTTGGAAGGAAGCCCAAAAAGCCCTAACCTTCTAAGCCCTAAACCTTCAAACCCTAAACCCTAAACCGTAAACCCTTGAAAACCCTAAACACTTAAAAAACCTTCAAAAGTTTCAAACCCTCAACCCTTAAATCCTGAATCCACGGACAGGGAGCGCTTCCTAGCCTTGAGTCGGTGCGCAGCGGCAGCCACGATACGACCGAGGCCAAGTTTGGTCTTTCTTTCTGTAAGGGCGTCTTTGAGGGTTCCTTCAAGGGTTTCTTTAATTAAGGGCTCCGTTAAGGGTGTCTTTAATTGAGGGCTCCGATAAGGGTGTCTTTAAGCGTTCCTTTAAGGGCTTCTGTAAGGATGTCTATAAGGGTTCCTTTAAGGATTTCGCGAAGGGCTCTTTTGAGATTTTAATGGTTGCTTTAAGGGTTCCTTGAAGGGTGAAGGGTTTCTTTAAGGGCTCTTACAAGCCTTCCTTTGGGGGTTCCTTTAAGGGTTCCTGTAAAGGTTCCTTTCAGGTTTCTTCGAGGGTTTCTTTAAGCATTCGTTCAATGGATTTTGGGTTTTTAGGGTTTAGGGAATAAGGATTGCTTCACGGGCTCCTCCAAGGGATCTACAAGCGTGGCACTGCTTTGGGGGTTCTGGATTGTCGGGTTTGGGGTGCATAAGTTTGTTTCTCAGCGCAGTTTAGGCTAAACGTCTGGCGCTATTCCGGACTCTCCAGAAGCTGCTCGGCGCAATGGTGGCCGACCTCACTGTTTAGGGTTTTAGGTTTAGGGATAGAGGCCCAGAGCTTCTTAGTTTTGCTATATGAATATATGGATTGGGGCAGTTGGAGAAGACAGCTTTCGAAGTAGGATCGCTGTGGGTTCTGGGCATGCTTAGAGGCCCAGGGGACTTAGTAAGTAGGTAATAAGTAGAGTTTTAAGTACTCTAAATGGAGTTGCCCCACTTATAACCCTACCCTAAACCCTAAACCCTAAACCGACCCTACTTATAACCCACTTACTAAGTCCGCTGGGCCGCCAAGTGTGCCAGTTGGAGCCACAAAACGGTCGTTCCGGCTCTGTGCTGCTTTCCCTCTAAAGCTCCAGGGAGTTTCCGAACACTAGGGGTACCTTCTTTAGGGGTCCTTATAATAAGGATCCTACTACGTCTAATTTAGGGTACTATATTAGGGCCCCCTGGTTTCCGAAACCCCCATGTATCTTTATAGTAGATACTTGAGCCTTAAAGGGGGTCCCTATATAGGTACTTTAAGGCCTAAGTATATACCATAAGGGTACATGGAGCCTTAGGGAAGGGAGACGGGCCCTTCTAAAGAAAAGCAGCCGGATTGCAGACAGGGCTCGCCAACAACCCAGAGACTCCAAAACCGCTTAATTAAGACTATACCTTAAATCATAGTAGGTTCCCTATATGATTTAAGGAATATTCCTGAATTAAGGGATTTTGGAGTCTCCAGGGAAGCGTTCCGTCGTCACTTGGGGCAGACCTGGGCATTGGGCATCCGCCTTCACCAGCACACCGCCAGGTGAGATCACAGAGGTCGAAGCTCCCAGACCCTCCAAAACCCCTTGATTAAGGAATATACCTCAAATTATAGTAGGATCCTTAATATGATTTGAGGAATATTCCTTAATTAAAGGATATTGGAGTCTCTGGGCTGTTCAAGCGACGAATCAAGCGTTTGCAGCGCTTAAACGTGATGGAGTGTTTATCACATGTGCAATGCGGAGGAACCATCCCCTTTCTGCGCACTGCTGGCCCCAGCTTCGCCAAGCCCGACCCGGCCCATACTTACGCGATTGATGGCTGGGGCAAAGGCCTGTGTGCGAGTGGGCTGATCCTTCTAGACAGATGGAAGATCATCAACGGCCGTTCGCTGCAAGCTGCATTGGATGAGGGGTTCGAGATGTTCAAAGCTGTTTGCCTCACTTCTCGATGCTCGTCAGGCGCAGTGTGCACTGTCGTCGGATGCAGTGACTGCGAATGAGCGCGGCCTCGCCAACGTGTATCCGGGTGCAGAATGTGGCTGGCGTTTAACAACTTGGACATGCCAGACAGCATGTTTTGACTGAAGTGGTTTGGGCTGAGGGTCTAGGGGTATATTGTGTAGATGGATAGGGGTAGTAGAGTAAGTAACCTTTAACCTTTTTGGGGTAGTATAGCCCCTATATAACCCTATATAACCAAAAAATAACCTTTAGTTCCCCGTGATACCCGACAAGTAGGTCGTTGAATCCCCTAAATTAAGCCATAGAAAGCTTAATTTAGGGGAATCCTTGCCTACTAATCCTAAGCATCAAAACCATAGGCTTGGGGGTTCCTGGATTCAGGCTTTGAGGCTTCAGGTGCAACGTTGTGAATAGGTTGGTTGGTTGGCTGGTTTAAGGTTTTTTTTTGGGGGGTTTTTGGGGTGTTGGTTCACCCTGAGCCCTATAAACCCTAAACCTCCGAACCCTAAGCCGAAAACCCTAAACCCCGAACAAGCAAACGTATCCCCTTGCTTGGGTGCTGGTTAAAGGCATGAAAGGCGGCAACCAGTCTTTGGGAGGGCGGTCAGGGCTTGGAGTTCGAGTTTCCGGTTCAGGGTTTACAACATGGCTTCAGGGGTTTACAATGTGGTTCATGGGGTTTATAAGATGGCTTATAGGGTTTAGCGTTTCCGGCTTATGATTGAGGGTTTAGGAGAGCTCCGGCCCAGAGCCGGCAACAAACTGTTACAAACTAAGCTGTTTGTAGCTGTCTGGTCGCCCGAAAATCAACAGGAGTGCGATGCCGACGCACAGAGTGATGAGGAGCAGCTCGTAAATGCAGGTGCCCCGGTATTGTGATCCGAGTCTTCACGTCTTGACTTGAGGGTTTGATGAAGTTGAATGTGCCTGTTTGCTACACCGCTTATTCACGACACTCTTGATCTCGAGCCCCCAAACCGTAAACACCATGCCTTCAACTTTAGCACCCTTAACATACCACATGAGTCATTAGTCTAGGGGTATGTCGTAATGTATGAGATATGTGAGACCCCCGACGAGCTGGAATTATCGATTTCGCAAGCCGAAAAGCCTAAACTCTAATCCCCGGACTCCTGGGTCGAAATAGAGTCAAAGAGTCAATCAAAGGCCTACATCGGAGCTGGACCCTATAAAACCTGCATTCCTAGGGGTTCCTGATTATTCCCCCATTCCCTATTGAGCACCAGGGAGAATACTTACGTTAATGAACAAGTTTAGGGATAAATCCCTACAAAACTAAGCCCTGAGACCCAGCCAATAAACCCTAAACTCCGAAACCCTAAGGCCCTAAACCCTAAACCCTAAACTCCTAAACCCTCCCTAAACTTCTAAACCCGAAGCCCGAAACCCAGCTCTGTACCCTAAGCTCCGCGGGAGTTTGCATCGGCTTCCCACAGCTTGGCGTTCTTCTGGTTCTGGTTGGCTCTTAGGACTTTAACTTTTTGGGTTTCTGTATGAACCATAATAAGGAGGCTAAAAGTTTAGCTTTTTGGAGAGGTTCAGAAGTCAGACAAGACAGCAAGGTCGAAGAGACATCCGAGAACGACCCTGCGCGCTCGCAAGAAACCGAGAGCAAGGAGATCATCAAATACAAGGACCGTTTAGGTATTCGGGGCTTCAGTGTCCTAGGAGGGTTCCGGATTTTAAAGTTTTTAGCTTGTGGGGTTTCAGGGCTTTTAGCGTGTACAGAAGAAGCCAGAAAGTTGGAACATCAGTACCCTGCTGCCATTAAGGTAAAGCGGCGCTTCGGCCCGACAGCAGCCCTGAAACGAGCTAAGGGGTGCTGGATTCAGGATGGAGGTCTTATAAACCCCAAACCCACTATTCGATACTTGGGGAACAGTCTGGTGAAAATGGTCGGTTCCTTGGTTGCCTCAATGTCTGTGCTCTGGTAAGCCAGGACATAGGGTTTAGGCTTTACAGGCCTGCTCAGTGCCCCAACTGCCCGCAACAGCCGTATTGCGCGGGCCTGGAAACGTAGAGGAGTACTACTCTCTTGTCCAGGGAACTTCGGTTTGCCGATTACTGTAACCTTTGGGAAAAAATGGGGACTGTTGTACCGCTGTTTGGACATGAGCACCGCAGACCGGTGCAGCGGCGTCCGTGAAGACGATGGTTCCGATGACGAGAGCAATGTCTCCAGCTTTGAACGGGTCGCAGCGGTGGCCTTCTTGCACTTTTGCAGGAGTTCGGCGAGATCGACAGCTCAGCCGTCTTTGAGACAGCTACAAAACATGACGTGATGAGCAGGGCGTTCCCGATCGAGCAGCTCGGAATCTGTTCACGGCCCGGCAATACACAGCCATTTCACAGAATCTGCTGAGCGCGACTGCTGCCCGCAGCCATTTCACAGAATCTGCTGAGCGCGACTGCTGCCCGCTACTTCATTCTTCGGCTTGCCCGATTGATAAGCTCGTTTGTGCAAGAGAAGCCGGGCAATGGACTTTATGAGAGTCTTGACTCAAAATTGTGGGGCCTCGATTATAGAAGCCAGTTCATCATTGCTACATCCGGTCAGTCCCTCAAGAACGATACCATAAAACCTGAACCGCGAAATCTTGTCGGGTCTAGTTGCTTCTCTAGCACGAAACATGTTGAACCCTAGCCCTAAAGACTTAAACCTCGCGCCCCAAGCCTGGAAGCCCAGAATCCAACCCGGCCTTTTTAACCCTAAGCCCTACACCCCCAGACCCCTCTTAACCCTAAACCCTTAGTCCCGGACCCTCTTAACCCAACCCGGATCCAAAAGGCCGAGAGCATCAAAGCCCCTACCTGAGTCATACTGTAGGGATTCGGAACTAATGCTAGTCTCTAGGGCTCCGTATAACCAAGACACCATGGCACCCGGTCTACTTATGAAGGCCCGTAGCACTCCTAAAGCCCTAAAACCGACTGTGGGACCCTTATACGTAACCTCAAACTACTTTAACAACAACTAAATAGACCTTGTTCTATTGGATAATGGTTTAGGGTTTAGGGTACCAGCCCTAAACCCTAAACCGACTGAGCTCCCTGAAAAGAGCCTTCAAATACCGAGCTGGAAGGAGTCCGGGTCGTCCAACCGATGGACCAACTCCTTCTCTCTGTGCCTTGGAAGAAGAAGTTCCCAGAGAGCCCAATACCCCTTAATTATGGAATATAGCTTAAATCATAATATGAAGCCCTATATAGTTTAAGCCATATAAACAAATTAAGGGGTATTGGGCTTTCTGGGTTAGTCAGGTGTAGAGTAGGTAGCCGTGAACCTTCTGGGATACTATAAGCCCTATGTATTCTCCAAGTTTAACCTGGAGAAGAGAGGTTCAGAGTTCCAGAGACACAACCTATAGTAAACTCCAAAAGTTTGCAAACCGGATTAAGGACAAATAGTGCTGGGATTCCCTCTACATTACTCTCAAGGATTGAGGCTGCGGCTATGGGGTTTCCAACTTTTAGGCTTCTACTGTAAGCCCTAAAGTCCATTGGCCCTCATGGCATGCAAGCCCGGCTTCTTTCTATTTCAGCAGTTGTTGCAGGTTAACCTTTCATGTGCTTGGGCAGTGGGAAGGTGTGAGACCGTGTTGTTTATTTTTCTGTGCTGAAACCACAAAGCCTATAACCTAAACCTTACCTGGACCCACAAGAACCTACCTTCTTAAGGATTCTTACAGGGATTCCGGGCTAAACCTAACCTGTAGAGGGTTATACCCTACTCCTTTTTCAGGATAGAAAAACAGGTAAACGCTCAGGCCTAGCAACACTAGATCTTACAAACCCTAAGAGAGTCCCTCCTGCACTTCAAAAGGTACCAACACCCCTTAACTAATGAGTATGTCCTAAGTCATATCAAGGATACTACCATATAATTTCAGGTATATTCCTTGATAAAGGGCTGTTGGAAGGTCTGGATACCCTAAATCGAAGTTCCTGGGAGGTCCCTCGCCGGGTCGTCGGAATACGACGACTCTCACGCTGGTGGGGGCTTGAACCGGGTGCCTGCCTCAAGTGTTCAACAATGGTACTCGGACCCGAACCTTACACCCTGGGCTCCAGAGGTGTCTTGGGATCTCTTATCCTTCCTTCCCCTAAGGCTCCATGTACCCTTATTGCATATACTTAGGCCTTAAAGTACTCCCTATTTAGGTACATTGGGCCCAAAGTATATACTATTTGGGTACATGGACCCTTCGGGTTCGGGTATCAAGGATCTTGAAACCGCGCGTCCGTAAGAGGGCTGTCTTGTTTTGTGACTCTTGCTTGTATCCAAGGGTAAAAGGAGGGATCCCTAGGTATATACCCTTAATATAGCTATTATATGCCATTTTGTAGCCCATTATAGGGGTCCCCATTAAGGGTCCCTCCTTTTCCCTTTGATTGTATCTCCGGTACCAGCATGCTCGCCGAGCCCAAAGGCCACATCATAAATCCTTTAGCAAATCTCAGGGCTTCACAGTGTAGAGGTTCAGGGTTTAGGGTCAAGACCTTCCAGATATTTGTGAGCTTCGAACATCGGAGATCCTAGGAAACCTTAAAGCTCGAAAGCCCCTAGAATCAAACGCCCGTAAACCCGTGAACATGCCCTTACAACAAAGCCAGTATCTGCATCCATCAGACAACAGCGAATGTTAGGCAAACAACATGCGCGACCGCCAGCCTACAGCCACATCCCAAAACACTGAAACATCCCACCCTAGACCCTGCCACAGAAACTTAGTACTGTATCAGATGTCCATCCTAGCAGGTACGCCTAAATCCCAAACCTCAACATCGCGAACCAAAACCACAGACGTCGTCAACCCTGAACCCTAAACGAAGCTAGCAGGTACCCCCAAACCCCCTCAGCCCTAAACCCTCAACATCATGAGCCCTAAAAACCCGAAAGGGCCCCAAACCAAGCTGGCAGGTGATCTCCCGGCCGTCGGATATCTACTACATCAAGCAGCCGGGGCTCTCGGTGCTGTACCGTGTTCGAAGGGCTTACTTGGACCCCTATAGAACCTGCCTGTTTTAGGGATTCTCATTGTGGGTTCCTTCTGTAAGTCCTTAGAAATTAGGTTGTTTGTGGTCTATAGATAGGACTTCAGATGTTTAGTGTGTAGGGTGCAGGAATCGTGGTTACGTGTGCTTGTTGGCATGTCGTTTTCGTTCACAGTGGTTGATGGATTTTCGACTAGTGGTACGGAGGTTTAACCTGTTTAGTCAAGACGGGATGTGTGTCTGGGGTTCTTCTAGAGTTTTATTCGTGCTAGAGTCTGGAGATAGGGGAGGGTGGTTTTCTTGCCATGAATGAACCGTGCTGTTCGGGTGGTTGTTAGACGGCCATGCAGCATATCGCGGGTCTACATTACCATAAACCTTAAGTTTTGAATGATCAGGCTGCTTGCTTGAGCAACATCTCACTCCTCAAGGACGAAATGAACCCTAAAAATGTTTAAGGTTCATATAGCGTATACCATATAGGGATTCATGTATAAGGATACACGGCTCATACTTACGAAGGTTTTTCGGTCCCCAAGGTTTGCGGTTCCCGGATTTAGGGGTTTCTTCCTTGTTTCCGACTGCATTTTCACAGGCATGCAGTCAGGCACGTCAGAAATGCAGAGCGGCGCTAGCCGAATGCCGGCAACAGCCATCCCAGTTGTTTGCAGGGAGAACTTTTGAAGGGAAGCGGAAGCATGTCTGCAAATAGAGGCGTAAGGGTCTGATCCAGCAACAGCTTTTCGAGGTCAGTTGTTAATCATCGGGTCCGTTTACCCCTTAGGACCTCAGGGCTATAGTAAACCCCGATAGTACCCTTAGTTTATAGCTATCCTTACAGACCCATTTCAAGGGAACCCTTAGATCTCCCCCCGGCATCCTACTCGTAATCCTTATAGACCCCTTTAAAGGGAACTCCAGAAAGTTGGAATATGGATTAATGGTAAGATCCCATATAATTTACCTTAAAGGGGTTACGATAATGATATTCCAACTTTCTGGCTTCTACTGTAAAGGGAAGCCTGAAAGGAACCCTACAGCCTAAGCTTTCTGAGGCTCCCTGGCTTTCATAAGAAGATCCTGCGCCCCTTCTACGCCGCACGGCCCGTGAGCAACGTCGTCCGGGTCCCAGGTTCTTGAAGAGGAGTCGGAGTGGGGTTTTTTATAGGGTATAAGGGTTTTAGGGTTAAGGGTTTAGGGCTTATAGGGTTTTAGGGTTTAAGGGGTGAAGGGTGTAGGGTTTAAGGGTTTAGGGTTTAGGGTTGAAGCTTTAGGGGGGGTTGGGGTTTAGGGTGTGTATAAGCCACTTAAACAGCTGCATAACCTAGCGTTTTGGCATTCTAGAGGTGTGTATTCCCTAAGGGTTCATGTACCCAATCAGCATATGCCTGGGCCCTAAAGTGCTTATTTAACGACTACTTGAAGGCCAACGCATATACTAGATGAGTGCATGGACCCTTAGGGTATAGGCACCTGCAGCAGCCGCATAGCACAGGGTGTTCAGGGTTTAAGATGGTTTGGGGGTTGTGGGAGGGGCCTTCGCACCTTGCATGAACTATACGGTCGGGTTCCCTCACAGTAGGGTTAGGCCGGCTAGGCATGCTGCCATCATTTTCTAAACGATGCCTTCTAAGCTCGCAAAATGTTCTAAACAAAACACCACACGACCCTCAGCTTCAGCCGCTATACTGCTGGTGGGCTTTCGCCTAGAAGAGTATGAGCGAGGAGAGCACCAACAATCAGATCAATAGAACATCACAGCTGTGGTCATCAGACCAAGCATAGCACACACAATGACGACTACCATAGTTGAATCCTGGGTTGCTCTGCGCCATACGCCCGAGACACCAAGCCTTTCAACTTAAACCCGAAGCTGCATACCCCTAACTCCCCCCAAACCTCAGCCCAAACCTTACACCTATCCCGGGGCTCTAAACCTTAAGTGGTACAGGTCCCAAACTTGAGAACCTTTCATACAAAACACCAAAAAGCGCCCAGCTACTTCTAGGGCTTCGACCAGGGCATTAGAAGGGTTGGGTAAGCCTAGACCCCCCAACTACCCTCTCATATACCCTCAATACCCATTGTTAAGGACCATAAGGGCTCCATTAAAGGGTACTTGGAGGGTCCTGGAAGGCAAGGATCCGATGGACCGACCAGCTTCAGTGTACTCCAGCCTCTGTAGTCCTTAACGGGGTAGGTTTTCTCAGAGTTTAGGGTTTAGGGTTAGGCTTAGGGTTTAGGGTTCCAGGTAAACCGTAACTAAACCCTAAACCCTACACCGCTTTCCCAACCGGGATTCCACTCATGCAGATGGAAAAAGGAGTTCAAAAAAAAAAAAACCTGCCCACTGAGACTTCGGGTTCCAGCAGGTCATGGGCCTCATCCGTGGGACATCGCTCTACGCACGGCAGAGTGTGACTTGGGCTCCCAATAGCCCAAAGGCTCCAGGTGTCCTTAAAGTTGCCTTTAAAGGGTCCCTTGAGGGGTTTCGGTTGAAGTGTTTCTATTGAAGGGTTTCTATGAGTGTATTGAAAGAGTTTTCTATGAGGCTATTGGAAAGTTTCAGAGTTTAAGGCTTCATGTCTAGTGCCCATAGTATATACTTAGGCCTTCAGGGATCCCTGTATAGGTATTTGAAGGCCGAAGCATGTATACACATACCATATACACACTAATTTAGGCACATGGAGGTTGTATATCCAACCCTAGAGCAGATCTACAAACCTATACCTGAAGCTTTCGAGCTCCTAAAGTAAAAGCCAGAAAGTTGGAATATGATTCTCCTAAGCCCTTCATGGTAAATTATAAGGTATCCTACCCTGAAACCATATTCCAACTTTCTGGAGTTCCCTTTAGCCCAAAAAGGCTAGGTTTCAGGGTTTAGGGCTTAGGGTAGGTGCCCACTATTTTCAGGACTATGAAGCTCCTATTAGGAGGATACTTGGGGGGTGCTGGTAGCCCCGAAGCCCTAAACCCAAAACCCCTGAACCCCCCCCCCCCCCCAAAAAAAAAAAAAACAGGCCGTGCATACAGAGACTGCATGCTGAGAAGCACCTTCGCTTTTCCGCTTCCCAACATGCGCAGGGGCTTAGAGCTTAAGATCATTGGGTACACGGTACAGGGTTTAGAGCTTAAGGTTTGCAAGTTCCTCAGTCTTAACCGTGCTGAGTAGCAACTCCCCTCACGCACACCCCGTCGGCTTGATATAACTTGGTGGAGCCCCACCATAATCAAAAGATGGACCTTCTTCGGTGACAAAGCCCAGGCCTTGCTACTTCAAGGATCCTGGGGCTTACTGAGGATGGCTGTAAGCTAATATACCGGCCAAAGTAATTGCCAATACTATTTTTTTTTGGGGGGGGGGCCTGAATTAAGACATATATATATATATATATACATATATATATGTGTATGTATATATATATAGATATATATATATATATATATCTTTATGTATTTATTATTTATATGGTGTAATGGATCCCAAAACCCTCTTCTAATTGCTAAGGCCTGTAAGTGCTTCGAACTGATAACCCCCAATGAATGCATGTATAAGCTTACTTACTAGGCTTGGATGTAGGGCCTAGGGGTATTTAGTGTTTCGGGTTCAATCTGCGATAGCAGGTGGTCAGCAAAATCGCGACCATTATCCACACAAAGTGTGGCTCCTTCTTCATCATGCCGAATCCGAAATACCACACCGAGGCCATGCCCCTGCCCCAAGCAAGCAGGGGATCTGCGTTATACGGTCCCACATCAGAAGAAACCCTAAAGCCGTATCGTATCATTCTTAAAGTTTTAAAGCTGATCAATCGGCTGTATTGGTGGACACCTTCATATGTTGTTTTCACTTCCTCGTCAGGTTTCCCGGCTTGTGGTTACAGTGTCACTAGGCGACAGCAGGTGCTGCTCTTGCTTTGTTGATCCGGCTGTAGTATTTGGGTCGTCGTCCAGCCTCACATAAGCCATCTTCCTTGGTGGAGCCACCCATTTTACACGTCCTCTTAGAAGCCACATCTCCTGACTGATGTGTCTCATTATATTGGACCGTCAATTGTGGGTAAGGTCGCGAACATGCTGTCATACTGGCTTCTTGTGTTGTCCAAAAGGGCAAGTGGTGCTTGTCATCCCCATCCATGTGCGCTGAAACTTTGCGCCGGGAGTCGCATGGGGATTCTGACGTGGAGATTTCTGAGATCATGAACCTAGCTGGCTTGGCCCCAAACCCCGCAACCCTGAAAACCCAAACCCTGGCCCTGAAGCCCTTGCCCTAAGCCCATATGGAACCGCTAAGCGTCCATGTACTTGTACTTATAAAGTATAAGTATATGCTTTGGCCCTCATGTACTTCCTGTTCAGGTATTTTAGAGCCAAAGTACCTATTGTATGGGTCCATCCCTATACCTTAAACCTTAAACCCAAACCCTAAACCCTAACCCCCAATCAAACCCTCAAGCCTAAACCCCAATCCTAAACCCTAAAACCCTAACCCCAACCCTAAACCCCAACCCTCAAGCTTAAATGGACCCTGAGCGCTCTGGATCCCAGAAGGGGTATATTAGAGGGTAGTTGGGGGATCTAGGTATGATTCCCTTACCGCCCCTATGTTGCTGTAGTTTAGGGCTTAGGGTTTTTATACTGTAGTTAAGTCATATTCTACAAGGGTTCAGGATTTCGGGTTTGTTATACGATAGATAATTTTTGCTTCTTTACTAGGCACCAAAACCTTATGCTGATCTTGAGGATGAAACCCCATCAGACCTTATCAAAGCCAGTACTGGAGCCGTTTTCGACGCCCTGGGGCCGAAACCCAGGTATCCCCAAAGACCCCACAGATGGGAGCCCAAATCTTTCTTCCCGAGACCCTGCCCGGAGCCGGGACCCCAAAACAACAACGCCCTAGATCCTGAAACCTTTGGAGGTGGGCGCCGAGCCCTAAACCCCATATGACTTAAACAATCCTAAACTCTAAACCCCTGAACCCGAAGCCCTTAGCCCTATGACCCTGAAACTCAAAAAGACGGGAGGTGGATGCCCGGAAGGGCCTTCTCTCGAAGGATGCCGGCAAGTTTCGTTTCGTTGCTTGGCTGGGGCCTCGTGGGGGCGCCATGTTTGTAGGGTTTGTGGTTACCTTTTCGGTTTAGGGTTTAGAGGTTAACAGGGTTAAGAGGTTTCGGGTTGCAGGTTTACGGCATTCGGGGTCCTGGTCGAAGCGGTACTTGTACCCGTGCGTAGTATAACCACTAACCCATAAGAGCCTCGGGTCCATTTGCCTCTGTAGTATGTTCGTCTTGGCTTTACAGATACATGGAGGCTTAGGGTTGGGGCCTGACAGTGTCGGCAATGTTGATGGACAAAATCTTGCATGACCCTAAGGACTCTAAACCATAGGAACTATGGTATATTCCTTATAATGGGTAATGCAGGATCTTGTCCATCAGCAGTACCACTGGATTCCTGGGATTCCAGGGTTTCAACCTCTTGCTCTGATTGTGGTGATGCGGGTGCGGGCGACGCTGACGTCTTGCAAAGCCCTAAACCCTAAAGCTATAAACCCTAAACCCCTGAAACCCCGAACCCTAAAGCCTAAAGGACCTAAAAACCCCCCTGAAGCCCCGAACCCAGAGCTCCTTGCGAGGTGGATCCATCCCGGCTTCGTCCAGACCATCAAACATTGGTTCCAGAAGCTTGAGTCCGAGGCGGCTTCATACGTAGGGTTTAGGGTTTGGAAGGGTTACCTTAATTCAACTAAATCAACCTCGAACCTGGAGTTCTGCAGGTGTTTTTCAGGGTGCAGGCTTCGTTGCAGGGTTCTGTTATGGGTTCCTTTTAAGGGTTCCTATATATAAGAGAGTCAGAGGGGGGTTCAGGGTGTAGGGTTCGTTTCCGGGCTCCGTTATGGGTTCCTTTAGGGGTTCCTATATGTAAGAGCTCCTGCAAGTGTTCGGAGCTTGTGATAAAAAAGGGATGTCAAGGAAGCCGCTTAGGTCTCAGGTTTGTGGGTTTCGGGGGATGAAGGGTTTCGGCTTTGGGGTTTGCGTTTGAAGGGGTGAGGGTTTCCGGTTTCCCTGAGGCTCCATGTACCCTTTTCGTATACTCGTATATGCTTAGGCCTTAAAGTACCTATATAGGGACCCCTTTAAGGCTTAAGTACCTACTATAACGATACATGGAGCCTTTGGGTTTGGCGTTGAGCTCCAAAACATGTTTTGCAGTCATCGCGAAGGCTTTGGGTTCGCTACTCCCTGGAGGCATAATTAACCGGGACCCGCCATGCCTATAGTCTCCATTGTAGTTGCTTTTTGGGGTTACCTTTCAGGATCCCTAATATAAAGTTGGTTAAACAAAAAGAGGAACTACAATGGAGACTATAGGTGTACCCTAAAATAGGGCAATTTGGGTGCGAATGGTAGGTATTTAGGGTCTCGTAGAGGGTAGATGGAGGGTCTATGGGAGTTTTGAGTTAGGCGTTAGAGTACCGTTTGCATGCTAGCGCGACGATCCTGAAACAAGCACTGGAACTGTGGCTTTGGCAACCAAGTGGTTTGAAGCAACTACTTTAATGCCAAGAAGAGCAGAGCAACATGTGTGTTTCTAGGTGTTTGCTGGTAAAGTTCCGACACTCTCACTCCAAAACCCTAAATCTTCAGCGGGTTTTCAACGCAGGTATTCAATCCTGCAGTGCTTCAGTGCGGGTGAAGATGGGGGTGTAGAGTGTAGAGTTTGGGGTTTGCCTGGCACAGGTTTATGTATACTTTACTTAAAGGATCATGGGACTTAGTAGCTTTAAAGGGCTCCTTAAAGGATCTACAGGGTTCCTTAAAGGGATCTATAAGGTTTAAGGTCTACTTAAAGAATCATGGGACTTAGTAACTAAGGTTATAATTAGGGTAACTATACTTAAACCCTCACTTAAAGTACTTCTAACCTTACTTACTAAGTCCCATGATCCTCCAAGTAGACTCTTTCAAGGGGGTAAGAAACGCCGCTGTCTAGGGTAACTGGACTTTAGACTCGCCCCAAAAGTAAGTCTTAGGGTTCAGGCTTTAGGGTTGTCGCTGCTAGCCTACCTTAGGCCCGCTCATTTGATTGTAAGGTTGCTTGGTAAAGCTCCACCAAACCGCAAAGCACTCCTAGAAATACCCCTTATACAGAACTATCTATCAGCAGCCCAATCCCATCTGTGGATGCTTCTGGGCAGACCTTGCGATGGGGTTCCGGTGTTCCAGGGTGACGAGTGGGTGAAGCCAGCCAGTCATTAATCCCCCTAGCCCCTATACTCCCTAGAGCAGGCCGTTTCTGCTCTTGGGACACTGACGCATAGGGATATCCGTCTCGCCATGCGTCTCAGTTTGTCTAGTCCTGTGTGTGTGTGTGTGTGTGTGTGTGTGTGTGTGTGTGTGTGTGTGTGTGTGTGTGTGTCTGTGTGTGTGTGTGTGTGTCTGTGTGTGTCTGTCTGTGTGTGTGTGTGTGTCTGTGTGTGTGTGTTGATACGCACATAGGTAAGCAAGTATTTAGGTAGGCAGGTAGGCAGGCATGTGCGCACACATGCGCAAACGTAGGGAGCACTTAAGTATGTAGCGATGTCTGTTCAACTACAGCTCCTGTCTTTGTTTCTTCATATGGGTGGTTGTCAAAATTATGATCCTTCTTTGGTTACCTTAAATAATAGGTCTCGTACTATCTTAGGGACCAAAAAAGGGACCCTAGTTTTGACAACCATTCATATGTATGAACACATGTATGCATGTGCGTATACATGTGTATGAGCCCTAAGACTCTGAACCGCATGATCAGAAGTCTCATCCTGCGCCCCTCAACCGTAACCCTAAACCCTAAGCCACTAAACCCAAAGCCCCTAAACCCTAAGCCACTAAACCCAAAGCCCCTGAACCCCTAAACCCAAAGCCCCTAAACCCCTAAACCCCTAAACCCTAAACCCTAAGCCCAAACCCAAAGCCCCTAAAAACCCTAAATCCCTAAACCCTTGTACCAGGAGCGGCGGACGTTGGGTTCGCGGCTACAAGGCATTAGCGTGGCATCCCACGGCTTTGCTCGAATGAGCCTCGTTGGGTTTTGGCTTAGGGGGCTTAGGGATTTAGGGTTCTACAGGCTTTAGGGTTTATTTTATTTATGCGGTTTAGGGTTTTCTGGGGCTTTATGTATGGTTTTAGGGGGTTTAGGGTTTTGTAAGGTTTAGGGTTCAGAGCCGATGGGGCATAGGCTTATGCGTTTAGGCTGAGCCTGAACCGAGAAAAAGGCCACATGCATCCTTTAAGGGACGTTATTGTTTGCGAATGAACGTTCACAATGCGTGGTTGCTCAACTATCCGCTTGCAGTTTTTTTGGACATGTGCAGTGCAAGCTCATGAAGAGTGCACAGCTGCATGCGCCTCCATGGCTGCTCAGGTTCCCAGTTATCATGTTCCCCTTATTAAGCTTTTGGGGACCCTAATCTAGTACTCTAAATACTAGGATCCTTATTATATATAAGGACCCCCAAAAAAGGTACCCCTAATTTCCGGAAACTGCCTTAGAAGTATAAATGTATATGTACCCAACCTGAACCCTTCAACGAGTGTCTACTGTTTGGGTACATGGGTCCTACCTAATCCCCGAAAGCTTGGTAAATAATGGCCCAATGCCTACAAAAGGCCATTATCCTACACACTTGTAGGGTCCAGGAAAGCCCTCAAGCCCCCAAACCCTAAACCCTAAGAATTTCTAAGCCCTAAAGGCCTCCAAACCCTAAAAAGCCTTAAACCCTAAACCCCCATAATACCCCTTATAGTCATCCTTATAGGCCCTCAAAAAGGAACCCTATTATTCCTAAACCCAAAAATGCCCTGAACGAGGCGCTGGCGAGGAAGGCCAACCGGGGGCCCCTCCGATGACGACTCCGGCAGGCCCGTGTCTAAGCCTTGCAGTTTCGGGTTTAGGGGTTTTGGGTCAGGGGTTTGGGGTTTGGGGGTTTAGCGGTGTAGGGTTTGGGGGTTTCGGGTTTAGGGGCGGGTTATAAGGGTTTAGGGGTTGCAAGGGTTTAGGGTTTTAGGGTTTAGGGGGGTTAGGGGCTAGGGGTTTGGGGGTGTAGGGCTTCAGGGGTTTACGGTTTCGTAGGGATTTCGGGTTTAGGGTTAAGGGTTTCGAATCTAGGGGTTTCGGTTTTAGGGTTTAGGGTTTTAGGGTTTCAGGGGTTGAGGGTTTAGGGGTTGGGGTTTAGGGCTTTACCCTAAGGGTCCAAAGGACCCAGGAATCAAGTACTTAGGTTTCGGATAGTAATTATGTAGAATACTATTTTGGAGAGTATGGTACTTGGACCCTTAGGGTAAGGTGGCAGCTTTGCAGGTTTAACGAGGCCCTGGATTGCAGCGCCTTTTGCACTGTAAGCCCCGACAGCATAGCCCTGTTACGCAAAGCAGCCTTAAAGCCCAATCCCTGTAAACTCTACACTCCTAGACCCCTCAACCCCTAAAACCCTAAAGCCTAAACCGAAACCCTTAAACCCTAAACTCTACACCCCTCAAAACTAAACCCTAAGCCGATACTTACTCCACAACACAGCCCGGGCTTAGCTCCTTGTCCCAGGCGACGAACACCGACTGACAAATTATCTACCAAAGCCCTGAACCCCACAGGCTTAGAGTTTACCCTGGGCAACAAAATAGCCCCAAAGCCTTACAAAATATGGTCATGGACTTTGGGCCCAAAAGCCATAATCTATAAATCCTTAGACCTCTAGGGTTATACAGTTTACGGGGTCAAGCCCTGCACCCATAGACAAATCTTGGTTTAGCGGTTTGGGGCCTAGGAAGTCTGGGGTATTGTCACATCTGCCTGAAGATTCAACCCTGCGCTGCATGAGCCCTCCAACAACACCACGCCCTGGAAACCCAAAAAACCCAAAACCCTAAATTAAAAGTGTTATAAAAGCCTAAACCCCAAAGCACAGAACCCTAAACCCAAATCCTAAACCACAAAACCCTAAACCCAAATCCTAAGCCCCCTAGACCCCCCAACTACCCTCTAATATACCTTAAATCCCCACTATGAAGGGCCCTGGGGGCTCCTTCGAAGGGTGCTTTGGGAAATCCTGGCCCTTTCAACCCTAAACCCAAAACCTTAAACCCAACATCCTAAACCCGAAACCCTAATCCTACACGCGACTGCCTAATCCTAAACCCGGCTGCCTAATCCTAAATCCGAAACCCTAAAGCTAAACCCGAAACCCTAATCCTAAACCCGAAACCCTAAACCTAAACCCGAAACCCCAATCCTAAACCCGAAACCCTAATCCTAAATCCGAAACCCTAATCCTAAACCCGAAACCCGAAAGCCTAAACCTAACCCTCTTTCAAGCCGCAGGGCGTGGCTCCGGTGATTTCACCGCGGGAACTCCGGGGCCGACTGGGGAGAAGGGCCGGGAAGGAAATGCGAACCCAGGCGCGTGCCTTTGGGTGCCTTAGTGAACGGGGGAGTGTTAAACTTTTTGGCCATATATATTAGCTCTATCTTAGAAAGTTTGATCTTTTGGGGGCCCGGATGTTGAAGAAGAGAGGTGCAGGGGTTTAGGGGTTTGGGGTTTAGGGGTTTGGGGGTTAGGGTTTTAGTGTTTAAGGGTTTGGGGGTTTAGGGGTTTAGGGATTTAGGGTTTTGGGGGTTTAGGGTTTAGGGTTTAGGGGTTTGGGTTTTAGTGTTTATGGGTTTAGGGGTTCGGGGGTTTAGGAGTTTGGGGGTTTAGGGTTTAGGGGTTTGGGGGGGGGGGGGGGAATAAGTACCAGTATACGCTAACCATAGTATACTGGGCCTCAAAACCCTATTCTAATCATTAAAAGGCCCTATCTGAGGCTGTGGGTTTAGAGGTTAGGGTTTCGGGGTCGAGGGCGTCATGTTAAGGGTTTAGGAGATTATGCGCGGGCGTGGGCTTAGGGGTTTAGGGTTTAAGGGTTCCTTTAGGATTCCTTGGGTTTTCATGAACCCAAACCCCAACATTTCAGTTATGTAGGGTTTAGGGCTTCGGTTTGGGCTTATCGATCTGGGCTTGCATTTGTCTTACCTGTCTTACCTGCAACAGGAAATGGCCGGTTCGGTTCGGTTCGGTTTCACAAGAACGGTTCGGTCGGTTCATCGGTTCGGTGTCAAACATGCGGTTCATCGGTTCGGTTCGCGGTTCGTTTCGCGGTTCGCAAAAGACCCAAAGGGTCCAAGTACCTAATAATCATATATATATATATATACTCTCCAAAATCCTAACCTACATAACAACTATCCTAAAGCCAAGTACCTAATTACTGGGTCCTTTGGACCCTTGGTGTATACGGTTCGCTTGGATTGGGGAGGTTGGTCATTCGTGATGTGGTGCGTGATGGTGCTGGCGATGTAGGAGCGGGTGATGTTGAGCTTGCTCTCAATACCCATATAGTAGTTCCTTTTGGGGGACTACTTTATAGGATTCTAAATATGAACCCCAAAAGGAACTACTATGGAGCCTCTAGGTATGCTGATGCTTAAAAAGGATCGGTCTGAATCAACGGGGCGGGGGAATGGGTCTACCAGCGATGGAGCCCAGAACTGAACTCCCTGACGGTGGACGAGCGTCGCAAAGAACTCCTGGCACTTTTTGCGAGCCTGCAGACCCCAAGGCTCCATGTACCCTTTATAGTAAAATCCTATAGGCCTTAAAGTACCTATATAGGGACCCCTTTAAGGCTTACTATAAAGATACAAGGAGCCTATGGGAGAGCCACATTCATCGCGAGACCCTGTCGCGTTTCTACGGCGACGCGGCAACTCGAAGAGCAGACGGAAGGGGAAACCGTCCGATTGCTAACTTACCTTTTATTAGTAGGGAATGGAGGACTGGGGTACAGTTATAACTACTATTACTACCATTCTTCCATTCCCTACTAACCGAAGGTAAGCTATGCCAGCTGCAGGGGAACGCGGCGCTGCAGGTTGCCGGAATCCAGTACCGGAAGGATTCGCAGCAGAGGCCACCCGCGCTGCAGCAACTCATAGCGCTTTCCTGAGGTCCCTGGGTCCTCAATAATCCCAGAAACTCCAATATCCCTTAATTAAGGAATATTCCTTAAATTATAGTAGGATCCCTAATATGATTAAAGGAATATTCTTAATTAAAGGATATTGGAGTCTCTGGGATCCTGGTAACTACCCGCACCCAGGGGTTTTCGTCCACGGATCCATTTGCCCAATTCGTAGCAGTTCTTTCTCGGTGTCGGGAACTAGCTACAGTGTATTTGGGGCCTCCGGGCCTAAGCTCCTACGTACTGTTTGGGTGCGTGGTCCCTCTAAGTGTTCCGGTTTCGCAGGGCCTTTTGCCGTAAACCCTAAAGCCCAAACTCCTAACCTCAAGCAGAAATGCACACAACAGGCATCCTCAATGTGGACGGGAACTTCTTGAATGCACCCTATGACGATCCCTCCGTGTCTTGGCAGAGTTTAGTTTTTTGGTTCAGGCTGACAAAGCGGGGCTGGGGTTATAGTGTTTTTGTGATTTAGGATATACGGCTCGGGGTTAAGGCTTCAGGGATTAAGGTGACGAGCTCAGTTTCAGACTTTCTGAATCAGATGCCCCCGTAGCTCCTGTATGCCCTATATAGTTATTTATGGCTTTATGGTACTTAGCATGTCATACCCCCCAAACCCGTTCTAATGGTTCGGGCATAAAGCCTTGCAAACCACAAGAAACTTTCAAGTACCAGAGTATACGTCCCACCCCCTCCAAACCCTGACCCCGTACGGCGAGTCCCATACGGGTAACTGTCAAAATCATGGTCCCTTTGCACCCATATAATCCCAATACGGCACCCTATAATTTGGGAGCCCAAAAGGAACCCTAGTTTGGCCGGCTGGCCATGGGTAGCCCGGCCAACCAACCACAGAGCAGTGTAGACTCAATGTAGCCGTCTGCCCGAAACATAGCTCCTTCTGGGTCTGGCAAGGCTCTAAACGGCAAGCTTTTAAACCCCAACCGGACCCTATAATTCCCACATTTCTATGGCTGCATATTATAAGGTCCTGTCAAAAAGGAAAGTTTACTGGGGGCAAGGTACGCAAAAGCCCAGAACCCTCTCTCTTGGAAATGCCCTGGAGCTGACATAGAGAAAAGAAGTCAAAACCACGTCCTGAGGCCTAGCTGGACCGTAACGAACTTAACTTTCCAGGGTGTATATAGTACATGCAGTGGGCGTTTAAACAGCTGGGTTATTCTGTGTTCAATCCTAAACCTGAGATCCATGAACCCTTAAACCCTAAGACCCAAGGCAGTGCCATTCCTGAACCCCAATCCTGGCTTCCTGTTGACCCTGCACTGAGGCCCAGAAGGGTGGCGAGGACGGGGGTTCAGGGTTTAGGGTCCTTTGGTTGAGGGTGCAGGGTGTACCTTAACCCTGAACAACCTACCTTTTCAGGGTTCCCTATTATGATTTCCTAAAATAAGTCCTTCAAACTTCAAAAGGCAGGTTCTTCAGGGTTAAGGTAGGGGTGTAGGGGTTCGGGCAGGCTTCTAGGAACCTTATGGGAGCTTTTCCGAGACTTTGAGTACCTAAACACGAGGGTCACGAGGGCCTGCAAGGTTTCATGTAACGAAAACCATTCCGAGTATAAAGGGAACTCCAGAAAGTTGGAATATGGTTTCAGGGTAGGATACCCTATAATTTACCATAAAGGGTTTAGGATAATCATATTCCAACTTTCTGGCTTTTACTTTAGTATTTGGGCTTTATACTTGGACCTTTAGGCTTGTTTTGAACCTGATGCGGTGCCTATAAGTAAGATTCTTTGGAGAGAGCTTTACAAGACCTGATAACCGCACTCTTGAAAGCTTGTATAAGAACCTAGCATTTCGAAACACAGTGTCCCAAGTGGATCCGTTTACAGGACGATGTTGCAAGTGGTTCAAGGCCCAACGAACATAGAAGCCTCAATAACTGGAGTGGTATTCCTTATTGCAACTATATTGTAATATACAGCTACTCTCAAACATATACTGCGAAACCCTACTGTGATTATCAAGGCCCAGGATATTCTAGGCCAGAGGCGATGCTTTGCATTGTGTTCTTCGTGGTGTAGCTGGGCTACGGCACGTGGTAAATACCTAGCTAAAGTATCCATTGCGGAACATGGTCCGTCCTTGTATTCTTTCAGGCTTCATGTCAGTTAGGGAGACATTACATAGGCCGTTCCCTGGTTGTGCGATTACATTCTGAGGCAGCTGCGCGGCTCAGGAGTTGAGCGTTGTCATTTGCCGCTCCAAGCCACAAGCCCAACAAATCAGCCTGGACATCCCAAAGACTCCAATACCCCTTAAGTAAGGAATATACCTTAAATTGTATCAGGATCCTTAATATGATTTAAGGAATATTGCTTAATTAAGGGATATTGGAGTCTCCGGACATGCCAAACATCTGGAGCCGGCGGCGAACGCGGCAGAAATCGTCGGTCTGAACTTGAACAGTAGCCTAAGAAACCCGGAGTGCTGAGAGCTCCTTATTCCCCAAAGCGTCTCAAGTACCTATATGGGAGTTTCCGAAAATTAGGGGGTACCTTATTTTGGGGCTCCTTATATTAAGGATCCTACTATTTAGGGTGCTATATTAGGGTCCCTTATTTTCGGAAACCCCCATATAGTAAAATGTAGGGTTTCTATATAAGGAGTTGCTATCATGATTTTGGGAAGTAGCCCCCATACTAGGACCTAGAGTAGGTCCTTATTCCCTTTTTTGGGGGGGTTCAGGCTCCCTTATAAGCCCCTTTAAACCAAAAAGGGCACCCTTTTTGTTCCTAGGCTACTCTTGGGTCTAGATAATGGCTCTCTAAGGGTACCATAAGGGTGTAGGGTTTAAGGGTGGTACTTCTTCGGAAAAATAGGGTTCCTTTTTGGGGCTACTCTTGGGTCTAGCATATGAGTAATTGGGACCCTTGGGGCTCTTAGTTGCTTAGATACCGAAGGCCAAGACCATCCTTCGCCCACCCACCCGAACCCCTAATAGCCCCTAAACCCTGGTGCCTTAATTTGGACTTATATAATTAGGATCTCATTATTTAGGGTACTATATTAGGGGTTCCCTAGAGGCTCCAGATACAATACCATTATGGAATTAGGCCCCAAAACACCATACTTATCAGGGTTTTAGGGGCCTAATTCCATAATGGTATTGTATCTGGAGCCTCTAGGGAACCCCTAATAACCCCTAAATCCTGGCGCCTTAATTTCGATGTCCTATATGATAATAGGATCTTCTTATTCAGGGACCCTAATCCCTACACCCTAGACCCTAAACCGAAAAAGGAGTTCATGGGTTCGCCGGGAGACTTCCGTTTCAGTGCTCTGGCCGCAATAGCTCCGTGGTGGTGTTTTCGTGCAAATTCCCATATGATCCTTTGTACTGTTAGGGGGATACTTCCCTAAGTCATGATAGCAATTCCTAATATGGAAACCCTACCTTCTACTATATCGGTACATAGGACCCCTTGGGTCTAGAGCTCGGTGGACTCCTTTACCCATAGGCCCCATGGTAGTTCCTTTTTGGGATTACCTTAGAGGGTTCTAAATATGAACCGAAAATAGGAACTACTATGGGGCGTATGGGTAAGGCTATATGCCGGGTTTTCAGGGTTTCAGGCTTGAAGAATTGAGTTAGGGTTCAGGGTCTGTGTTTTTGTACGGCTGGCCCCGCTTATTGTCAGGAGTTGCGGACTTCGGGAGTAACGTTCAAGACTTCGAAGTGTCTTTAAGGGAATGGCGCCGGCTTTTTCAGGATTTGGGTGCATTGCGGCTAGACTCCTGCGGGCATGGGGCTGTGGGGCCTTCGGTTTGCGTTTAGGGTTGGGGAACTTTGAGAGTGTATAGGCTAGAGTGTACGGGCATGATGCGGTGTATGATTACTGCTGTCATGATGGAGTTGAAGATGATTGATCCCCTAATTTAAGTTCCGGTTTGGGTGGCGGTTCTTCAGTCTGGATTTGACTTCTTGGGTTTTGGGCAGCCCACCAGGACTATCCTGACGGCTTGAGCCTTGTAGTGCGAGAGGTTATGAGGTCATGGGACTCATGAGTTTCTCTGTTTGCGGCTTCCCCCCGGTGTTCTTAACTGCCCGTAGCTTGCTCCGTTGGGTTGCATGGGCAGTGGGTACAGTACACCAGTCTTGCCGTTGGCTCTTCTCGTGGTTGCATTGTCTAATGTAGGAGCCTGATTAAGAAACCCTGGGCCTATAACCCCAAAATAGTAGCATTCATACAAGGAACCCTAACAAAGGCCCAAAGTTTCTTAATCCGGCTCCTATATACATTGTTATAGTACCCTTAAAGATCCCTTCCAGTAACCCTTATAGACCCCTTGAAAGGAACCTGAACAAAGGCATCCTAGATGGAGTTCTTTCCCAGTCTTCACCGACGGTTGCAGTTCTCGGCCATCTGAGTTTCTGGAGTGCTGTCGGGCTCATGGTAAGGGTCTGGTGAGTGCGTTTTGGGATCCATTAGAATAGGTCAGTGCACAGGTTGGGTTTTAGTCCTTGTGTGGTAGAAACCCTATACAAAAAATAACCCAAAAATGTAGCTCTGTATAACAGGATCTCACCGAAAGACTAGAACTTGAACAAAGGGTAGGGTATGACATGGTATCCTATCCACGTTGTGACTCGCAGGATTTGCAGCGTCCAGGTTCAACAGTCACAGCTACCTTCGACACAAATGCCACCATGGCCACCCACCACCGCCACCATCATCACCACCAGCATCATGGCTTTCGTCATCTTTGCCATCATCATGATCGTCGTCATCGTAGCCCAGAGAGATGTTGCGCTTCTTTGGTCCTGTTGGGGATAGGCTGATGGAGGTTGTGGTTACTTGTTGGTGTTTGGGTCTTGGGGTTGCCAGCTGTGCTTGCCTTGTCTCACATCTTTGGGTCTATCCTCGATTGTGGATTTGAAAATGAGGGCCTGTAGACTCCGTAGCAATGATACTAGTCTCTGGGTTTCCGAAGTATTCTTCTAGTCTGGGAGCCTTGCAACCCCTTAGTCTAGTCATGTGGTCTTGTATGTTCGAGTCTCGCATTGCAGGGACCGTTTTCCTTTGGGAGTCAAGGTTTCAGGTTTGCATCCGATGTTTGAGTACAACACCCCCCCCCCCCGAGGAAGCCCAAAACAGTTGTACTTGAACGTCTTAGACCGAAGCTTCTAGGACAGTTTGAGGGCTTTTGCTGCAAGTCGTCCACAGGCGATGTTCCCAAACCTGAGAACTACCTCCACACCTACCGGGACCTGTACACAAAGGATCATGTCCCTTGGCGGAGAGAAAGAAGCTTTGAGGCATGCCTTAATGGTCCAAAGATTCCATCCTAATTAGGGGGCTAAAGTAGAAGCTGCAAGAATGCAACGTCATTGTTCTCATGCCTTGTCATCAATATACACAACACTTTACCACTTCATTACTAATCGAAATCCATGTTCCCGCTTGTTGGAGTTTACTCTACGATTTCAACATGTTTCTACCGAAGGACCCAATTCAACAATTCGTAGTTGAAATTAGTCCGCCAACCTGCACCTGTTTGAAACATCAAAACTTATGGCAGCACGCCAAATCTGTACATACAAACTCCCGCAACGACACAAGACCCTCCTAGCTCCTCAAGTTGCCGTGCTGATGTCAACCTCGGTCTCTTGTAGCCCGTGTACATAGGGTCGCCTTGTTGCATCTTATGCCTTGAACCCACCAAAAAGGCCTCAAAAACCCTACCTCGAGACTTAAGCCGTCGGCCCTTTAACTTGGCTAGGGCTTTCGTTTCCCGACGCAGCCGTAAACACTACACTTGCACTCGGCTGGGGACATGAAGCTCCGAAGGGCTCCTTTTTCAGTTATCCGTTGCAGACTAGACAGCACACTGTAAGGGTTCATCACACGGACTTGTTTCAGGGGACTCAATGGATAGAACTAAGTTAGAGCGTGGTCTTGGGCATGTTATGCAATGTATTGCTATATGCATCATATGGAATATCAACAAAGTCATACTGAATATTCAAGCGTCACTGTAATCTTCTAACTCCCAGAACGCCTCGTGTTATGATGCATCCTCGTGGGTTTGGGGTTCAGGACGTGCCTTGTCTGGGGTTTTGGGCGGTTAATGCGCCACCCCATTCCCTGAACCCGAACCTATAAGTCTTTGAACTTGGCTCCAGCTTTTCGGCTTGTTGGGCGAGTTGAGCGTTCCCCCGCTGGGTCCGAAGTATGAATCCACAAACCAGAAGCAGAAGGCTCGAGAAAAAACATCGCTGTAGGTGCTGAAACGATTGCCAATACTGTTTTTTGGGGCTTCCTTATCAAGATTATAATACCCTAAACCCTAAACCCTAAACCCCTAAACCCTAAACCCTAATATAGTCTCATGGGCGCCCCCACAACTCCGTTCTAACTATTAAGGCCCCTATATAAAGTCTGAACCCCTGAGCCCTGATAGGCTCGAAGTATACCAGGACCCCCCAAGGGCCGTTTCATAGAGCCTTCTGGCCCTTAGTAGTGGGTATTTGGGGTTGTTGTTTTCCTTACGACTCTTTTAGTACGATAGGAGGATTCTTTAGACTGTTCCTGGCATCCGCAATGTTATTTCTTAGGGTTGGTTGAGCTAGTTGTACTGTACTTGAGGTATTTTTTCGCCAGGGTTCCTCAGAGTGTGCTTACAGTATCAAGAACCCCCAGCATCCCAGTCTGACCATACAGGTCTTTATACGAACCCCAAACCCCATTAGTAAGCCGAACACTCGCTGCAGGCGCGAATCGGCCGTACGATCACAGCATCAAGGGTTTGGGGTTTAGGCTTCCAGGGTTCGGGTCTACAGGTTTGGAGCCCTAGGCCTAAAACCCTAAACCCGAATGCTCAGGTGATCATGCTCCAGCAGCTTATGGAAGGCTTGCAGATGTTTCGTTTTGGTGACGAAGACCTTAGATTGTAGTTGTTCCGGGCTACCTTGTTTTCTGTTTAGAGGGTCGTGTGCATATAACAAGTTACCCCACAACCTTTGCTACGGCTCAGGGTGTAGGTCGCGGTTTGGTGTATTATGATGTAGGCAATCAGGGATGTATATTGTCTGGTCTAACGCTTTGGTGTTGGTAGATTTGCTGTGCAAGATCTTTGGGGTTATAGGTTTTTGTTGTGTTCAGGTGGTGAGGGGTTTGGAGTAGAGGTTAGGAACCAGCTTTTTTGGGCTAGTTCAGGGGCATCCACTGAACACTGCCCTTCCACTTGTCAGGCACTATGCGCTTTCTTCGCAGTCTGTTTGACGAAGCTTTGCTGCATCAGATATACCTTAAGCTACCAAGATCAAGTTAATTGTAGGTTTTTGTTGTACGAGTCCGAATTTACAGTTTGTGGTAGGTTTGGGGAGGAAAAACGGTATTGTGTGTTAAGCGGAAGTTTCTCCGTCGAGAAGATGGCGGACCTGCTACCGGTGCTGGAAGCAAAGTCGCCCTCGCACGAACTGGATGTACGACGAAAGTCACGACATCAAGCACTCGAGGCTGTTGAAGCTGAGAGAGATCGGACTGGCCATGAATCTCGAGTTTTTGAGTACAGTCGGTATCCGACCACATCCTCATGCTGTGAACGCGATGGTGAGGTTTTCTGACTATCTGTAGCTCCGAGAGAACGGGACGTCTTCCACTTCTTCTCGCAGAACATGACTACTGCTTGGGCAGAAGCATACACCGACGCGACTGCTCCAAACCGGACCCTTCAAACACTCCAAAGCGCGACCCACGAGAAGGATCTGGCCCTAAAGCCCTAAACCTCAGACCCAAAACCTCGAACTCTAGAAGCCTGAAGCCTTAGGCGAAACCCTTAATCCTAGAACCTTTAAAGGAAGTCCGATACCTTAACCACCTGAGAGGAAACCCGAAAACTCAAAGCCCTAAACCTAAACCCTCAGCCGTAAACCCCACACCCTAAGCTCTAAACCCTAAGCCTCAAACCGCTAAACCCTAAACCCGAAGGATGGAAACCCTAAACCCTTAAACCCGATACACCCGAAACCCTTAACCCAAAACTCAGTAGTAAAGTAGGTAACATTTAACCTTTGGGTACTACAATCATAATCCTTACACCTTCATAAAGGTAACCGCTTGTTGCTGATACCGGGCAAAAGACAAATTCAGAGGATTGCCCAAACCCTAAACCTTCCCCTGAAGCTTAAACCCCAAGCTGGGCGGTTGTCAAAATGGTGGTCCCTTCTTGGATCCTTCTTTTTAATTATGCGGCACCAAATATTTAGGGTACCCCAAAAGGGGCCATAAGTTTGACAATTAACCAGCTAGATCCTTTAAAGAAGCCCTTGAAGGATTCCTAAACCTATAAAACAAACCCAGAGCCTCCAAAACCACTTAAGTTAGGAAATACTTTAAATCATATTATGGTTCCGACTATACTTTAAGGTATATTCCTTAATTCCCTTACAGAGCCCCTATAGATACCTTTTCGGAAGCCATTTAATGGATCCTAAGGTATATTCATTACTTAATGGGTTTTGGTAGGTTCCTTATTGTACTTTTAATCTAATAAGCACCAAAACCGTATTCTAATTGCTCAGGCCCCTACATTCCCAGAGACTCCAATACCCCTTAATTAAGGAATATACTTTAAATTATAGTAGGGTCCTTAATATGATTTAAGGAATATTCCTTAATTAAGGGGTATTGGAGTCTCTGGGTTAAACCTTTAAAGCAGAGCCTCAGAGGCTAGCCTTGGTCAGCCAAGGAGAGCATTCCCTTACAGAACCCCTTCAGATCCCTTTCAGGAACCCCTTAAGGAATCCTAAGGTATATTCCTTCATGAGGCTCTGGGAACCCTCAGAGGGTAGTCTAAACCCTAAACCCCAAACCCTAAACCCCAAACCCTAAACCCTAAACCCTAAACAAAAAAAAACCCTAAACCCTAAACCCTAAACCCCTAGACTTTAGGCCTTGGTAGCCTGGGTAAGCCGAGGAGAGCTTCATCAAGAACTGGGAGTTGAACGCTGGCTTCCACTACCCTGTTCGGGACCCAGGGGTTAGGGATTTCAGGGTTTCGGCTCTCTATTGGCTTTATAAGTTTTGAGTGTGGGGATTAGGGTGTACAGGCATTTTGAGGGTTTGGGGGGTGTAGGGTTTCTAGGGGTTTAGGGGCTTTGGTTGTGTGGGGGTGTAAGGGGTTTTTTGGAATCTGGCGTGTGGAGCTTTCGCTTTAGAGCTTCGGAGTTTGGGTTTTGGAGTTTAGAGTCTGGTGCTTAGCGGATGAGGGCTTATGAGCTAGGTAGGGGTTTCGGGCTCAGGGTGCACGGGGTTTGGGGTTGTGGTACCCTGCCGGGGACTGAGGAGTTTGATGCAGGTCTTAAAGGGTTTCACAAGGTTCTAGTGGTGCTACATAGACGCATTATGAGGGCTTAATGAGGTTAATCAGGGTTTAAAGGGTTCCCTTAAGGGTTACTTGAGGGGCTCTAAAATCAAGGGCTATATTGCAGATTGTTAGTGTCCTTAGGGTTTAGCATGGAGGCAAGGCATTGTAGTTTCATAATCGGGTTTCGGGGCAGAGTTTCGGTTGCATGATCCTTGAGCCCTCAATGCACGCAATGCCACAAGTTATAAGACATACTGAGCTGCTGCATGTTTTGACGTGGTGTGTTCTGGCTTTCTGGATGGAAAAGCACCGGAAATCTTAAGCAGGAAGCTTCTCGTAGTCTGTCAGCCTTACACCCATCACCAACCTACATTATGTGGTCATACTCACAACCCCGGCTTTCGGATTTGGGGTCGCGGGTTTCATAGCATGCTACTATATATATACATAAGAACCTATGCACCTGAAAAGGCATAGGGCCTAGGGTATGACACTCGCGGTAGGCTTTACCCGGGCCCTTAACAACTAATATACCTGTCTACGGCCTTTTCTGAGGACATTATTACAAGAGGCCTGAGGGTTCGTGCGCAATCATTTTTTCGGAGCCCACCCGATCCCATGAACATGGTAAGCTGTCGATTCGCGGACTTTCACAGTGCTGCAGTCGAGAGTTCTGCCCAAGCACGTCCTTGAGGCAAGCTAAGAACGGTAACTGATGTTTTGAATATGGTAATGGCCAAACCATTTTGAGATATTGGCATTGAAAGCCATGTATTTACATATCTGCAGCTCAGACATTTTCGGATCCCTCGAGTGGTGGAACACGAGTTAGGTCTGACCCGAGTTCCCAGCAAGGTGCGGACGCAGTATGCGACACTGCACATGCACGTCCGAGTCAATTCAGGCGGGGAGGGTCCCCAATTCATCAGTTTCAGGGGTCCCAGGGCTCGTGGCCCAGGTGTCACCAGTCTAGACTCTATAGGCAAGGGGGTGTTGTGAGGATTCTGCCCAAAATTCCCCACAGTAGGAAGTCGTATCCCCTCAAAGCACGAGGAGCATCTTCACTCATGCCTAATCCATGCGTGTAATATGTGCGTGTCCTTGTCTGCTTTGGTGGGAGCAAGACCCTTCTTCACAGGAGAAGGTGGAGATCATACCTTACCCCAAGTCATAAACCTTGATATTTACCAGCAGCCCCGAAACACATCTTCAAGTGGAGGGTTGCTAGGGCCTGCCGAAGGACGAGTTGGCATATCCACAAGCCTAAACACCCTAAACCTTGAGCCCGAAGCCTTCAACCCAAACCCTAAACCCCTAAAGCTGTAAGCCCTTCGCCCACTCCTTAATTCGTTGAGACGTTTGCGATCCTGAGCAGCCAGGACCCTTCTGCCGAGAAGACGGTCGTGGGATGGACGCACCCTCGTTGCAAGATGACTACAGAACTACACGTACCCTTTTGTCAATCAACTTAGTTTTATTTTATGGTATACAGAAGACTGGATAACCCAACAACGGGCAATTAGGGTATGGCCCTACAAGGTATGTCAGGTTCGGAGTTCGAGGAGCCATGACTTTAGGGTTTAGGGGTGTCAAGTTTAGGGATCATGGAGTTTAGTAAGGTAGATTAGGGCTTGGGGCTCATGCAGGGCTTAGCAACACGCCTTAACTATCTGAAAAAAACCATAAATAAATACCCACTATGAAGGGTTGTAGCGGCTCTATTCAAGGGTACTTGGGGGGGTTGGTGATAAATCCAGGCGTTCAGGTTGAAGGCTTGCCTAGACCGGCAAACGCAGCTCCCTTGTCTGGCTCCTCCAGTATCCCTGCGGGTCCCTGTGGTCATAAGGATTCCTCTAACAAGGGTTCCTCGATCGCCACCTGGCGAAGCAGCTGCGCAAAAGGAAAACTGAGCCTCGCGTCTTGTTCCGTTTCGAAGATGCAACTGGCATGACACAACCGAAGGCATGGTAATGTCATCAGTTTCCTTCTTAAGAAGATGCCCGCCAAGCATTGAAGTATAGGATCAGGATTGAGGTCAGCAGTTAAGGCATGCCTGTATCCTGTATCCCAAACCCTACAACATCGCAGGTTATGACTCCTTACCCTAAGGCTCCTAAGAAGGTCATGGGCTTTCTGGGGGAGGGTTTGGGCTTTGGGGGCTAAGGTTTTGGATCTCACTGCGAGGGTCCAGGAGCCTTAGGGAGTTAGGAGTTCGAATTAGAAGCTCTACAAGCCCTGGAAGCCCCAAATGCCAGACATCCAGCAACGCAAAGCTCCCACCTGCTTTTGGATTTGGGGTTTAGGCTTTCGGGTGTAGGGGTTGCCTCCGTCTTATATACACTGTAGCTACACTGCATACCCTAATACCCGGGTATCCAAAAATGAAGCCCGAAACTCTGAACATTTTCCCGCATGTCGGTCGCTATGCCCCTTTGGGACTAATCTAACAGCACCTGTTCGGCCTCTACGGTGTTTTTGGAATACCATACTTCATTGTTATTTTTTGCACGTGCTCCTTCCAGGAACCATTGCGAAACAATATCATATTTTAGTGCTGTTCGGATTATGAAGGAAGGAGCCATTATGAATTCATTTCGTGCTGTTCGGATTATGAAGGAAAGAGCCATTATGAAATGATTTCATGCTGTTCGGATTATGAAGGAAGGAGCCATTTTATGAGATGAAGCTCTATACTCTGTTCTCCCTGGTTACCGCACTTCAGAGGCCAGTCTGATCCATGCCCAAAAACTCGTTGAGATTCTAACCTAAACCCAAAACCCTAATCTTCAGATGGAGATTCTTTCTGGTTACCCTAAACCCTAGACCCTAAACCCTAAACTTCAGATAGAATCTCCCTGGTTACCCTATACCCCAAGCCCTACACCCTAAACTTCAGATCCCAGTTTGATAAAAAGGCCCAGAAGCTCATGGAGATTCTCCGGGCTGACCGGACGATTTTCGAACCGCCGGCCTGATTTGCTTGCGACATTCAGTCGAGGGTTCCTTTAAGCCCAAGGCTACAGTCTCCTTAAGAATTATTTCTGTTTTGGTTCATATAAAACCCAAGAGAATATGAACTATATGATGTTTATTGTGTTTCTAAGGGGGTATAGCAGGGTCCGGGTACCTTGTGATCATGTACTCTCCTAGGAAAAGAGCTACACAACTACTGTCCTAAACCCAAGTACCTACAATAATTGAGTCCTTTGGACCCTTAGGGTAAGTGATACGATAAGGCCTGGGATTTGGGGGTGTTATTTTTGGGTCTAAGCGTTTCAGACGCAGGGGTTAGGGTTTGGATAAAACGTCTGGAACGCTTGGCTTTCGGATTCGGTCATTGCACAGACCATGGCCTCGTTTTTTCGCCATCTTCTTCAACCAGTGCTTTGCCCTAAACCCTAAGCTCTAATACCCAGCTCAAGCTTGACATGCCTGAACCCATAGAGTCCAAGTGATGGTATAGTATATACCCCAAGGGTCCAAAGGACCCAATAATCAGGTATTCGGCTTTAGGATAGTAGTTATGTAGGTTAGGATTTTGGAGAGTATATGATTATTAGGTACTTGGACCCTTGGGGATACCTGCGGGGCCCCAATCACCTAGCGAGTACCTGCTATAACGGTACTTGGACCGTTTGGGCAAGTAGCAGCCTGGGGACAGGCCGCCCGTCCTCTCTGCCCCAAAATCTGCGGCTAAGCAAAGAAACGAGTTCAACGCTGAGCATGCCTAGACCCTCCATCTACGCTCTATTAGACCCTACATGCCCAATATTTTTGGGGCGACATACCTCTATTTAAGGGTACATGGAGGGTCCTGGTGTGCGGTATGATTTTACGCCGGTGCAGTACCTCCCTCTTTTCAACATCCGCCACATCGTGCCTCTTGCAGATCGGTTCACAGAGCTTTGACAAGGACTGGTTCTATCCGTGTGAGGTTTTTAGGGTTTAGTGTCCTTAAAGTAAAAGCCAGAAAGTTGGAATATGATTATCCTAGATCCTTTATGGTAAATTATAAGGTACCCTACCCTGAAACCATATTCCAACTTTCTGGGGTTCCCTTTAAACCTAAACCCTTGCAAGCAGGGTGCGAATGCTGAGACTTGCCTGCGGCATCGCGACCCTGTCGCAACTCGAACCGTGATTACAATTAATTAGTCCGCGTCCCGGCCCTAAACCCTAAACCCCTAAACCCCTAAACCCCTATAAACCCTAAACCCCTGAACCCCTAAACCCTAAACCCCTAAACCCTAAACCCCTAAATCCCTAAACCCTAGACCCCTAAATCCTATACCCTAAACCCTAAACCCCTAAACCCCTAAATCCTAAACCCCTAAACCCCTAAACCCTAGACCCCTAAACCCCTAAACCCTAAACCCCTAAATCCCTAAACCCTAAACCCCTAAATCCTATACCCTAAACCCTAAACCCCTAAACCCCTAAATCCTAAACCCCTAAACTCTAAACCGCATCGTCGACGGCCAGCCGGACGGAGTTCCCTGAACACCTCGCCAGGGCCAGGAACCCTGGGCCTAGGGGTTCCTTTAAAGGGCTCTATAGAGGCTACTATAAGGGATCTATAAGAGCACCATAATAATTACGAAACCTTGGGCCTTTACTAGGGTTCCTTTAAAGGGGTCTATAAGGGTTACTAGAAGGGATCTATAAGGGTACTATAGTAATGTAGGAACCTGATTAAGAAACCTTGGGCCTTAATTTAATTCGGGTTCCTTCTTATGAATCCTACTATTTTTTTGCGGGGTTATAGGCCCAGGGTTTCTTAATCAGGTTCCTACATTATGCCCTAAACCCCTAATCCTAACCTACATAACTTACATAACTACTATCCTAAAACCGAGTACCTTATTATTGGGTCCTTTGGACGCTTGGGGTTGAACACCTCGCGAGGGCCAGGGCTGCAGTGCTTTTCAACGTTTCTGGGCCCCACCGGGCTTTCCAGGCCCACACAGCACGATCCAGGGTGGAACGGTTGATGATATAAATCCTGCATTCTTTCATTTAGGGTACCCAAAAAGGGACCCTATTTTTGACAACTACCCTTATGAACCCTAAAACCTATTTTTTTCCCCCCCCATCCCGAAACCCATCCTTCGCTGGACGGGGAACCCCGAAGCCTTGAACTTTGGGTAACTCCTGGTCTTTCACGGCCTTGCTGTGTGTATGTGTGTGTGTGTGTGTCAGACTTTTTGGATGGCATTGAAAAGGAGTTTAAAAAAAAAAACAAACCCTTGAAAGAGCACCGTATCACCGAGCCCTGATGATGCCTTGTCGGACCACTTGGGTTTTATACATGTCGTTGCCGTTGGGAAATAGCCCTTCAATCATACCTGAGAGCGATCCTTAGTACCACTAGACCGTCGATTTTGAAACCGTTAATCCTTGCCTTAAGCTCTAAAGACTCTAAAGCCACTAGTAGTAGGTGTTTGGTTGTTTCCGGGTTTCCCCTTTAAGGGATCTATAGGGTTTAGGGTCTTAGGGGTTTAGGGTTTTAGGGTTTCCCCGCCAGGAACGGGACGATCAGACGATGAAGTATCAGGTCACAGAGAACGCGAAGGCCGCAGTGCTCGGAATCTTCAAGTGTTAAGCCCGAAGCCGTAGACCCTAAACCCTAAACCCTATAAGCCCTAAGCCCGAACCCTATACCCTAAAACCCAAACCTAAACAAAGCCCTAAACCCGAACCCTATACCTAAACATTTACATAAGCCCTAAGCCCTAAATCCGAAGAATCTTGGACCCCCCCCCCTCAAAGCCCAAGCCTCGAACCCAAATCACTCACCCCGATCTCCCACCCCAAGCCCTAACCCACTTTTTCCCAAGAATTAGGTGCTTGGTTTTAGGATATTAGCAATTAAGGTGAAATACTCTGTTGGAGAGCATATGATATCTATGTACTTGGACCCTTAGGGGTTTTGGGGTTTGCACTCAGGGCGTCCTCCGAACTCTGAATCGACACATCCCTTTCTGTGCTTCCGGCCCCGGGGCACGAGGACACGCCTGAGCTCCTCGGGCCAAACAAGGAGGACCCCATGGATGCTGCATTCCGAGAGTACAACTGCTTTGGCATCGAACCACCCACAGCAACGCGAACGCGATCACTTGCTTGCGCTCGTCACTGCTGCGCAAGAGCGCATGCAGGCAGGTGCCCCGACCCAGGGGATTCGGAGCTGGTAGAGCTATTTTACCTAGCACTCCGCCAATCCTATGCCAGCGATTGGATTTAGCTTGCCGCCTGTGTAGTCTTGCACGTAGGCTGGCCGAGGGTCCACATGAGCTAAGGGTTGGGGATATGGGAGTTTAGGGTGGAGGGTGGTGGTTTAGGGTTTAGGGTTGAGGGTGGGGAAGGGGATTTAGGGTTTACCTGTAATTTCGCAAACCCTGCAAGATAGCAGGTTATGACCTCATGATTCTAGGAACCCCTGCTATGTGAAAGTCGCCCCGAGTTCAGAATCCTCAACCCTTGACCTTGCTAATGTAGAAGCCAGGACAATTACCAACATTACTGCTTCGGGTTCAGTACCCTATTCAATCCCTGAAGGGCACCATGTCCGCTCCAGAGCCCTACCCCCCCCCCCCCCAGATCTGAGAGTTTCGGATTTAGGGTTTACCTTAGACTACCAAAACCTACTAAATTGTGGGTTCAAGAGAAGTACAAACCCTAGTATGGAGTTTATGGGGACCCCACACAGAGTAGTTTCTGCTAGGTTAGGGCACTTACCCAAGGCTCCATGTACCTCCATGGTAAATACTTGGGCCTTACTTCACGCCCGCATATACCCTAAACCGTATACATCCCAAGTACTAAGCCCGAATCCTGAACACTGCCCGTATGGTTCCATGTGCCCTCATAGGTTATACTTAGCGGTTCCTATATAGGTGCTTTGAGGCCTAAGTGTATCTGATATGGCTACCTTGGAGCCTTGGAAGCGCCTTTAAACTGTAAACTTAGACTCCAAACTCTAAACCCTGAAACCGTAAAGCCTAAACCCTAAATCTACCCAGAAACCCTGAACCCTACACCTTCAACCCTACACCCTAAACCCTAAGCTTAATCCCCGAACTTGGGCACTCCGCTCGAAGGTTTGCCTCCTTGCAGCTGCCCAAGAGTACGAGGCCACCTTGATTAACCGCCTAGGCCGAGGGCCATACGGGCATAGGGTTTTAGCATTTAGGGCTTTAGTTTATTGGGGGTGTATACAGGGGTTAACTGCTCTTCGGGCTCAGTCAGAGCCTTCCCAGACCTGCCTGCATTTCCAGGGCTCCATATTACGATCTCCTTGTCTAAGCCCATAAAGCGGTAGGTGATTTGGGTCCAGGTAGGGTTAAGGCTTCTGGGTTGAGGCTTTAACATGTAGGGTTGTGCAAAGGTCTAACGGTGCAGTGTTGAGGGTGTAGGGCCGATAGCCCATAACCCATTATAAAGGGTTTAGGGGATAAGGTCCAATTGACCCGATAGTTGGGCATTTGGGTTTAGGATTGTGTTTGTGTTTCGCATTCACGCACTGAAACCTCGATCCCTGAATGATAAGCCCTCACCCGAAAACAATCCAACCCTAAACCCTAAAACCCTACAGTAAACCCCATAAAGTTGGAAACCGGATGAAGGCCAAATAGTGCTGGGATTCCCTATACATTGCCCTTAAGGATGGAGGCTCTGGGGTTTCCAACTTTTGGGCTTCTACTGTAAACCGGACTAAACGCTGAACCTCACTCCCTAAACTACGAAATTTCCGCTACCGTCCTGGCGACGCTGCATTCCAAGTACTCATGCCAAGTACTAGCCGGTCTAGGGTTTAGGGTTTATGGCTTTGGCGTCAGTGTAGCTACATAGGGAACCCTCTGAGGGCAAAGTATGCTAGACGTGTTCAGGGTTTGTGGGTCAAGGATCAAGGATTAGTTTGTGGAAATTTTGTTTTTGAGCTGCCATGCCTGCGTCCAATGTCGAAGGTGTATGCCTTGGTGTAGACCTCAGGCAGTTGCGAAACTGTGTGCAACCCCACCGGTAAGCCCTTGAGTCATAGATCTTAAGCACCCCCTACTCCTCCTACTTTCAAGCAGCAGATGAGTGCAGGCCGTTGACGTGAAGTTCTAGGACCCCTAAAGCTCTCAAGTCTTAGAGCCTTGGCCCTGGCAGCACAATGAAGCCTCCAAGCCCGAAACCCTAAAATCTGATATGGGGGTTTCCGAAAATAAGGGGTACCTTATTTTAGGGTTATTATAATATGGATCCTACTATGTAGGGTGCTATACTAGGGTCCCCTATTTTCGGAAACTTCCATATCTGTATCCAAACCAGAAACTCATGTGCAGGCTGCCAACGATTCACCACATCCGTGCCATCAGATTTCGCCGAACATGTTCGAGCTCGGGCATCATGCTTCCTGGGCGTGTTTATGCATGTGGTATGGTTTACGGCCTGGGGCGTTTTGGTCATCGATTCGGGGGTTCTGGTTGGGCTTTGTTCGGGTTCAGAAGCTAGGGGTGAGGTGTTTCGGTGTCGATTCAGACTTGAGGTGCAAATCCTTGCCCTAAACCCTAAACCCTAAAGCTCTCAACCCCTAGATCCCTAAACCCTAAAGTTGAGCCGGCGGTTTGATGTTACCTTCGCTTGTTGTTGTCGTCCTTATCTGTAGACGACTCCAAGATCAGATCCAAGACTACACGGTAGAAACTTTGCGCCCTGAAGCCCTAAGCCGTAAACCCTAAACCCTACAAACTCTAGAAGCCCAAATAGCCCTAAGCTTACCCTAAGACCCAAGATCCCTGAACCCCGAGCCAGGCAATGCCAACCATCCATGACGACGAAGATGAGGATGAAGAGCAGGACCTTTTAGGGTGTAGGGTTATGGGCTCTGGGTCTTCTTAGGGTTTAGGGTTTAGGGTTTAGGGGGTTTAGGGTTTAGGGTTTAGGGGGTTTAGGGTTTAGGGTCTAGGGGGTTTAGGGTTTAGGGTCTAGGGGTTTAGGGTTTAGTGTGTAAGGGGCTCTGGGTCTTCTTGCGGTTTAGGGTTTAGGGTCTTAGGATTTTAAGGTTGGAGTATATGATTTTAGGTTTGTGCCGTAATTAAGGGATATTGGAAGGTCTGGGGTTTACGTACTTAAAGGATCATGGGACTTAGTAACTTGGGTTATAATTAGGGTAACTATACTTATATCTACTTATAACCCCAATTCAGGTACTTATAACCTTACTTACTAAGTCCCATGATCCTCCAAGTAGGCCAACCCTTTGAGGCTGAGATCCTTGAACCCCAGTTTGAGTGTTACGGCGGAGTGTTACGGTTTGCCAACGCCGTGCAACGGTTGATGATAGAAATCCTGCATTACCCATAATGAGGAGTATACCATAATTCCCATAGTTTCGGGTCCTTAAAGTAATGCAGGATTTGTGTCATCTACCGAAGTACCCCTTGCTAGAGCCTAAGTATTCCACTATTTGGGGCAATAGGGCTCCTATTCAAGGGTGCTTTGGGGGTGCTGGTGGGGCTTGGGGTTTGGAAACCTCTTTACCCCAGGACCCGCTTCATGAGATAAGTCTCCCAACGACAACACGCGCTTGCTTTGATATCACGTATGATGAAACAAATACCGAATTTGATTAGATACTGGTCGGCAAACGTATAAACATGAGCCCTGCCTGTCGAATCTAAATTGTGGTTCCTGGGGTGTTTGTTTATGTACTTCTAACACAAAATCACAAAATGAGGGTCAACGAAACGACCCGGAATCTATGCAGGGCAAGGTCCTGCAAACCCTGAACCTGCTGATAGAACCCAACAGTGGCCTTAAAGAGCCCTCACAGGAACATTTGCAGTACGTACCACCTAAGCTTTGTATCGATATTGTACGGGATGATGTCTCTTTTCCCTTGTTGTTCAAGATCAATCCCTTGTGAAAAACATTGTCGGGGACTGTTGAAATCGACACCTAGTAGCCGTAAATAACCGTAAGGCTCCATACCTCATTCTTGGGTCCGCTGAACCTTCACAACTCCCTTGGAAACCAAATACCTATAGATCCCTTGGCTAGGGAACCCTTCAAGAACCCCGAACTATCTGTATACTCTTTAATCAAGGAACCCTTAAAGAACCCCTAACTATCAAGACACCCCACCTTTGATTATAAGTAAGGAACCCTAAACAAAGAGCCCTTAATAATTGGGTCTCGAGGGCTGCCGAAAGAATCCTTCCCCATGGGTCCAAGTACCCCATAATCATACACTATCCAAAATCCTAACCTACACGGCTACTATCCTGAACCGAGTACCTAATTATTAAGGCCCAGATAATGGAACCCTAGTAGTACCCCTTTTAAAGGAACCTTGTAGAACCCTTTAAGGGAACCCTAATTATTGGGTCCTTTGGACCCTTGGGGCTATACAAAACCCATAATACCCCTTGCAGTAGTCCTTATAGACACCCCTTAAAGGAACCCTATTTTTCCGAAGAAGTACCTAATTATTGGGTCCTTTGGACCGTCGGGGTACTAGCCAAAGGTAAGAAAACTGGTGGCGCCAGGGTTCAGAGCTTTGAAACCCTAAACCCTAAACCCCTGAAACCCTAAACCCTAAACACCCTAAACCTTAAACCCTAAACTCTAATCCCTATAAACCCTAAACCCTAAACCCCTAAACCCCTAAACCCTGGGGCTCAGACTTTTGGACCCTTGGGGCTCAGGGTCCGCAAGAGAGATCGGAGCCGGGAGCCCCACCGGGTGCCCGAGTATTACAGGGGCCTCTTCGGTTTAGGGGTTTACCTTAGGCCGGAATAACCTACCTTTTTAGGGTTCCTTATTGTGATTTCCTTATATATGTCCTTAAAAAGGTAGGTTATTCCGGCTCAAGGTAGGGTTTATAGGGATTAGAGTTTAGGGTTTAGGGTTTAGGGGTTTAGGGTTTATAGGGATTAGAGTTTAGGGTTTAAGGTTGGGGTTTTTAGGGTTTCAGGGGTTTCAGGGGTTTAGGGTTTAGGGTGTATTCAGAAATAACTAGTTCCATTTTGGTGGTTCCTTATCATGACTAATACTAACTGATTGTAAGTACATTATCGTAAAATACATGTCAAACCCTTTTCTAATTATTGAGGCCCTCATTTTTGATGAGAAGTGTGGGGTTCACTACTTTTGGTGTGCACCCTTGGGGCTTGTTGTTGTTGAGCCTTGTTGTTGTGACTTCGCTTATTTGTTCGGAGTTAGGTTTTAGATCCCACATACTATACTCTGAATGGTTCTTGGTACCAAAAACCGTCCCATCTGGTTTCGAGCTTGCACCTTGCGTCAGAGCTTTGTGTGTGCTGCTGTGGTGGGATTAACTAGGAACAGAAAAATATCTCATTATGATCCCTGAAAAATCGTACAACAATGAATGCACTTGCCCTTAAATCTAAAGCCTAATTTCTAAACCTTGAACCCTATTCTAAATGTTCAGGTCCCAATAAGCGGGAAACGAGTTCGGCATGGATTCCTGAGTGAAGATCGCAGGGGGAGTCGTAAGTCCTCACAGAGATTTCTCTTTGTCCTTTTCGGTTCTACCCTAAACCCTACCATAACCCTGAATAACCTACCTTTTTGGGGTTCCTTAGTATGATTTCCTTGTTTCAGTCCTTAAAAAGGTAGGTCCTTCAGGGTTAAGGTGAACCTTAGACCTTAAAAACCCCAACCCACAGAGTGTACAAAAGGTGGGCAGAGTAGCAAAGTGGAGCCTAGGGACTAGGAATCGACCACTAGGATGCCCAGTCTTATGTAGTGCTAGGTTCCTTACAAAGTTACCCAATACCCAAAAAGGAGCCCTTTTTGTTCCTAGGTTACAGGGCATCCTAGACCATGCTTTTCATGTTTATTTGCTAGCAGCTGCCATTGCACGAACGAAGCATTTGAGGCTTGGAACGACAAGTCTCTCTGCGGGGATGTGCTTGGGGACAGTTCATATTCAAGTTATCTATCTCATTGGATATCCTCCTGATAGCAACCTGTGATATCCTATTCGACCGCGCTGAGACCTGAGTAGATTCTTGAAGTACTCCTGTAGCCATGGTGTCCAACGGGTTCTGCAGCCTGGTGCTGTTCTTCTGCGCAAGCACCGCCGCCACGGAAACTTTGTGACAGTTGGGTTAACATTTCTTTGACACTTTTATGGGTACTTAAACCAATACGGAGTAAACAAAATATTTTTTCAGCCCTATCCCAACCATGAACTAGGAAAGTATCAGCACAACCTCCTCTCCGACTCCCGCGGTTCAGTGGTTTGTCTACTCAGAGTTCGATGGCACCACCTGTGAAGCAGAAAGCTTACACCACAATGAGGAGCTCTACCCGGCTGGCTACTGTGTGGACAGGTCCAGTGACTCACCCCTTTCTGCGATTCTGGGTCTCCTAGTGGGCCCGTTTTTCCTTTTTGTGGCCTAAGGTTCCTGTTGGAGTTACCCAATACCACAAAGAGAGCCCTTTTCATTCTTAGGCTACCGGGGGTCCTAGGATTGCAACCGCAGTCAACGACACCACCTTCCAGTTCGAGATATACTTGACCAACGACTGCAGCGGCAGCGTCATGGGCACACTAGTTGCTGGCGTGTCCTTCAGAATCATTCTTCGTGTTTTCCCGGTTCATAAGCCTAAAGGACTCGTAGCGAACATCGTTCTTATTCCGGGCACAAGACCTCCCCCGTACAGTAAACCCTAGGCCCCATAGACCCAACACCCTAACTTAGCAGAACCTACTTCTTTGTAGGATCCAAACTCCGTATTAGGGTTTATAACTGTAGAGCTTACAAAGAAGTAGGTTTGGGTTGGTGAACGTATACCCCAAAAGTGGCTCCTAGGCTGGGCCTTCAAGTGCTTGCGAGCCACTTTCGGCCCCCGAAAAGAGTCTCCTCACGTCAGACACAAGGATGTGAAATGGTATATGTTTTGCTTTATTGTTTCTGGGTACCTACCATTATATGGGCGATTGTGACAATTATGGTCCCTTTTTGGGTCCTTATTGTAATACGGCACCTAATATTTAGGGTGCCCAAAAACGGACCATAATTTTGACAACTACCCATATAACAGCTAAATCCACGAATCTACGCTTTTCCGGCAGCCTAGGATGACACCATTGCTAGTGTCATCGACATGCGTGCTTGCATGGATGATCAATTGGGAACAAGGGCCATGCTGTATCCGCTGGATACATGTATCAAGCTTGCAGGCATGGATTCGTATCCGGGGAAGTTCACCTGCATCGATGGACAGCTTCGCGTCCTTCCTTTCGATGACTCAGCGTGCTCCGTGGAGGCAGCTGATGGCGAGTATGCAATCGTGGACAAGCTTACATTCGCAGAGCCAGGCACCTGCAAGACGGTGACGCTCCCGTGGGGTGAGATGTCTATTGGGCTCTACAATGCCGTCTGCTGAAGGGCGGGCAGTCAAATTCGACAGCTTCAGCCCTAAATCCTGAATCCTGACCCTAGAAGCCCTAGTCAGCTAAACTCCGATAGCCAAAAACCTTAAAATCACAAATCACTGGCCGTAAATAAATCCTAAACCCTCAACCTCGCCAACCCCACACCCTCAAGCAAAAGTCTTGCTGGGATGGGGCTTTCTTCAAGGCATCAGTGAGCTGCTCGATGAAGCAGCTTGAGGTGCTGGCGTGGGATGGCGCGATTTAACAGCAATGAATACTCTTCTTCTTCTTCGTGTTACCGATATCAAATTTCGCTGCCCGCAGCCACAGCTCATTCTACTCTAGATGCTTGGACTTGTGCGTCACTTTGGTGCGCACTTGTTCGCCGTGCCTAGTTGCGTGTGCCGCCCTCACACGCAGTGGTAGGCCTGTTTTCCAGCACTGTATGGCTACTGTACGGCCCATGGAATTCGTTTGCCTGCTTTTTCGTTGCCAGCACATGGCGTCGGCGACCGCAGCTGTGAGGCACGACTGGACCTGTGCAAAACAGGCATGCTGACGAGACAAGAGATCTGCATGGGTGTTTCCTGGTCCTCGTTGCGGTATGTCGCCTACTACATATATACCGGAAGCATCCATGCACGTGTATGGAGTGTGTGTGTGTGTGTGTGTCTTGATGTTGTCACTGTACAATATACATAGTATATATATATGTACATATAGATACATATAGATACATATATATATATGAGCAACAACAAGCCACCACAACCCAGAGTCCGACAAGAAAAACCTTCAGAGCTAGAGGTTCTGTGAGAGTTCTACAGACCCCAATGACCTCATTACCGGGTATTTCTGGGTCTAGGGTAGGGAAGTTCGGAAACTTAGGGGTTTAGGGTGTATAGGGGTTTTTGGTTTAGGGTTTAGGATTTAGTGAGGGTTTCGGGTTAAGGGGTTGAGGGTTTAGGGTTTAGGATTTAGTGAGGGTTTAGGGTTTCGGAGTTTTGGGGTTAGGGGTTTATCAGGGTTTCGGTTTACCATGGTCCTTTTTGGCAATGAACCGCAGTGGAAGCAGCGAACCTCTAAAGCGTTTAGGGTTCCCGCAGCTCTTAAACTGCATCCCCTCAAGCACTCAAGCCAGCCCTCACACCTCCCAGAAACCCTTACCCCAGAGGCTCCACGTATACTACCAATATCGAAGTCCCCTGGGCCTCCAAGTAGTATATATGGAGCCTCTAGGTACACTCTTGAGTTCCCCCAAGCCTCCGCAAGCCATGAGCTCAAGATGGCCTAAACCCTAAGCCCGATTCTTGGAGGGGCAGGGGACTTAGTAGGGGCTCTTACACTGCCCCTTAAAGGGATCAAAAGGGTTCCTTAGAGGGATCTATGGGGTTTAGGGTTTTATCTACTTGGAGGGGCAGGGGATTTAGTAAGTCGTTTATAATTAGGTCTATAATTGGGGTAACTCCATTTAGGGTACTTCTAACTCTACTTACTACCTACTTACTAAGTCCGCTGCCCCTCCAAGTAGGGCTTCAGGGCTTACGGGGCTTACCAATTCCTTCCCCCTAACCCCAGGATGGGAGTTTCCGATAAAATTCGGGGGTACCTTATTTTGGGGTCCTTCTAATCAGGATCCTACTATTCAGGTTGCTAGACGAGGATCCCTTCGGAAACCCTAGATCTGAAGCCCCAAAACCCTATACCCTAAACCCTATACCCTACTTTAACCCGAAGAACCTACCTGTTTTTTAGGATTTATGTAAGGAAATCATAATAAAGGACCCTAAAAAGGTAGGTTATTCAGGGTTAAGGTATACCCTAAACCCCTAACCCCTATTTTCGATGACTCTGAACCCTAAACCCTTTATAGAACCCTCATAGATCCCTTAAAGGAGCCCTTTCAAGGCCCCCTGGAAACTCCAAGATGTGTCTGAGGTCCCCGTCCCTCCCGGATTTCCAGAAGCTCTATCCCTCACACGTCTTCGTGGCCAGTCCGGAATTTACGTGGATAATTCGCTTTGAACGCTTCAGGGTTTTGGGATAAGGGTTTAGGCCCCAGAATTTTGCGCCAGTCCGGAATTTCCTTGGATGTTTCGTTTTGACCGCTTGAGGGTTTTGGGATACAGTAAAGCCCAAAAGTTGGAAACCCCATAGCCTCAATCCTTAAGAGCACTGTATAGGGAATCCCAGCACTATTTGGCCTTAATCCGGTTTCCAACTTTAAGGCGTTTACTGTAAGGGTATAGGGCCCATAATTTGGGGGTTCAGAGATCATGGGTTTGGGTTTGGGGTTCAGGAGGGCTTATTTGAGACTTCGGTTGCAGATTTGAGCGTTCTGTGTTCCTAGCAGCTTCTTGGTTTTGGCGCGTTCTGCGATAGAGATATCACCTAAATCCCTAAACCCTATAAGCCCCAAGCCCTAAACCCTAAACCCTAAAGTTTGGGCGAAGGGTTGAGGTTCAACCCTAAGCCCAGGTAGCTCGCGATGCTCACTATGTTCGAGCTTCCAGTTCTTGGCTAGCTGGTTTCGGGTTTGGGGTTGAGGGTATAATGCCAGGTCCTAGTATTAACCCCAAACAGGAGGACGCTTCCTGCTGCCACAAATACTTCGCACCTTCTCATGCTTTGGGAGTTGGGGCTGGTGTTTTACCTGGACCCTATAGGATACCTAATTTGTGAGGGCTCCTTTTTCTGATTTGCTTATACAAGTCGTCCTTCCAAAGGTAGGTGATGCAGGGTCCGGGCAAGCAATTTCCAGCGCACCCAGAAGTCCAGTGTTCGTGATTTGCTTCACTGACGCTGCGTGCTTCCGTCGTAGCGGCTTGTGATGTTTGCTGGGTTCAGGGCTTCGGGGTTCAGGGCATAATCTAGGAACCTGATTAAGATAATAAAGACCCAGGGTTGCTCAATCAGGTTCCTACATTAGGGCCATAGGCCCCATAGTAGTTCCTTTTTGGGATCACCCTATAGGGTTCTAAATATGAACTCCAAAACAGCGGCAACCATATAAGGAACCCTAACAAAGACCCAGGGTTCCCTATAGGATTCTAAACATGAACTCCAAAAAGGAACCCCCAGGGTTCAAGTAGCAGCTAGTGATCATATACTCTCAAAACTCCTAACCTACATAACTACTATCCCAAAACCAAGTAGGTCCTTTGGACCCTCGGGGGAACTATTATGGGACCTATACTATAGGGCCCCGAGTCCAAGCTTTCCCACGTGAAAGCCTCGCACCATCCAAGCGTAGGTCAGGGGCTCTAAAGTTCTCCAGAGATGTCTTTTTTAAGGGCTCCTATAAGGGTTCTACAAGGGTACCATAGGGGTTTAGGGTTTAGGGTTTGAGGCTCCATGTAGCCTTATAGTATATACTTAGGCCTTAAAAGGGGTTCCTATATAGGTACTTTAAGGCCTAAGTATATACTATATTTCTACATGGAGCCTTAGGATGAGTGACTGTGTGCTTGCAATCATGTCCCGGTTTGAGCACATTTTGCAGGTTTAGAGCTTAAAGGGAACTCCAGAAAGTTGGAATATGGATTACTGGTAGGATCCCCTATAATTTACCTTAAAGGGGTCACGATAATGATATTCAAACTTTCTGGCTTCTACTGTAGAATCATGCTTTGGCTTGGTGTTTACGAGGTTATAGATCAAGTAAAGCCGATTAGTTCTTAATCTTTTGCAAGTTCGGTGGTCACTAAACCCCAATCCCTAAGCCCTACAAGCCTTAAACGGACGAAGCCCGACAGTCGAACTTGAGCCTGTGACAGGCTATGGTAGCTTTGCGAAAACTTAGCAGCTGAGTGAATACACTTTGCATTTTTTGGATAGTACGACCCACTATAGATCTACAGGTGCACACATTTTGGGGCTTATGATCTCAGCCACTAAGAACATGTTCGAAACTGCCGCCCGAAGCTCCAAGCCCAAAGCTCTCGAGCCCAGACTCCGAACCCACCAGAAACCTAGGGTTTAGGGTTTAGGCTTAGGGTTCAGGGTCAATAGACCCGAAACCCCCAGCCCTAGACCCTAAACCCTAACTGCACTTGTTTTCCCGAGAATTCTGCCGGTAAAATTGAATTCTGATACAACCCCACCTTCAATGCACGAACCCTCAAACCGAAAGAAACCCTGAACCCATACCGAGTTCAACACTCTGAAAAGAACCCTGAACCCTAAAACCTTATTTATATAAGCCCTTCTAGATCCCTTATAGGAATCCGTTCAGCCTCCACCGAGGATGCTAACATCCAGCTCTCTCAGCTGGATGATGCGTCGAATCAATATCTGGTCCGGCCCGCGTGAGTTTGGGGGTACTCGGATACAGGATTTAGAGTTTAGGGAGGGTTTGGGGTTTAGGGCGGGTTTAACATAGAGGTCGGAATAGTGAGTAGCGACATTCCTGATAAGCCCCATATAAACATACAAGGGTGCACCCAACAAATCTTATTCTAAGTTTTTCAGGCCCCTAGAACATTAGTATAGGGATGAGGGTTCTGTAGAGTTCAGGGTTGAGGGCTGCAGTGTGTCGGGTTTCTGGGCTGCTGGATGAAGGTTTTACGGCGTCCGAACTTCACAGGGAAACCCTAAACATAAACCCCAGGCCCCTGAACCCATATCAGGGTGCAGGCTCCTGGGCAGAGATAGGGCTTTAGAGTTGCATTAGTGCGGATAACCGGTGTGTTCAGGGAATTGCGAGATATAGGCGCTGAGTTGCGAGTTGCGAGATTGTACGTGAAGGGGCGTTTCTAGGCTTGCAATACTTGTAGGCTGTTCATCATGTCGTATAGTATAATCGAGTCTGTATGAAGGGTCAATGTGTTTCGATGCCTTTGTGGCTTATTGATGTTTTGTCGTGACGGGTTTCGGGCTCTGGTTTAACGAGTTGAGGGCTCTGGTCTGTGTTTGCCATAGGGTTTTCGATTTGGGCCACAGGGAACTGGGCATAGAGTCCAGTATAGTAGTTTTGGCTGCTTCGTACATTCCAGCTGTGTCGCTTGCCTCCGAGTGCTTCTTGTGAGTTACTGTAGCTGTCAAATCATTGATTTGCGGTTTTGCCTTCATGTCCGAATATATCTGGTCGACATCGCCGTAGATGCAGACCCAAATATACGCAAAGAGAGATGGGTATGTATGTTCATGTTTATGTATACATCGTAAACACACACACACACACACACACACACACACACACATCGTGCACACGGTAAGTTTTATGATTTTGGCCCTGGCCAGCTTGCATTCTGGTGACTACTTTCCTATCGAACCGTTCCCTGAGACCTGTACGAATGGATCCACACACTGTGTTGACGTGCCCAGGTCCATGGGACTTGAAGGATGGCCCAGCGACTCCAAGATCCCTTAAAAGAGTTTTCCCTAAATGATATAAGGGATCCTATTTATAACTTCAGGTATAATCCTTAAGTAAGGGGTTTTGGAGTCTGAATACCTCATAAAGGGATATTCTCTAAATCATAGTAAGGGATCCTATTATAACTTAATGCATATTACTTTAGAGTCTCTGGGAGCTTAGAAGGTGTATCCTGGCCTGTGTGAGCATGGTGGCTTCAATTTCGACGGTCTCGCGAGATGGAGTGGCAAGTGGTGTTTAAGTGTGGCCTGAACTGTCCCTCGCGCGACGACGGCGAAACTTCGGTTACTGTCCTGCTTTGTGGGCGGCAGTTGGGGGAATGCAGCCCCATCGTCCTGGACGACGCAGTCCCACACGAGTCCAAGCCCGCATATGGGTAGTTGTCAAAATTAGGATCCCTTTTTGGGTCCTTATTATAATACGGCACCTTATATATTTAGGGTACCCAAAAAGGGACCATAATTTTGACAACCACCCATATGGCAGTACCCCGAGCTGCCAACGCTGCTCAGACTTGGGGCAAAGCGAAGACTTCCCAGCATCGCCAAAGACCGTATTGGTCTTCTATAGTCTGATAAGGGCTCTTATAGCGTCATCTACAAGGTTTATGTTGATCACACCGCAACCCCAAGCCCTAAACCCTAAAGTCAAGACCCATAGACACCAACCCTTACATAAGACCCTAAACCCCCATTATACACCGTATAGTAATCCTTATAGTAACTCCTATAGAACCCTTGTTACCCTTTATAAGAACCCTAGGGCTTAGTTTCCCCAAACTCTGAAACCCAAAGTCGCCCTTAAACCGCAAACCCTAACTCTAAAACCCGTCGTCACCAAACCCTAGACCCTAAAACCTCAAAACCCGAAAACCCTAAACCCCAAAACCCCCAAACCTTATAGATCCCTTTCAAGGAACCCTAAACCACAAAAAGAAAAACACAAAAAAACCCAAAAAGGCATCCTGATCAGATCGCAGGTCAACGTGCAGCCGACCCTGGGGTCGGCGTTCTACCAGGCGACGGCTTTCGCTTCTTTCCCCAAGGGTCCAAAGGACCCAATCATTAGGTACTCGTTTTTTAGGATAGTAGTCATGTAGGTTGGGATTTTGGAGAGTGTAAGATCATTCGGTACTGGGACCCTGGGGGTTTTCTTTGCAGAGTTTTACTGTAATCTCTAATGCTCACGGCTGTAAACCCTAAACCTGAAACCCTGTAAAACATGACAGTACCACAGCATCATTATAGGCTCCTCTTCATTGCCTTTCGGTTACTCAGGGTCTCGGAATTCGGTGAGTCGGAGCTTGGGGCATTTGGGGCTCAGATTTGCAGCATTTCGGGCTTAAGGCTTATAAGCGTAAGGATTTAGGGGTTGTAAGCGTTTATGTAGTGTTTGGGTTTAAGATTTAGGGCGTGCATTTCAGGGTTTAGTGGTTCAGCATTATTAATACAGGTTTACATGCTCGGGAGTTCTGGCAAAAGCATGCCTAGGTTAGCCTTTGGGGCTTTGGGTCCATGGCTTGCCGTCTCTTGCGCTAGGTCTAGGTTCCCAAGCTGAATGTATCCGAAGATCAGTAGTCCCTAAACTCCAACCGTTTAAGAGAGGATCGACCCGAGGTTGATGGAGATGGAAGGCTAAGAGTCTACTTGGAGGTTCGGGGGACTTAGTAAGTAGATAGTAAGTAGACTTATAAGTACCCTAAAGGGGACCCTAATTGGGATTATGGTACTTAAAAGTCCCCAAAATAACCAGTTACTAAGTCCCCCGACCCTCCAAGTAGGGTTTGGGGGTTAGGGGTTTTGGGTTTCGGGCGCAGCTTTTGCTTCTGCGGTTGCCGTAGGTTCGGTCTATCCAAGGCTTCTGTTTTGGCACTTCGGCTCCTGTTGGCCGCTTCGCTCTCACCTACCTTTTTGGGGTCCCTTATTATGATTTCCCTATGTAAATCCTTAAACAGGTATGTTATTCCGGCTTAAGGTAAACCTTCAACCGCAAAGCTTAAACCCACAAGTCACCAAAGAAGCTCCATAGATGATCCCTTATGGTTCTCCCTGTAGTTCGAATCGGGCTGCTGGACTCGAGATCTTGAACTACGCACTAGCCCGGCGCCATTCCTCGACCCTGACATGTTGATTAAGTTCAAGAAGCGAAGGTCAGGATAACAGAACTTTCAGTCATCTTGTAGCCTAGCCCGAAATCTCAAACTGAAACACACGAACTCAACCATAGACCCTAACCCACAGCTCTCCAAACGCTTACCCTAAATCCTAGACGTTTACCCTAAGGGTCCCCGTACCTAATAATCGTAGAAATACAGCCACTATTTGTTCGGTCCTTTCTAGATGCTTAAATCCCTGTGGATGCCAGGTCTTGTACAAACTCCGAAAGCAGAGCCGAGAAAGATACGGCCTGCGCCCCAGACTGGCTGAGTCTGTCACCTTACAACAGCAGATTCCTTTCTGTTCTGTTCAATTCGGTTCTGTTCTATTCTAGTACCGTTGGCACGAGCTCTTGCAGAAGCATTACTTCCCATCATCCTGGATGACGAGCTGCAGGATCTGCTTGAGATGCGCCAGGGCACTGAGAAGGTGTCCTGTCCCGAGGGTGTGCGATCTGCAGTGAGTCAATTGGACGAGAACAACAAGAAGTTTGCGGACGTCATAAAGGAAGCGAAGGAACACATTTTTACAAAGTCAAGCAGAAAAACCTCGAAGCCGTCCTAGAGGGAAAGTACCAGGCCAAGCTCGACCAGTCTGATCAAGAGCACAAGCGCCGAAGCTGCGGCTTCCGAGCAAGCTGCCGATGAACCTGGCGGGCCCTTCAGTTACCTTTGGTTAGTAGGGAATGGAAGAATGGTAGTATTAGTAGGAATAATTATACCCCATTCCTCCATTCCCTACTAACCAAAGGTAAGTTCAAACATTGCCCTCAATTATCGTTCTTAAGACTGGGTTTTTAGAGTGTGTCCTACGGGTCTAAGCAGTAACCAACCAGGCCGTTCACAGGTATACTCGTTTGTTTGTCCGTAGGTCAGGTCCCGAATCGACAAGCCCACGCGTTTTTTCACCAGTAATTAGGTTGCTGAGCAGCCTAGCAACCTCTTGAACTGCTTGGTGTCAAGTTTTAGTCTCGCATTTCGTCGACATATCATGCCTTGAATCGTAAGCCCAGACCCTGAAGGTTTAGGGGTTGACCGTTAGGAGTTAAGCAATGTTCAATTCAGGCTAGGCGGCCTTCATAATGCGTGGGATGTACTCTTTTGTCGTCCAGGAGAATATGGAGAGACCCAAGTTCAGAGAACTCCCCTTGTTTCAGTATGGGTTTAGGGTTTAGGGTTTGCTGTGCATCAAAGCTTATACAAGCTCAAGACCATGATTTCCGTAGCAGTCCCTAATTTGCAGCAGAACCCTCAAAGTAGTCCTCATCGCTGGTCCCTTAACCAAGTGCTTTATTAGGACCTCAGTTCAAAGGCCAAAACTCAAATGCAAGTACTAGATCTTACCGAACCTTTGTAGACTAATAGAACCTAGATTCTTTGTTTCACCAACCCAGGGACCAACCCACTATTCGCCCTGAACCTTTGCAGAGATGAGAAACACTAGTATCACGTACAGAACCCTATGAAACTGAATCTTTGCTTGGAGTAACCGTGATGGTAACACTGAGGGTTTAAAGGACCCATTATGAGACCATCCCTAGTGTGACCTTTACCCAAAGGCCCCATGTGTCTTTGGTGTATACCTATAGGCCTTAAAGTACTTATGCAGGAACCCCTTTCAGGCCTAAGCATAAGCGATATGGGCCCACGGAGCCTTAAATCCTATCCCCTTGAATCCCCCTTTTCGAACTCTTATGGAAACCCAGAAAGAACCCTTACAGAAACCCTTAGCGGAACCCTTTCAGAAACCCTTACAGGAACCCCTTCAATGGAAGCCTTGAACCCTAGGGATCTAAGGACTCAATATATATTAAGGCTTTTGGGCCCAAAGACCATACTATATCAGGCCTTTGGGCTATTTTGATCCCTAAACCCTAAACCCTAAACCCTGAACCCCTAAACCCTAAACCCTAAACCGTGTCCCTAGGGAAAGAGGGTTACTATCGCAGGGCCCGATCCGACTCACTTGTACCCGCTGCACGTGTCTGTGACGGGCTTCTTCGAGGCCCGGTGATCGTCTTTCAACGGCGCTAGGGGGTTTGGGGGTCTACCTTAAGCCGGGATAACCTACCTTTTAAGGACTTATATAAGGAAATCATAATACGGAACCCTAAAAGGGTAGGTTATTCCGGCTTAAGGTGGGGTTAATTAGGGGGTTTAGGGTTGAGGACTTTAGGGTGTTGGGGTTTAGGGGGTCAGGGTTTACCTTTAGGGTTGGGGTTTAGGGTGGGGACTTTAGGGATTTTGCTAAGGCTTCCTTTGTATATGGGTTCTTGGAAGGGCTTTTGTAAGGGTTCCTTTCAGATTTAACGGTTCCTTTCAGGTGCTGTGAGGTCTCCCTTTCGTTTTTTAGGGTTTACGGCTTGGGGTTAAGAGTTGCTTATTTTGTTTGTGGGGCGCGGCGGCTTTAAAGGCTCTCCGGGTGTCCGAAAGGACCGAAGGAGGTTGAGTAGGATGTAATGGAAGATGTAACTAACAGGTGTTAGAGAGGATTTTATGCTACAGCGCTTCGGTTTTTGGGGAATTGGGTGTGGGGCAGCCATCAACTGTTATAATCCCAGACCTTCGGAAACCCTTAAATAAGCAATCTACTTCAAGCTTTAATAGGACCCTCTTGGCCTTTTTATGATTTAAGGTACGTTCCTCAACTACGGGATGTTGGAAGGTCTGGGATGTTACTATGTGGTTCCACTGCTGTTTTGTGCGAGGCCTCAGCTTCATAGTCGGAGGCAAAGGGCTTTCTCGGTGCACCCGAAACCCAAAAACTCAAAGCTCCTAAACTCTATAAACACTAAAGCCCTTAAGACCTATAGAGCCCCAAAGCTTACAATTTAGGGGTTTAGGGCTTCAGGGTTTAGGGTTTAGGGTCAACCCCGCGCAGCCTGTATAAGAACCCTAAAGTACTGAAGCTCTAAACCCTTGAACTGTAAGGGAGCCATTCCAGCCCACAAAATTGGAAACCCGCAAACCACTAAGCGTGAGTTTGATCTGAAATCCTGACCCATGGTAGTTACCTATTGGTGAACCGTGGTTTCGGGCTTAGGGCTCAGGGATTATGGGGTTTAGGGACTACGTAGCGTTCGGGTTTAGGGATGAGGATTGGGGATCAGGGTCTATAACTCTATTTATCGGATATAGGCCCTACCTCAACCCTGAAGAACCTACCTTTTTAGGGTCCCTTATTATGATTTCCGTATATAGATGCTTAAAAGGGTAGGTTATTCCGGCTTAAGGTAAAGGCTGTGACCTGGTAGAGAGGTAGTTCGGCTTCTTAGTTGCGGCATTTATGGCTCCCCAACTCAGAAACTAAGCTTTCCGGTTTGCAATCTATCTATATATATATATATAGGGTTTGGGGCTCAAGGCCTAAACTTCCCAATGCAGGCATGCGGTACTCAGCTGCGCCAGCTGGTTACAGGCTCGCCCGATTCGCAGTGCGGTTTAGGGTTTAGGGTTAAGGGCGCCCATGATGGGCTTTAGAATCGTCCCTAAGGATCCATGTGCCCATTTTGTATATGCTTAGGCGGTTCCACTTGTTACCTTAAGGCCGAAGTACATACTCTGTGTTTGGTTACATGGAGCCTCTGGCTGTGGAGACGTAGATTGAAGGGTTCACACCCTGAACCCAAAGCCCAAAGACCCGAACCTTGAAAACCGACAGCATTCCTTGAACCCACGCTGCTGAAAGGTCTACTTCAGCCCCAAATAACTTAAGTTTTCAAGAGCATATACCAAGAAATCATACTCAGGATCCCTATATAAGAGATAGGTTTCTAAGGGTCCAGTTTGGGTTTGGCGGGGGGGGGGCAACAGATCTTGGTTCAGGACTCGGGCTCTGTATTTGGGCTCAGTGTTCGGTTATTCAGGGTTTTCTTAGATGTAAGGCTAGGGCTTTTCCGGATCCCAATCGCGTAACGGGCCCTGCGGTTGATGATATAAATCCTGCATGACCTTAAGGACCCTAAACTATGGGAAGTATGGTTTTTCCTTATTATGTGGGTAATGCAGGATTTATATCATCAACCGAAGATGTCGGCTTATGAGGTTCCAGGCAGGCTTTGGGGTTTAAGTTAAGGTTTCGGCCCGACTTAGGCTACAGTGTAAGATTTGATTTATGGTACCGATGTTGATACTGCGCTAAACCATACGCCCAAAACCTTAGAACATAAATTGTATACACCATAAGTAACGAGGTGTATGGCTAAGAGTCTGAGAGATTTAACAACCTGACCGCAACATGTGGGCCCAAATTCCAGGCCCCTCATACGCAAACTATACTTCCGAAACCCTAAACTTCGTTAAACCCAGTGTATGTACGGCCGAAACCCTTTCTTGGACTGTTGCCACTGTTGTTTGGTACGGTGCCTTTTATGGTTGGCAGAACCCCGCTAAACTGCGTAAAGGTGAACAGAGGCTATGGTCGTCTATCGTCTACCTTAAACTACCATACTTGGAGGATTATGGGACTTAGTAAGTAAGGTTATAAGTACCTTAATTGGGGTTAGAAGTACAGTTACCCTAATTATAACCCACAAAGTCCCATGATCCTTTAAGTGGACCCTAAACCCTAAACCCGATAGATCCCTTTAAGGAACCCCTATAGCTCCCTTTAAAAGAGCCCTTATAGGAACCCTAGTTACTAAGTCCCATGATCCTTTAAGTACCGGCTGATCATCGAGGCCAGGAGGCCGATGGCTTTGGAGCAGCCCGAACCCAAAGGCTCCATGTATCTTTATAGTAGATACTTAAGCCTTAAAGGGGTCCCTATATAGGTACTTTAAGGCCTAAGTATATACTATAAGGGTACATGGAGCCGTAGGGGAATGGCCCAAGGGTGGTGAATAAAGAGCCTTGCTTCTGGATTGTCCCCGTCGGGGAAGAGGTGCTCTTCGGAGAGCATCCAGAAATACCATCAGCTTGTTCATCCCCGAGGAGCGCTGCCGGCAGTACCTATGGGGGCTTGCCTGGCAGTCGAACTGGCCCACACGTGTCATCTCAGTCTAGCCTGGCGTTCTGCCATCCCGGGCGGACCTCTACAGGGTGTACGCTGGAATGCCCCGGCAAGAGATGTGCCTCTGCTTCCTGGATGATGCAATGCTTCGAAAGCAGATGCGCTTTCTCATGCATCGCTCGCAGCCCCTGCACCACGAATACGCTGAGCACCTCCGGTTGCGGAAGGGCGGCAGCTTGGAGAAGCTGAAGTGGCATGCACAGCGCGCCACTGGTGCATTCCCGGACTTTGACTGGCCGGGCCAGCTCGCGAGCCCCTTTGCTTCGGAGGCCTGTTGAAATCGACACCTAGTCGATAATTTAAAGAAGATCCAAGTCAGGAAGTGGTCCACGGTTTAGTCGTACAGGGGCTTATGACTTATTCGGGCGAAAGTATGAGCTGTGTGTGTGTGTGTGTGTGTGTGTGTGTGCGTGTCAGGGTTTACGTTTTAGGCGACGTTTAAATTGTGTCTTTGGCAGCCTGTACATCTCACTGTGTGACCGGAAGTCCGAAGGAGTAGACTGCAAACCTTAAACCCACACCCCTCGACCGCAGCACCTGCGCTTTGGGGACATCTCCCTCGGAAGCTACTGTATATGTATACTGGACCCCATAGCCCTATTCTAATTGTTGAAGCCCCTACCGTAAGGACGACAATGAACCCTCCCAGGTTTCAAGGCTCGCATACCACATAGGGTTTTCACAATTAGCCTAGTGCCCCTACTTACAAGGGTCATTTAGCTCCTAAGGTTTCTTGGTAGGGAAGAATGCCCCCCGAGCGTTGAGGATGTGCTCTCGTTGCTGCTGTAGCGGTTTAGGGACTGGGGCTTTGGGTGTTGGGTTTTGGGGTTTACCTTATCTTTGTTCGGCTTCTACGTGCAGCGGCTTGTGTTAATGTCTTATAAGGTTTACCATAGTCGTTTAATATTAAGGAGTATAGCTCAGCTTTTAGACGAACCAGCGCCCCCCAAGTACCCTTCAACAGAGGCTGTACGTTCCTTCGCAATGGGTGATGGTATCCCCTCAGAGTCGGCGAGGCATGACCGAGCTCCTGCAGCAGGAGTTGGCTGGCGATAATGCCATCGAAGTCCGCGAGGTACCCCGAGTCTCCTTTGGTATTCCTTTTTGGGATTCTTCTGGGGGAGGGAATCCCAAACCTCGACGGTTGGCAGCGTGTCATGTCATGCTTCACGCAGGACCAGCGCGTTAGGGTTTGTCTAGACAGGAACTCCAAGACAGTAAGAGGGCTTGTTTGGGGCTCTGGACTCTGGATATGTAGCTTAGGCTTCCGGCTGCAGATTTTTTGTCGTTCATGTGACAAGTTTTGGGGTGTTGAGTGCGCGATGTAAAGTTCACGGTTGAGGGGTTTTGACTCTGGGTTGAGCGTGAAGGTTTTGTGTCGTACAGGATTTGGGCCGCGGTGGGGGCAAACGGTGGGCGTGTTGAGCAAGCTTTTCTTGCTCGAGGCATACGTGCCGAAGAAGCTTCAAACCTCGTTGAACCTCGAAAGTGTGCAGTATTTCGTCGGGCCATACCCTGAGAGGAGCTATATTGGGAACAGTAGGTAACCAACACTGACTGCGCACCGTGACTTCAACAACTGTACCCGAACCCACACTGTTGGCACAACGTCGTACGCGCCCTCACGGACACCCGAGCAAAATTCTAAGCCCTCCCCACTGCGACCTAGATCGCAGAACGGAGCCATCATTAAGGCCCAAAGGCATAAGTCTTGACACTAGTTACCTGTCCTAAACCTTTGTAGTAAACCTTAGACAGAGGCTTATAGTAGCTGTTAGGAGGAAGCCTTCTAGTAACCTTTTAACTAGCCTCTAAACGGAACACTTGTAGTAGTCCTACGTATATTCTATGTAGTATCCTTTAACAAGCTTTATAGGAATCACAGAAATCACTGTGGCGGCCTTTAGACGGAACGTTGGTGGCAGGTCGTTTGCACTCCAACTGGTTACGTCCTGCAAGGCCCTCAGGTTCAACCCTCGAGGCTTGGGGTTCAGGGTTCAGGCTTTTAGAGTTTAGGGCTTTGGGATGCAGGGTTTAGGCTTGAGGCTTTTGGGGCTTTTAGAGTATAGGGTTCAGGCTTTTAGAGTTTACTTTGACCCCAAATAACCTACCTTTTTGAAGGACTTATAGAAGGAAATCGTAATAGGAACCCTGAAAAGGTAGGTTCTTTAGGGTCCAGGTAGGGCTTTGGGATCTACAGGGTGTACAAGGTTTATAGGGTTGAGGCTTATGGGTTGTTTTAAACTGAGGGTTGGGGAGCCAGTACAACCTAGGACCCAGAGCAGGCCCTTATTCCCTTTTTTAGGGTTCAGGTTCCCTTATAAGCCCCTTTAAACCAAAAAGGGCATCCTTTTTATGCCTGGGTTACTCTTGGGTCTAGCAACCAAAGCCACGCTTGTCCCAACCCCTAATCTGATGCCCAATACCACAGCCCACACCCAGAGACTCCAAAATCCCTTCAATTAAGGAATCTTCCTTAAATCATATTCGGGGTCCTATGATAATTCAAGGAATATTCCTTAAATTATACTAGGGTTCCTATTATAGTTCAAGGAATATTCCTTAATTAAGGGGTTTTGGAGTCTCTGGGAAGGTTAACCTTTCCATCCCCTAGTTCGCTGGACAAGTACACCCGAGACCCTGGTCCCTAAACTCCTAAAGCCTTAAACCCCTAAACTCCAGACCCTACAAGGGGCCCCCACCCTGTAATAGTCACTATAAGGATTATATTTGGGCACTATTATATTCATAATTATACCACTATTACAGGGTGGGGGCCCCTTCTAATCTAGACCCCCGAACCCCCAAAGCCTAAAACCCCGAAGCCCTAAACCCACAAAGCCCCAAACCCTACACAAAGCATTCTCTTGTTCAAGGGTCTTCGAAAGGTTCTATACCAGGGTAGGAGCACTTTGTGGACAAGAGCTTTCGGGGTTTAGCGTGCAGGGGTCTTAGGTTAGGGCTTCATAACCTAAAGCATAACCTATAGTTCTTCACGAGTACACCCTAAACCCCTCAACCCTATAAACCCCTAAACCCTCAAATCCCAAACCTGTAAACCTAAACTACGAAGCATCGAAGCCCCCAAACCCCTGGACCTCTTCTGAACCCTATCCTTAAGGGTCCAAGGGTCCTTATTGGTGTTTACTGGTGCCCAAAATGGCCTCAAAGTCCGAAAATTGGGAGTACTTGGACCCTTAGGGTATCCGAGGTACGACATGCACGCCCCAGCCATCAGCAGATTTTCCCAGAGGCTCAACGCCTGGCCGGGGCCCCATTGAATTTAGGATTCCACGTTTAAGAACTGGAGTTTGTGGTAGATTGAAGGATTTCAGGTGTAATATAGGGGTCGGAGTCAGAAATGGCAGTTGTCGCCCTGTAGTCCTTGTTATCAGTATAGTGGCAGTGTACGTACCCCTAAACCCTGTTAAAATGATCGAGAGCTCTGTGCGAAACTCGTATTTACCGAGCGCCCGATACAAGGAACCTCTGGGCCTTCGTCACATGAAAATATTGAAGGACTCCTTATATCTAGTTTAGGGTTTAGGATCAGCTGCTCGAAAGTACAGTTCAGACGCCAGAAAGTTTGGGCATCATTTGCCTCAAGCCCTTAAGGGGGTTCGCATAGGGATTCCCAGCACTAATCATCCTAAATCCATGTTCCAACTTTCCGGTGTGTACTTTCAACATACGAGAGTCTGCAAGCAGATTTACAGCAAGGTTGGTGAGCATGTCCATCATCACATTTCTTTCAGCACATGCTCGTTCCGGGCCGCAGATTTCCTGCTTCCTGTAGCTGGACACCGTGAGCCCTGAACCCGAAACCACAAGCCCTAAATTCAAAAGCAACAACTCTATAGCCGAAACCCTAAAACCTCAGGCCTTAAACAACAAAATAAAGCGCCCAAGCCCGTAACCCGACAGTGCCCTTGCGCCAGGGCGCAGCAGGAGCTGGGCTTGTGCGTCCGCCCCAAGGCCTGTGGGGCGTTAGGCTTTGCGTGGGGTTTACAGGGATTCAGGGGCTCAGGGCTAGGGTTTGGGGACGCTTTCAATTTTCTTCTTAGGATATATTTTCCAAATCGAATGGCCTGCAACGCTGAACTTGACTGTCCCACTCATTTCCGGTTTTTAGGGGTTGAGGGTTTAGGGGTTCCCACACATTATCGGCTTTTATGGTTTGGGGGTTGAGGCCTAGGGAGTGTGCGGGGAAATAGGCCATCCATCTTGTCAGCCCTCGATACTACCGTGCAGGGCTCAAAGTCCCACACCGGTGCCTCATCCATCGCCTTATTGACATTTCCGACTGGAAGGTTTCGAGGGGATGCACAAATGGACAGCCGTTTTAGTTCTTAGTAGATGAGTGGATACAGTTTACACTTTTGGGAACAATATTGCCCACTACGAAACGAAAAGTGTACACTTTGGGGGTCTTATGAAGTCAGCAACTAAGAGTTCATTCCTGAGGTCAGAGTGAATATTAGGACTATACTCGGACATCCGTCTACCATCTCAGCTATTTCAGCATGCTGTAGAGGTCGTAAGTCTTACCTATTGGCAGCATAAGTTTAGAAACGTCCTCTCATACATGTGCAAAGTCCCCATAATGCCTAAACCCTAAACCCCAAATCCTAAAGCCTAAACCAACATGAAAAAAAGCTGAACCCCAAACCCTGAACCCTAAACCCCTAAAGCCCTAAATCCGAAAGCTTGCAAAGATCCTGCACAGACCTGCCAGCGTTGGATCCATAGAAAGCACTCCCAAGAATAGCCGCCCCGCCGAGTTGTAGCAGCCGCTGCAACAGGAGCCAGAGCAGCATGGGTTAGTGGCATCATCGCTACTGCTATCGGGAGACACCCCACCCCTCAGCACATCCACACTCAGCGGCAGTAAGCAACGCATAAGGATGTTGAGCTGTATTTATGGATATATACACATATATATATATATACATGCTTATGTTATGTGTGTGTATATATATAATACCACAGACTTGTTCCAATAATTTCTTGCCAATCAGAGAGCCCTTCGGGAGGCAGTGAACCACATTTCCTTGGCATCCAACAGGCCCGATGAGGCCTTGATGGGCTTCATCGGGATCTGTTTGCTGTTTACCCTAAGGCTCCGGGACCCTCGTAGTGAGATCCCAAACCTTAGCCTCCAAAGCCCAAACCCTCCCCCAGAAAGCCCATGACCCTCTTAGGAGCCTTAGGGTAGGGTACAAAGGGTTTATCTCCATAGCATTCTGTCGTCACAGACCTTGCCAGGGTTCAGGTTCGCTATACAGAGGGGTCGTTGTTGGCATTTCGTGTGTGTGGAATGACAGTCATACTGCTGATGGACAAAATCCTGCTTTACCCAATATAGTTCCCATAGTTTAGAGTCCTGAGGGTCATGCAGGACTTTGTCCATCAGCAGTATGTCCTGGCATAAATGTTTGCAGGGAATTTTGATGTGGCTTTGCCAGGATCGTGGACCCTACGCCCTAAACCCTGCACACCAAGCCTCAGACCCGGAACTCGCAACCGTAAAGCCGTAAACGAAAGAACCGCAGACCCTAAACCCTGGGCCCCTAAGCCCATTTGCAGAGTCACAAGCTCGCTAGCAGCTTGGCATTTGAATCAGTCGTTGCTCTTTGAACTTGTTATTTCTTGTTTGGTGGGTTCCTTATGAGGGTCCTAATGTTCATCGAATGCTTCGACAAAGGACTCCTCGTTTCTTATCAGAATTCCCAAAGAGGTCTTCTCCGGGTACGCTCGTCGATGGCAAATCGACAGCTACTACAGGTCGACTTAGATCCTCTATCATAACAGCACCCCTGAATGCTCCTGCCTTAACAAGGATGACGGTAAGGATTCCGATGGTTTGGTATAGCTTCGTGGATGTGTTTCGGATTTTAATCAATTCCGGAACACCAAGCGGGCGCTCGAAGTCCTCGCGATTGCCACGCTGTGGGAAGTTTCCCCGATAGGGCTTACTTTTTTGCCTGTCAATGGGCCTGCTTGGAGGATCATGGGACTTAGTAAGTAAGGTTATAAGTACCTTAATTGGGGTTATAAGTCGTTATAAGTATAGTTACCGGCAGGTCGGGCATTCGAGAGCGCACCTGGGAGATGGTTGTTGCGGTTTTTAGGGTTTAGGGTTTTGGGTTTTGGGTTTAGGCTTTAGGGTTTAGGGTTTGGGGTTTAGGGCTTAGGGTTTAGAGGGAAGGGTTTAGGATTTTTGTGGCTTAAGGTGTCTTGTTTAGGCAGCGGACTTTCGCTGTTTTAAGCTTTGGGGTTTGGGGTTTTAGGGTTTAAGTGCAATGACTTCATCATGAGGATTTGGGGTTTAGGCTCTGTTAATGTGTTTCAAGGTTTGGGGTTTGGGGATTTTGGGGTTCTTTTCCGGGCTAACGCGGGACTTCGCCACAGAGAAGTTCGTGTTGTCCGTGCTACTGTGTGAAGCCAGTTAGCTAAAGCTAGGCTTGCTACGTACTCCCTGGAGGTGTTGAGGGTGAGGCTAGAGATTTTTTCTGCGGGCAAACCGGGACTTTTGCCACGACGCTAAAAAGAGCTACACGTAGTTGTCCGAGTTGTTGTTGGTCCGTAGCTAGAGTCTAGTTGCTACGACTTCCGGTGGTGGTGTCGGGAGGTGGCGGGAATGGATGCTATAGCTAGTGTACCTAAAGGGCTCCTTCACGTCCTTCAAATGCTTGCCGAGGCCGCAACGAACGTACACGTGCACGCGCAAAGTTTGCCGACTGGCTGGTGTCGCACGCCCCCTCCTCCAGGCGGTCCTTCAAGTGACGACTTCAATTATGTGGTCGATCGGGCCTACGCCCCCTGGCACAGACCGGAAGCTCCGTTTCACCAAGGAGGGGGTCGTCTATGTGGATGACCTCACTGTCCGAACTGGGCGCGCTGTGGACGGCCGCTTCTTGACAGACGCGGAAGCTGAAGCGGAAAGCTGAACGGCGTACCGGAAAGGCAGCAAGACATGCCATATAAAGCCGGGGTGCTCCTTCATCAGCCTAAAACCTGAATCCTGACCCTAACACGAGGTTACCCAAGCACTAATCCCGATCAAATCTACCACCGTCCTGAACCCTACCTAACCCTGACACTGGGAGAACTAGAAAAAGATAAACCCAACACCCCCGAGCCTTAACCCCAACACTGGTTTAACCAGAAACGGTAAACCCAAAACACTGATCCTCCACCCCTAACAGCTAAAACCAGAATCCCTGAACCCCAACCGCTAACACCTGAAACCCTGAACCCTGAAGCCAGAAACCCTGAAACCTAACCCCGCAAGCCCCGCCACTGCGGTTTAGGGAATAGGGTTTAGGGTTTAGGGTCGGAAGCAAAAACGCAAAAGGTCACCGCATTCAGGGGTCCTTGTATATAGTATGATCCGTATCATAGAGGCGTCTTGATTGGGTTTCCTGGTTTCCCGAAGCTCCCAAATCCAGGCATCCAGAGACAACATCAAGCAAATATTCGAGCCGGGTGGCGACTCGCAAGAAGGCGACAGCGGCTGCGGTTTGAGAATGTTGGGCTGTTCCGTTCAGGGTTCTCTAGAGTTTGGGGCTCGTGGGCTTTAGAGGCTATATAGGGGTTGCATATGTTGTTGCTGTGCTGTCGTATTGTTTTCCTCCTGGAGGCTTGGCATAGCAGTCTGAACCTTGATAATTCGTTGGAGCGGGCGGCGCTGAGTCCGGTCCTGCATCTTCAGCCGAAGAGTGTGGGCAGCCGAGGCATGAGCGAGGGGAGCTTTCGCTCAGGGACAACGGGTGTAGCACGTCCGGGGACATAAAGCTTTAATCACATATATGGTGTAAGATATCTGTAATGGACCGGGGCTGATCCGCGCTGACTGCAGCCAGTGCAGCTGCTGATGCCGAGTGTGTTCTCTGCAAATCTTTCCAGACTTCAGAGGCCATCGACATTTTAAGGAGTTTGCACAAGCAAAGCACGCTAAACTCGGAAAGCCCAATAGGCCCGAATTACGGAGCATGGCCCAAAAGTTCACTCTATCCACTCTTGCATCGGGCGACTCTTGCACACCCAGGAATACGCCACATCAAGCACATGCAGCAAGCTGACAAGACCAGTGTAGTAATGTAGGGGCCTGACTACTTAGAATAGGGTTTTGGGGATGCTATCCCCAGAACCCTAATCTACTTATACTATACTATACTTATAATGAGAACCCCCCAGAACCCTATAATCTACTTATACTATACTATACTTAGAACGAGAACCCCGCGGAACCTTAATCTACTTATACTATACTATACTATACTTAGAATGAGAACCCCCCCAGAACCTTAATCTACTTATCAAGGCCCCTACAGCGAACCCCTGAAGCCGCCAATACGAAATCAAAATCGGGGCAACTTTGGAGCGAAACCCTAAACCCTACAGTAAAACCTGTAAAGTTGGAAACCGGATTAAGGACAAATAGTGCTGGGGATTCCCTATGCATTACTCTTAGTCTTAAGGACTGAGGCTATTGGGTTTCCAACTTTTGGGCTTCTACCGTAAACCCTACCTTACGCCGGACTAACCTACCTTTTGAAGCATATATATACGGAAATCATAATAAGGGACCCTAAAAAGGTAGGTTATTCCGGCTTAAGGTACACCCTAAACCCTAAACCCTTCCATCTCTAAAGCCGAAACCCTCTGATCCATGGATACATGCGGCAGAATGTCGATCTGTCCCTAAGGGTCCAAGTACCTACCTATAGTCTCCATTGTAGTTCCTTTTTTTGGTTTAACCAACTTTATATTAGTGATCCTAAAAGGTAACCCCAAAAAGGAACTACAATGGAGACTATAGGTAGTTATCATATACTAGCGACGCGCGCGCGCGTGGGTCCGCGCCACGCCGCGTGTGGCCGCTTTCCGAACTACAGCAGTTCGAAGAAGAAGCTGCCGCGCAAATGGCCGGCGCCGACGCGGCCGTCCGGTCCGTCGATACAAAACTCGCCGATCATGCAGGCATTGCCAGCGGCAGTGCAATCTCTCGTCCTAGCCAAGTCAGCTGGTTGGGGCAAAGCAGAGACGGGTGGTTTCAAGTCCAGGACCACTGCCAGAAGAACAGTGTGTTATTATGGCACGAGGGCGAGGGCCCGGAGTCCACGACCATCCCGCACCACGGCGGGCTTCCGTCTACCGCGGGTGACGCAGTCCTGCGACAAAATGCGGAACGCTTGCGAGAGCACACCTTGGCGATCGTCAAAGATTACTCGTCTCGTTTGGATTCAAGCTGCTCTTGCTGAAGATGCCAGTACGTCCTCGGAGTGAGACAGGGCGTGTTGTCTCCTGGCGGCGAGTGGCGACCGCACAGATAAAGGTGTTCCATACATGGTGCGCATGCCGCTGTAGCTTATGTCGTGATGCGGGACATCAAGGGTCCTATGTACCTATAAAGTGTAGAGTGTATGGTCTCTATTGTAGGAATCACGACTATATGATTTGGGGAAGTATCTCCCATGATAGCACCTATAGCCCTAAGCCCCTAACCCTAAAGCTACGACCGTTTGGTGACCTCGGGGAGGCCTTGATGTTGCTGGTGCCATCAAGACGGCAACCTTCGATCTGGTCCCTTGGATGGAAGGGTTCTGGGGTTCTGGGGCTTTGGGTTGAGGTTTGGGTATAGGGTTATGGGTTTTGGCTTGTGGTGTTTTAGGGTTTTGGGTTTCGGATTTGAGGAGCAGTTTGAGGTAGTTGGGCTTGTGTTGTTTTGGGGGTTTTCTACCGTCGACTTCTGCAGTGACAGGTGGCGAAAGCAAACCTCGACCTTCATAGTTCGGCTGGTTTAAACGACAGGGTTGTGAGGATTCCGAGGAGTGGATCGAAAAATCTCTGAACCCTACCTAGGGCCCGAAACCCCCAAACGAATCCCTACACACCGCAACCGCCGGTGATTCGGGATATCTGGTGTGTCCATGTGCCCAAGCACTACATGCTTTGGCCTTAACTTAGTTCCTTTGTAGGTATTTTAGGGCCAAAGTATACAGGATTTGAGTACATGGACCCTTGGGGACACAATAAACCCTAGACTCTGAATTCTCTGCGTGATTCTAACAGATCCCCCAACAGCTAACGGGGCTTTTTTGGTTTTGGGCAGGGGGGCTCACATCGGTCCACATACATCACATGGCATCCGGTTTTGTGTGGATGCCTGAAACTACGAGTGGTTCGAGTTGCAGGGCACGGCATGGTGATTCTGAAACCTACACCATATCTTGAGGGCTGAGTTCGATTAATGACGAGGCCTCCCTTCCAGAACCTCTTGAAAGTTACCAGTATCGCACCCCTATACTCACCTGGAAGACCCTCTACTCACCTGGAAGATGCCCTAAACATCGAAGGCCCTAAAGCCTATAAACCATACTTGGAGGATCATGGGACTTAGTAAGTAAGGTTATAAGTACCTTGATTGGGGTTGTAAGTAGTTTTAAGTATAGTTACCATAATCATAACCCTAGTTACTAAGTCCCATGACCCTTTAAGTAGACCCTAAACCCTAAACCCTATCGATCCCTTTAAGGAACCCCTATAGATCCCTTTAAAAGAGCCCTTATAGGAACCCTAGTTACTAAGTCCCATGACCCTTTAAGTAGGCCCCAAAGCCGAAACACCCTCGAGATCGACTCTTGGCCTTTTGCCCTAAATCCCAAACCCTAAACCCGAAAAGCCTCAACCCTACTACACCCCAAAGGACTTATATAAGGAAATCATAACAAGGAACTCCAAAAAGGTAGCTTATTCAGCCCCAATCTCTACACCCCAAAAAGTTGGAAACCGGATTATGGCCAAATAGTGCTGGCATTCCCTATACATTACTCTTAAGGATTGAGGCTATGGGTTTCCAACTTTTGGGCTTCTACTGTACACCCCAAACCTTAAAGCATACACCCTGAAGTCCTGACCCCACGTCTCATCCCCAATCATATCCTTAAACCCAGGAATGAACCCTCAAAGGAGCCGCTTAAGGAGCCCTTAGCCGAACCCTCATTCTACCCTAACAGGAGCCCTAAAACTACTTACGAGGAACCCTGAAAAGAACCCCAAACCCTAAAACCCCAAACCCTAAAACCCTAAAACCCAAAACCCTAAATCCCTAAACCCCAAAATCTTCCAACAAAGGAGCCCTCAAAGGAACACGAAAAGCTTGCGCCATACCTAGGTCTTCTCGCGTCTTCTCCAAAGGGGTTCCTTCGAAACTTTCGACGAGGCGGCGTATTTGGGTTTAGGGTTTTGAAGTTTAGGGTTTAGGCTTTAGGTTTTTAGGGTTCTAGGGTTGAGGGTTTTAGGGTTTAGGACTTAAGGTTTAGGTTTCAGGATTTTAGGAGTTAGGGTTTAGTTCGAGTTTTAGGGCATTTTAGGGGAATTTTAGGCTTTAGGGCTCGGGGATCTTTTGGGGTTCCTTTCAGGGATCTGTAGGGTTTCTTGGATTGGGTTCGGGGTTTTGGAGGTTTAAGGCTTTGGGATTGTGGGTAAAAAAAATTGAGGGTTTAAGCCTCAGGGATTTGGGAGTTTAAGATTTAGGATTTTAGGTGTTGGGGTTTAGGGGGCAGAGATTGTGGAATTGGGGAATGGGTCGGTTTAGGCCTCAAGGATTTGGGAGTTGGGGTTTTAGGTTTTGGGGAGAGGGGTTTTATAGGGTGTAGAGATTGGGGCTTTAGGGTTTAGGGGATTAGGCCTTTAGGTAAAGTTTAGGGGTTTAGCTTTTGGGGGCTTATTATATAGGATCTGTAGGGTCTAGGTTTTTGGGCTTGAGCTTCGGGTTTTCGGGTTGAGGGATCTAAGGCTTTTCGCCGGGAACGCAGCAAACACTATGTTTCGGAGGGAAGTTGGCGTGAACGCAGCAAAAAGGGGAGACAGTTCTTGGACGATAGTTTAGTCCTTATGGTTACCCTAAACCCTACACCCCTGAACCCAAAAGCCTAAACCCCTGAACCCTATGGTCGCTGTGACTAGTGTGCTTGCACCGCGGTCGTTCTCTTCGGCTTTGTACGAAGACTTGACCTCTTCATCGGATGTGTTGCAGAACCCCAAACCTAGAACATCCCTTAATTGAGGAATAGTCCTTAAATCATATGAGGGATCCGATTATGGTGTCATATGGGAGTCTCTGTGATCTTCAAGCTTGTCTTCCGTATCAGTAAGATGGGACGAGCCCAGGGAGCTTGCACGGTAGTAGGCTTGCAGCATTGATTCTGCACAAGACGCCACCTAGTTTTCTAATTAGGATCTGTTGCGTAGAAAAGTAGGTACCCTGAAAAGGGGTTGGGCATGACCCAAAAGGCTTAAGCCAGCTGTATTTCATCCACCTTAGCCGGGGTGCATACTTACAACAAAAAACCCTAAAGCATAAACCCCATGGATACAGTTCTCCTTCATCCACCTGGCAACCCTAAACCCCAAACTCGCTGCAGGAGGGGCCACATCGCTTCATGGAGGTTGCCCGGATTCCAGTGACCAGAAGCACCAGCGCTTAGGGGCGGCAGGTGAGCACGGCTCCTCACCCTGCCTCGACTCACCAGAACCTCTAAACCCGAAGCCCTATACACCCTGAACCGCTTTCGTGTAGGTTTTTCTACGAAGTATCTATATGTATTGCAGTTTGGTTTTTTAAGAAGCATTCATTCTTGTTTCAGTTTTGATAAAGATAACTGACGAGAATAGGAAGCGGGTTATGTTAAGATATCGAGACCCTATTGGGATCCAGAAATCTCCAGAAACCTTACAACTCAACCCCCGTGCCGTTGGCAGCTTTTTGAACCTAAACCTTAAAACCCTCAACCTAAACACCAAAACCCCTAAACCCTAAAACCCTAAACCCGTAAACCCTAAAACCCTAAACCCCCTAAACTCCCTAAGCCCCAAAACCCTCAACCCAAAACCCTGAACGCCTGGGTCCCCCTGAGCCTGGTCCGGCTGCGTCCGGTGAGCAAACGAACTGTGCCGAAGGCACCTTTGCCCCCTGTCATCGCAAAGTTTATGGCGTATGCCTAGTAGAAAAGTAAGTAACCTTTAAGTCTATGGCGTATGCCTAGCAGTAAAGTATAAGTAACCTATATAATCCCTGTATAACCCCGATATAACCAAAAAGGTTAACCTTTACTTCCGCATGATACCCGACAAGTAGGTATGGCTGTATGGGGGTTAAAGTTGAGGGCCGGGTTACATGACCTAGAGGGTCATCCGTGTCTTTAGGGTTTAGGGTTCAGGATTTAGGTTCTAGGGTTATGGTTGGGATCTGTCATGTAGTTAAAAAAGTACCCTGGAAATGGGGTGGCACGTTGACCCTAAAGGTAGGGCTGCATCAATCAAGAGCCGTAATTCCTGCTCCTCATGGGGCCTTCTATTCCGTTAGCCACAGGTCCTCGCACGACGTAGTAGGGCTGTCGATGCTTAAATGCATCAGGCCGCATAGAGCAGAGAAGTGACAGGGGGCTTGTTTGGCAAGAAGGCCATCGCGAAGCTGAGAGTGTTCGTAACCTAAGCCAAAGGGTCCTTTGTACTGTTGTGGGGGATACTTCCCTAAGTCATAACAGTAATTTTAACATGGAAACCCTACATTCTACTATATCGGTACATAGGACCCTTTTTGTAACCCTAAAGACAGTGGGTTCCATGCAAGGGTAGCCACGCGAAGCCGAGAGGCCTTCCCAGAGCGTTTTCAACATTCCTGCCTAGATGCAAGAGTGGCAAGCTGCTTGGGCCATGTACAGGCCGATGCGCGCTCTGGGCTGTCTTCGGAGTAAACAACAGCCTCTGGAAGGTAGTCTGCTTATACAGTGCATTGCTGCTACCTCAGACCTATTCATCGGTGTAGCGGTAGGCCCAAACCGCAACGAAACCTAAGACAGTACTTAGGGGTACTTAGAAATACTTTTTTAGTTTTTGGTTATTATAATCCCTAAGAGCAGCTAAAATTGTAATTTTTTGCTTGGGTTCTAAGTTCAGTATAGGTAGCGTATGTTGATTGTAGGTCCACATCCTTACCACCAAGTCCCAAAGTTGCCAAAGCTTTCACTTTTGCTTAGGATCCTTGGTTCAAAACTTCTTTGCCCATCCTTACCTCAGACTACAATATTATGCTAATATAGTATGTAGTCAATATAATTCCTTATCATATCGAACCATCAAGACCCCACCAGACAAGTAAATTTTGGCGCGGTTTAGGATTCCAATTCTGGAGTTGGCATGAATCGGGTCTCGGTCGCTTTCGGCCGAGGCAGCAGGATTTTTTGGCGGCAAGAGCATGCGAAGCTCCATCATAGAATATGTCCCACCGACTCGGTAGACATTCCTGCATCTTTAGTACCATATCCGACCGAAATGCAGAGAACCTCCCGCTTGATGGAGGTCAGCCTCAAGTTACGTTTGGCAGCAAATCGCTTCATCTGTAGAGCCCGGAGCCCGATATGTTTTGTCGAGTGCAGAAACGGCGCAGTGGCATAAAGTTTAATCTCTGCCTGCTGCCCTGTACATAGGATGGCTGGGGTGTTTTTTGCCGAGCCGACTCTTCGATTGGGTCTTGGGGATCAGGAAATTATGTGGCATCGAGGCTGACAGCAAAAGAAGGTTTTGTTGGATTTAGAGGGCGTAGGGCTTGTACGCGACGTCTACTGAAACACTACGAAGCTCTATTCTAATTCTTCAGAGCCACGGCACCGGTCGAAGTGCCAGGGTGGTTTGTTTAGCTGTGGTCCGTCTCGATTTGCGCATCGTCGTTGGTTTGGGGTTTAGAGCTTTGTTGGAAGATTTGGTGATTTTCCGGCCGGACCTATTTGGGGGGACTTTCTTCTTGGACGGTCGCTGGAGGCCGGAACGCCATTATAGAGTGTTTTCATTGACATAGCAATGGGTTGATTGCTCAGGATTCAGTATCGAGTTTGGGGTTTAGGTTTAGGGGTGTGTAAGTGTTAGCTGATATTTTTTGTGGTGTAGGGCTTGCGCGGCTTAGGGCTGGCTTTCAACCCGAAAACCTATCTTGTGCCGGACCTAGGGGTGCAGCATTCGCAGTGGGCTGTGGAGATGTGATCCAGCCATCGATGGTTACGATTTACCAACCGACTTCCAACAACGGAGGTTTGTCAAAGGCTCCATGTACCCAAATAGTAGGTTGTTCGGCCTTAAAGTACCTATATAGGGACCCCTTTAAGGCCTAAGTACCCACTATATGGGTACATGGAGCCTTTGGGTTTGTCATAGCGAGAGACCCGCGCTGCATGGCAAATGGCTGGGAAGCAGGAGCCCCATCAACAAAAGATACATCCCAAACAGAGAAGCCCGTAACCCAACCCTAACCACTCCCTCAACCCATAGCCATCAACAAGTATCGAAAGCCCTAAACAGGGAAGCCCCGAAAATAAACCAAAGACCCTGTTTCATCCCGAAAGCCTGACCATGCATGGATCATGCTTTTAGGCTTACCCCAAGGGTCCAAAGGACCCAATAGTTAGGTACTCGGTTTTGGGATAGTAGTTATGTAATTTAGGATTTTTGAGAGTGTATGATTATGAGCTACTTGGACCCTTGGGGCTAGTGAACTTAAACTTTGTAAGTTGGTTGTAAGCGGGGCAACAATTGGGGCAGCTCCATTTAGGGTACTTGTAGCTCTACGTATAACCAAATCAAAAACTGACTAAGTCCTCTGGGCCTCTAAGTTAGGGTAATTACTCAGAACTCTACATATGACCTTCTTGTTTGAGTCCTCTGGCCCTCCAAGCGCACAATTTCTTGCAGGCCCTTCGCCTGCTCCTTTTCCCCTGTCCGATTTCGTCCGCACCAGTCATGTACCCGAAACTCCTAACTGCCATGCGCCATAACAGAACCCCTTTCAACTCCTCAAGCCTTACATAAACCAAAAAAACCTACCAATTTCAGGACTTACATACTGACATCATCATGAGGTATCCAAACAATGCAGGTTTCAATAGGTCCCGTAAAGAATCTCAACATTAAATCCCGGCTTTGGCGTTACACACTACACCCAGAGGCCCCATTGTAGTTCCTTTTTTGGGATTACCTTATAGGGTTCTATATACGAACCCCAAAAGGAACTACTTTGGGGCCCCTAAGCACTGAACCCGCTAACTGCTCGAACCCTGAAGCCCCACACCTTACAGGGTTTAGGGTTTAGGGTTTAGGGTTTAGGGGTTGGAATATCATTATCGTAACCCCTTTAAGGTAAATTATAGGGGATCCTACCATGAATCCATATTCCAACTTTCTGGAGTTCCCTTTAAACCCTGAGGCTTCAATGCAGGCACCGAGCCCTTAAACCAGCCTACTGTAGCGGCCTCAATAGTTCCGGATACTATTTCGGGGGTTCCTTATTGGAGTTATAGTATACTTGACACCAAAACCCTATTCTACTTGGTAAGGTGCCTATACTTAATCCTTATAATAGCCCTTATAGTAACCCTTATAGACCCCTGTTACTGGAACCCTATACAGGAACCTTATTCTACTTAGCAAATCCCCCAATTTTACGCTCCAACCCTTCAGAAGCCCTGCCCTGGCGCGGGAACTATAAACGGTAGAATCCCCAAGAGTAAAGTCTCGGGAATCCCAGCACTATTTGGCCTTAATCCGGTTTCCATTTTTATGGGGTTTACTGTACACCCTCAAACGCCTCAAAGCCAAAACTCCGTAATCCGCCAGATCTGGGAGTTTCCGAAAATCGGGGATATAGCACCCTGAATAGTAGGATCCTTATTGTAAGGACCCCTAAATAAGGAACCCCTAAGTTTCGGCAACTCCCATCTAGACTCCTGAAGCACTAAACTCCTGCAACCTAAATTGCTGAAGCTCTGATGTTCTAAACCCGAAACTCTCGGAGTTCACATTCTTAGACAAATCTAGAACCTACTATTTGCTTAAGAACCCCCCAAAAAATAAAAAAATATATTCCTTATGGGGGTAATATAGGGATTATTATTTTTATTTTTTTGGTGTTTCTTAAGCAAATAGTAGGAACCTAAGCCACTTATAGTCACCCTTGCAGCAACCCGTCTAGTACCCCTTTGTAGAAGCTTGTGTCGTAAGCCTTATGAGTTGCAGCAGCCCTCACAGTTATCCTTACTTATAGTAACCCCCTAAACCCTAAACCTTAACCCGTAAACCCCTAAAGTGAAAGTTGGAATATGATGATCCTAAGCCCTTTATGGTAAATTATAAGGTATCCTACCTTGAAACCATATTCCAACTTTCTGGAGTTCCCTTTAAACCCTAAACCCTAAACCCCTAAACCCTAACAAAAAGCGTTCAAACAAAAAACGAAACCCTTCATGCCTGTGGCCCAACCGGTCAGCAGCTGGGTCCACGGCCCACGACAAGCGAGTTGCCGGACAAACACCGTGCGCGAGACGGTTTAGGGTTTGGGGTTTAGGGTTTAGGGTTTGGGGTTTAGGGTTTAGGGTTTGAGGTTTAGGGTTTGGGGTTTAGGGTTTAGGGTTTGGGGTTTAGGGTTTGGGGTTTAGGGTTT